CGCAACAAGCGCAGCCTTCCACGGCTGTATTCGTAACTCAAGAAGGCCGAAGGAGTACTGACCAGGAACGACACTGGCTAGAAGTCATGTACGTCCCGCCCTCGCAGAATCCTCCGAGGAAGCCACACCGGCCGGGACGACCACCGCGGCTGATTCCTCGCCAGAACGGCACAATGGCAAACGCAACTAATAATGTCCAGGCCTGTGTATGACAGACCACCACCACCACCACCGCAGGTTATTAGCATGCGCACCGTAAGCGCTCGAACACGCGACCTGCGGCATCTGATTGGACGACGGGCGCCATGTGTTCAACGCTCGATTAGCCGCGACCACTCATCATCGGACGAGACTGTCGGAACTGGGTCGTTCGCAGGAGAGCTAAGGCAGAGTGTACCTTAGCTCTGCTGTGGCGTTCAGCAGGAGTTGGTAGAGGAAAAGCTCACAATCGGATGATGGATGCGTGGGAACCCCCTCACTTGAGAGATTTCCGGGACGGAAAGGGTATGTTGTGACCCGGGGATGATGCAAGCAACCCACAGATGATTGAATTCTTGTCATCGAGATGCTCAGTTTGAACGTTGGCTTTGGGATTCACGACACACCTCCTGCCGACTGCGCCGCAGAGTAGCGCGGCAGAGGCCTGTTGGCAAAGCTGGCTTACGGTCCCATGCTCACTCATGCTCACCACCCCCGGTCCCAACAAAAGATTCCAAAGAAAATACCCCGACGCAGGATCGGGGACATCCACTGCCAGGCCGCATTCCTGGTCCCTCGTCCAGGCTGGCGGAAGATGGAAAAGAAGGGAAGTTCGCCTCGCGGCCATGTGGTCGGCGAAGCCAGGCAATCTCTGCGCCACTGGCGAATTGGGGATACTTGGTGCCGATCGGACGGTCGACGAGGCCGGGTGCCGGATCCTCAGGTCACTGGCGTGGGAATGTTGTCCATGAGGTCCATGGATGTTCAAACGGAGCCAAGGACGAGTTTCCCTGGCCTCTGAGGAATCTGTTTCCACATTCGGTCTCGTATGGAAAGTCCAGCTCCGCTTTTTTGGGCAATCTGTTACCGTGGGACCCCGTGTTTGTCGAATTCAAGTGCCAGTGTGATATCGTCAGGGGGGTAAATGGGTATCAGAGGCAGTTCTCTCAGGTCGCTTCACATATTTTTTGCGACAGCAGTGGGAGTTTGTCATCAAATCGAGGACGAGGGCTCCGTTTGATCGTCCGTACATTGGAAAAGTATGGATGAACGTCCTCTCGCTAGGGAGCAGATCCCCCAAAGTTCCCCCTGAAATGTTGTTGGTTGGGAGGATCTTTGGAGAAGGTGAGAGACTGAGGGGATTCGGACAAGACTTGGTCTGTGCGGAGTCGTCTGAAACGCAGCCTAATGGCCTAGTGCCCTTTTTGAAACCAAAGTCTCCCTTCGCTGGTAATGTCTTAGGGGATGAAATGCCATCACGAATTGCAACGCAAACTCCGACGGTCAATTGAGTTTGGGAATTCTGCAGTGTTTTGCCGTATTTGAGAAGGTGCGGGCGGCGCGGGTTGTCTGAGACGTGATTTACACGAGGTTCTTCGTCCCATGTGGACGTTTGCGATCGGCTCCTGGGATTTAGATTGCGCGCAGGGATGGTGAGGATTAGCCGGTGCTTGTCCTGGCACCGGGCTGCGTATTGGGCCTTACGTCCCGCTGCTGGTTGATCTTGATAGGCAGATGACATGACAGCTCGAGCCTCAAGACTTCATTGCGAAGGATGGCTCTGCTGCAACACTGGTGATGGCACGTTCTTTTCGCAGAACTTGAGATTGAGACCATGGGTAGCGAAAGCGAAAGGCCCACGATGCTGACGACGCTCGCAATGTGTTGATTCAGGAACAGAAAGGCTATTCTCCGACGGCGACTCTGCGTGGTTCTCCTAGCTTATTCGCATGTAAAGTTTGCCAACCTGAGGTGAAGCTTATGACACGGGGCTCCTTGTGCCCCGCCGCCGGTTCCAGCACAGAATTTGGCCGATTCGTGCACCGGGAACCGTTGACAAGCGACCGGCGATTTTTTGCTGAACTCCAGGGACAGACATGGATGGCCTTTCCCGTCGTGACGGTCGTGACGGCGCCCCTGACGCTCCGCGGATTCTCAAACGAGGCGGAGTGACGATGTTAAATGTCCGTACCGACGGGACGGTGTGGTATTGCAGATCCCCAAACGGCGTGACGTGACTGCGTCCAGTTTCAGGTTCGAGATGTTGGATCGTGGTGGTCGAACACGAGGTGGAAGAAGCACGACATTTCTCGACCGCAGAGTTGGAATACGGGGTTTCTCGTCAGGAGAATGGAGTTCCAGTCGCGTCTGAATTAAAGTGCGGTTGGGATGCGATGGGTTCCGTGGATCAGTGGAGGCGGGCAGGAGAACAGACTGCCGTCACCGTCCCCGCAGCGAACAGTGCGTTTGGTGCAAGGAAACGAAACGTTCTCGATGCAGGGGAGAGAACGCCGAGAAGTTTGGATGTCAAGACGGCCGCCGGGGTGTATCGGAAAGCCGGCGAGCTCCGCACCAAAGACGTTCATTCGGTCGGGGTAGTAGTCGGAACGGAAGGCCAAGATGTGGACTCATGGAGTTGTTGGTGAGCAGCCATCCGGAGAGGACCCTTTCCGTCAGTCGTCTCTTGCGGTGTAATATTTCTGGGGAGATTATGTCTTGTCGGTGTTTCCCCAAATAAAGATGACCCCTTCGATAGCGTGACTGCTCACTGCTCACTGCACCGCTAGCAACGCACTGCTGGCCGTCAATTTTAGAAGCATGCCGCTTATTGAGCCAGTCAGCGCGAGGCGGTGGACACCTCCAACGGCTCGGTCCCGCGAGCAGCCGTGCTATGTTTGTGAAGCTGCTTAGCGGAAGCGTGGCAGCCGACGGACGCCCCATCCTTGGCCACCGTTGACCAGTCATCGGGGCCTGAATGCGGATTAGCGGCAGGGAGTCGAACGGTGCTGTGAGGGGTTCGAAGTGGCCGCTTAGCCGCGCCCACCCGCCATCGTCGAAACGGGCGAGGGAAAACAGAATGGCGGGGTGACATTTTGAACGGAGTTCGTGGTACAAGCGAACGCCACATTGGTGCGGGCTGCAGAGGGGAAATGAGGCACTTTGACGTTCGCGGAAGACTGGCATTTCGAGCTCGTGAAGGTTGTAATCAGCTGTCAGGACCGAGGTCGTTGGCAAGAATCGATAGATTTTCGATTGTTGAACTGGCGGAATTGCTGCGGCATGGCGAGGAAGACAAAGTTGGCACCGTGTCGGCTATCTTGGACCAGGTGCTCGTCTAGTCCAGGGTCTTGGTGGTGATTCAGCAAAGCCAAGCTAACCCAAGCTCTTGGCTTTCTGAGATCCGCGCGCCTTCCAACGTCCCAAGAAAAACCCAGATTCATTGTCATCGACTCGAAGGCGCAGGACGGGCATGAACGCCTGCAGCCATCGTTGCTGACGCAGCAGCGCGGTTTTCGTCATCTGCTCTTTATTGAGTGCTCATCACCGCAGCCAAGGGCGTTCCGTAAGCACTTCGGCCGGGAAATTGGACAGCCGCGATGCCGCTTGGTTGGTAATTTGTGGCTCTTTGTGGCTGCGTGAAGGATTGATTAGCATCGCGTTTCCCAACGCCATGTTTCGATGTTTCGACGGTCGACGCAGTCAGACGGTTGTTCACCAGCCACAAGACCCAGCTGAACGGATCGTCGCTGGTTGACCAAGTTACCGTTAGACACGGCAAAAAGAGCAATTGATGATGATGATTATGATGATGGAAGGAACAGTGAAGGAACTGCCAAAAAGGCCGGCAAAGGAAGGCCCTCCCAGCCACTGACAGCCCCACCCCCTGCCGCCTCTCGTTGGTGGCTGCCTTCCGACTAAACGCGCATTGCGCCAGGCATCCCCGCAGAGAACCACAGGGGTCCATCGTGGTGGAGTGGGGCACCGCCAAGTACGTACCTGCCCGTTTGCTCTACCATTCCGGTGTCCCGTCCCCTTCGTCTCATGTCCAGGAGTTTACCTCGCAACCTCGTAGGGAGAACACCACGACCTCGCAACCTTCTTTGACGCAAATCTCCACTACTGCCACGAGCTTCCCAGAACGGGCGTGCCTGCTTGGGAAAGAAACTCTCGAGGGCACGGACGAGGAGAGGATTGCATGCTTGCATCCCACCCTCCGTCTCTCTTTCAACAGTTCCAAAGACACACACACCACTTGGGTATCTTCAAGACGACCAACATGGGCCAGGGTCACAACGATGTCTCCGTCTACTCCTGACGCATCTTCTCCTTCTCCTTCTGTGCCCACCAAGTCCCCTTCAGGATGCCATCATGGCCTTCTCACCAAAGACCCCTGCACCGCCTTGCATTCTGAAAAGGAAGCCTGCCTTGCCTTGTCAGACCCGAGCTAGAGTGCGCCTCGTTCGGGTGTGGATGGCCGGCCATATCCCAGCTCCTCTCCCAGACTCACAGACTCGAACGTTTCTTTGATATAAAGTCTATCCTCTAGTTCCTCGTCCCGTCTCCTGTTCCCGACTCGGATCAGTCTCATCGCAAACCATTCATCATCTCATAAGTTTCCTTGTTTCCTCTCTCTCTGCATTCCTCTCGGTCTTCTTCTCTGCATCTCCTCTTTTCATAGAGTTGCTTTTCTGGTCTTCGCTTCGAAAAGAGTCCACCGCGCCTTAGTCCTGTCTCGGCCCAAGAAGTCACTCTGCCCCATCACGACGCACGATTTAAGCGCCGTACCTAAATCCGTCCAAATTGCTCCATACAACCACCACACGGCCCGCCGCATCTTTTTTTCTCACTCACCTGCACCCGCACCCGCACCTGCACCTGCCTATTCCCTCCACTTGATCTAAGAAAAGATCTCCGGCCTCCGGTAGTGCTGGTATATATCTTTACTCAGATCGCCTGCAATCGTCCCGGCTCGAAATCAACCCCCATCACCGACGACGATCACCAACAAGCCAACCGTCAACATGCTGGCCAAGACTTTCCTCTTGCTCACCACCCTGGCGCTGGCCTCCGCCGGCCCGGTCAGGAGACAATCCGGCTGCTCCTCCAAACCCACCAACCCTACCCTTCCCACCAACGGCAATGGTACGTACCCACCTCACTTACACCTCTACATATTGAAGCCATCGCCAACTAACACTCAAAACCCAGGCGTCGAACTGCCTGCCCCCGCAGAGAACCTCGTCTTGAAGCACATCGCCCTCGGCCACGGCATCCAGAACTACACCTGCACCTCGACCAACGCGACCGCCCTCACCGCGACCGCCACCGGCGCCCTCGCCGCCCTCTACGACGCGACCCCGCTGTACCCCAACGCCGGCCCCGGCGCCCTCCCCGGCGTCGACGCCTTCAACGCCCTCACCACCAACGCCGTCTGGGGCTCCAAGCTGCCCCTCGTCCCCGACGGCGTCTCCAAGTTCGGCGCCTCCGCCTCCGCCCCCTTCCCGAACCCCGGCCAGGCCCTCGAGCTGCCCAACATCAAGGCCCTCCCCTTCCTCGGCGTCCACTTCTTCGACGCAAAGGGCGTCCCCACCTTCAAGGTCGGCGACGACGTCTTCTCCGGCGGCAAGCTCAACGGCACAAAGGCCCCCGCCGCCGCCGACGTCGGCCCCGAGAAGACGGGCGCCGTCGACTGGCTCCTCCTCGGCGACAAGGGCGCCAGCAAGGGCATCACCACCATCTACCGCGTCGTCACCGCCGGCGGCGTCGCCCACGCCTGCACCACCCCGGGCGCCTCCGACAGCGTGCCGTACGCGACCTACTATTGGATGTACGGACCCAAGGCGTAGACTTTCTTTTCTCAATGGATTCCTTCATTTTTGGCGTTATAAAAAGGGCAAAACTGGGCAATGGAGCTACAGGCGGTCTTTTGGCTTTCTTAACCCGATTCATGCGGGTCTTCTTTCGGTTCTTTTCTTACGTTCCCTCGACAAAAACTACAGTTCGGATATACCCCCGGCGGCGGCGCAGATGATATAGCAGAGACAATGGGGATTTCTTTTTTTTGTTCTTATGGGATGGTCTTGGAACAGACGTGCAGGATGGGTTGCATAGGTTCTGAGGAGTAGGGACGGACCTCAAATCACAATCGTTCCTCTCCCGAGGTTTTTTTCAACTGTATTTAGTAGGCGTTGAATGGGTACATACTCTCAAATGGCGGCATCATACCTAACTCCCAAAATCATCTATCTACGCTTGACATTCATTGATCTGCTGCGTGCGCATTTTTACCTCCGCCAGAGGTGTACTGGAAGTTTCCCCCGGAGTCGAGCGCACTGAATAATAAGGTACTTCAATCTAAAAGGGAAAGGGCCCTCCCACTGCACTTGGAAACTAAGCCAATATAGCCGTGAGAAGACTATCTTTAAGTCCTTTCCGCGGGGGCGCTGCTTCCTCTCCATGGCAGAATAGCGATGAGAAGATGGCCCATATCCAACGCCGTCGCTATTCTTGACATCTGCGTCACACTCCCAGTGGGAGGGAGTTTTCGCGAAACAATCAACGGGCGACAGTGACCGACTCTGGAGAATAAAGACAACGACCCACACCAAGTTGATTTGGTCGCTTCAGAGAGAAGGGTTCCAATTGATGAGTTGACATTCACTCACGGGAAATTAATTACTATTGTACTGCCTGGAGAACTAGCTTATATTAGTACAATTCGGCATCCGTGGAGGACTGATAAATGTCCAAAAAGGCGATTGCAGAAGCCGGCGAATCGAGTAAGGCGCTCCACCCTGCTTAGTCAGAAACCCTCACCGAAGGTCACCCCCTCTACCTACCTAGGTCCCTATCTTGGGAGGCAACGACCTGTTGTCACTCCTTACCCGCGACAATGATCGTGCCCGGATATTTGACGCGACGGCCAAGATGGACGACCTGAATGGTGATCTTCAACTGAAACCTGCATAGTCATGTAAATCCAGCACGATGTTAAGCGACAGGTATTGGCCCCGCATTTCGCTCCCAGAGACACACACTCATTGAGACATTCTTAAGCGCCCGGTAGGCGAAAGCGCGCTGGAGATAGATGAAGGCAGGGAGGGACGTAGAGAATTAGGTAAAATTTGGGACTTTGTTCCGCCTTCTTCACTGTCGTTCGTGTGTGTTCCGTCCCGTCCGCCGGGCGATCCAGCCCCCCTCTTGTCTCCCAAAATCTTCTCTTTTCATGACACTAAAGATTCTTATCCAAGACACACTGCCTTACGTCATCCAGCTTGCCCCCCCTTCCAGGTCTGGTCTTCGAATATATATGATGAGCGCGCGAAATGATTCCATATCCAGTACTTGAAAAAACTGCTCGCCAATCACTGCAATCCAAACACCGGTTTTGCATGCTGCGTGCCTCTGCGGGCCGCACAAACGGCCTTTGCACATTTGTTTACCTTCTGCCGTCCAGGCCGCCGGCGAGGTCGGCCTCCAGACCGTTGCCCTGGCCGTGGCCGAGGTACTCTTGAGGTCGGGGATCCGACGACGTCCAGCCGGCCTGGCCGCCGGACGGGATGGGCACCTGTCCGGCGCCCTGCTGCTGGGCGGCCTGCGACCCGGCCTGCGTGGACCCGGGGACGGTACGGACGAGCTGGCGGAAGCGGTACACCTCCTCCAGAATCATCTTGCGCATCTCGCCGACGTCCTCGACGACCTCGAAATCGAAGTTGAAGGTGGTGGGGCAGTCGGGCTCGTCCGAGGCATCGTGCCAAATGTGGAGGTAGGGGTGCTCGAGAGCTTGCTCGACGCTGATACGGCTGGAGGGGTCGAAGGCGAGCATACGGTCGAGGAGGTCGAGGGCATCGGGGTTTGCCTGGGGGAACAGGCTGGGGAAAGGCTTCTTGGGCATGAAAGGCAGGTTGCGGACGTATTCCTGCGCACGAGGGGAGCCGATGCGGGAGAGAGTCTCCTCGTTGGGCGTTCCGAGAATGTGGAGAATCTGGTTCAGCTGATCGACGTAGTCACGGCCCTTGAAGAAGGGACGGCCGCCGAGAAGCTCGGCCAGGATGCATCCCACCGACCAAACGTCAACTGTTGATTTGTCAGGAAACATTCGGTAAAAGCACACAACTGAGTGCACGCCCAGACGATGAACGTACTAGCTTTGGTGTAGCTCTGGAAGCTCAGCATGATCTCGGGAGCACGGTACCATCTGGTGGCAACGTATTCCGTCATGTATCCGGCATTCTCCTCGGGGTCGACGGAGAAACCACGCGCCAGGCCAAAGTCACAAATCTTGAGCTCGCAGTCGGCATTGACCAGGAGGTTTCCCGGCTTCAGGTCGCGGTGCAGGACGTTGGCGGAGTGGATGTACTTGAGGCCGCAGAGGATCTGGTAGATGAAGGACTGGAAGTGGGCGTCGGTGAGAGGCTGACCGGATCGGATAATCGCGGCGAGGTCGCATTCCATCAACTCTGGAGCACAAAAGTCAGCTTATTGTGGCGTTCGGGCGGGCGGGTGCATGCGGGGAGGCGCGAACCCTCGTAGAGATAGGTCTCGTTGAAGTTATCAGGTCGGGGGATGTCCATATCGTAGAGGCAGGTGATCTGCGAGAGAGCGCTGTCAGCATTTTGTCGGTCGCAAGCGTGGTGCAGCAGCCGAGGGGTCGGTTGTGCGGGATTGTTGGAAATGGCTTTTGGGGGCTCGTATTCGAGGTCGCGGACTCACGTTGCGGTGTCCCCTGAAATGCTGCAGCAGCTTGATTTCGCGCAGAGCGCGCTTGGCGAGGATCTTCTTGCTGAAGACATTTGTGACCTTCTTGATGGCGACGCCCTCCTGAGTCTGGTTGTTGACGGCGGCGCTGCACGAGGCGAGGAGTCGTCAGCATTCTGGGCGGACTGGCGGGGGAGCAGCCGCAGCAGCAGCAGTAGCAGCAGCAGAATGAGGGGGAGAGAGTCAGAAAGGTCGCACGCACCAGACAATGCCGTAAGCTCCCTGACCGAGCTCCTTGGTGACGGTGTATCGCTCGTCGACGATGAAGTCCTGGTTGAAGACCTTGAAAACCTTGCGTCCTTGCAGGTCACCCATGATTGCGTGTGTGTGTCGGATTGAGTTCGTTGGAGCTGTCTCGTTTTTTTTTTCCTCCGTGGTTGGAGATGTTGGTAGTTCGAAGAGCGAGAATCGAGGGGTATCTTTTGCGAGTCAAATCGAGGCAAAGGTGGGGAAGCGAGCAAGGAATGCGATGCGATGCGACAGTTGCGGAACAGACAGGGTAGCGAGAGGAGAGGAGAGAGGTGCGAATCGTCTTCCTTGGCCCGTCAAGTATCCGTAAGGCAAGGTAAGGTATCCGTACGCAGTAGAATCGAGTCCACGAGGGAAAGTGGGCGGCGGTCAGGCGGATTTATTATAAGATCTGAAGACGGCGTGGCGACAATGCTTATTGCTGCATGAATGTTGCGCGGGTTTGTTCTCGTCTTTGTGGCCCCCTTTATTTTCCCTTTTGTTTCCGGGAAGGTTGCGTGCGGGCGGCTGGGCGAGGTCGAGGGAGAGGACTGAAGAAGGACAGAGAAGGAGGGGAAGAGACGACGAAGATACTGTGCAATAATAGGATATTTCAGCACCTGAGTAAGATAGCTACCTACCTAAGGTAGGCAGCTGGAGGCTTGTAGGACAGGAATGGTGGATGGGATGGGACGGGAAGCTGGACGGAATGGGATGGGTGGCATGGGATGACCAGGTACATGTTCCTATGCAGAAGGGACGGCTCATTGGCAAGTACTCATGACATTTATGAGGCATAAGGCGTAGGCAGGTAGCTATGGGATGGAGACGGACAGCACATGAGGCAGGAAAAGGCGATAAAAAGCTGGTGTCAAAGGCACGAGCCGAGGAAGAGGGGACGACACTGATACCCTAAGGCAAGGTAGCGGTAGCTTCCCTGACATGGCAGATAGGAGGGGCAAGGCGGGACTTGCTTGCTTTCACCTATTCCACGTCGTACCTAGGTTTTCCACCTTCTTTTCTTGCTGTTTCCGCCGCAAACGGGAAAGTGAGAAAGGGACAGCTCAGCCTCACGACATCCTCTCTGATGCCTCATTCAGGTGGACTGTCCCCACGAGGTCATCTTCAGCGCCGTGACCTGCCCAGTTCAGGTATCAACAGCACTTCCCATCCCCATTCTGCTCAGATCCAGGCCGTGCTATTGAAGATCAGGTCCAGTTCGAATGTGCGAATCGTGAGGTGCAAGGTACAAGGCACAACTTGCTGACGTTACCTACCTTAGGCCCAGAGCGTCTTGGCACGAGGAATCCACTCTCCGTCCGTAGACCCCGCACTCGATATTTGATTTGCTGCCATGAGCTTTTGGGAGCTCGTGATTGGCTCGTCGTCTTGATGAGCTCCGTCTGCCTCGAGCCCGTAACCGCCGAGCATCGTGACTGGAGGTGCAGCTCTGTAACCGCGCGACAATCTCTTCAAATTTCACGGTGAGGATTGAAGACGGATCTCGGGACGTGACTGGGAGGAATTCTCAGAGACGTGCTTCTCGATCAGAATGGCTGATGGGGAATAAGGTTTGATGTCAGGAGGGTGCAATCTCTTCAACCGCCAACTAGCAGTCTGAAAGCAGCATCTGTGAATTCTCCCGATGCGTAGTGCCCCGTAACGATGGTATCGCGTTGACTGGGGACTCCATCAAATTCCAACCAGAAAAAGCCCCCAAACTCTGTCCCAAGGATTGGGATCCAGGTCCCCAAGCCTGACCCTACATTACGTTACGTTACCTTAAGGTACTCCGTAGTCAGAGCAGCATCTCGATAAGCGGTCATGTCAGCTCACATCCCGAAAGGACGCTCATTCGCGCAAGTCCTGATGCCTAGCCGTGAAGGAATCTGCCGTCAGCAGAGTTCCATTGCCTTTCGTCGCACTCGAGTTTTCGCGGTGACATTCAGCGCCGTGTCGCTTGCCAGCCGCTGCCCGCTACCACGACACTAGGCCGGGCTACCCGTGGCCACGGCCACACCCTAGAACCCCATGTGTCCGTAGGGCTGAAGAACCCGGGTTGACGATATGATGCATGCTGGGAGGCTCTGAGGCCTCGAGCCCTCGAGCTCTTAGGCTCTGCGCCCGTCGTGTTATGATTGATTCGAACCCCATCCTATGAAATGCCGAATGTGCCTATGGGGGCGCTACGTGGCCGTGCATCCCGCCAACTCGCCAGGGCTTGTCGGCCGAATGTCTCCATCTTCATTTGAAGTCTACTTTTTGCAGCTGCAACGACTTGCCATTGGCAAATTAAACCCGTTTTCTTGAGATGCATCTTCTTGCTGTAGAATTAAATCAACGCACGCTCCGAATGTGTAGTGTAATGCTCATTTCATCAAGCGGCCAACCCTGTCTATTGGTATCCTGTTGGCCCGCCCAGCCGCCCCCCGGCCCAGTCGCGATGCGGAACTTCGCGCTGCAGCCGTTGCCAAATCATCCACCTGCACCAGACCGAAATTTTATTTCACTTCGTACCGACGAACGAGCTGCTGCCGCGGCTGTCGTCGGGCGCCGCGGAGGTATCCCGTGAGCTCGCCTGGAACCCTCACCCACTCCCCTTGTCCCAAGACGGCGTCCTCATGCTTTCGGGTCGACGTCGGGAAAGACTTGCTTCAGAAAGTTGGCCGAGAACCGCGTGCACTGTTCGTAGGCCCTTGAAAACCCCTCGCCGCCGCCGTAGTACGGGTCCGAAACGACCTCTGGTTTCTGGCCTCCCGAAAACTCGCCAAACAACATCACCTTGGCCTTCGGATCCGAGTTCGCGCGTTGTTCGCGTTGTTGTAATCTCTGGATGTCTTGCAGGTTCGATCGGTCCATGGCAAAGATGTAGTCGAACTTGTTGAAATCGGCCGCCGAGATCTGTGTGGTGTTGGAGAAGTTGGTCAGCTGGTGTTGTCGGCCTCGGCGGAGGGAACTGCGTTTGGCAGACGGCTGGGTAGCTCAGTGTACCTTGCGGCCGGCGTGGCGGTAATCCATGATTCCGTTGTCCTCGAGAGTCATCATCGTGCGCTCGTCGGGGGGGTCGCCGACGTGGTACGCCGCTGTTCGAGTGAGCATGTTCGCGTCAGCGTGTTCTCCCGTGAGGATTCCCATCATGACGTATCGCGCGTACCTGTGCCACAGGAATCCACCTTCGCGATGAGGCCCTTGTACGGCGGCTTCTGGGCGATGTCACGGAAGATGCCCTCGGCCATTGTCGAGCGGCAGATGTTGCCGAGGCAGACGAACAGGACCGAAACGGGTTGCTCCGGCATTTTGGGTGAGATGTGGAAGGTGTGTCGTCTTGTTTGCGGTGTGTGTGCGTGTGTGTGTGTGTGGTTGTCGCGTTGTGGAAAAGCCGACTGGTTTTTGGGCGTGTTGAGCAGAGAGCTCAGACAGCACGCTGCCCCGCGACGTGCGTTTGCGATGGAGGGGCAGCTTGCTGAACCGTGACATCTCGTAATCGGCGCACGGTCCACGACGCTGCGCTCCATGCACGTGAGCTGCGTCTTCCGTCACCTTCCATCCAACACCATTCATCCTGGAACATCAATCAACCTCATTTCTGCTGGTTTCGATCCATCAACAGTATCCAACAGAACCACGGATTCTGCTTCATCACGGACAAACAGCTTCTCAGGGATCGGGTCCCTATCGGTGGTCGCAGGCGACGACTAGAATGATGACCATTGACCATCGAAAAACGGCTGCTCCGGAAAAGGAGACGCCCCAAAAGCATCGAAGCAGAACATTTTCGACTGCTCAGCCCCAAATAATCTCGAACAACCACACATCAAAAGCCTTCCGGTCGATCTGACAGCCACCACAACAGCATATTGCCACAAGAATCCAGACCATCCATCATCAAGTCTCTCTCAATGCATTGATGGAACAGCACAAGCGCGTCTTGATTCTCTAGGTGCCTGCCTCGGCGAGATCAAGCGAGCAGAAGCCAGTAAGGCCAGACCCTGAAGCCAAGCGGCGGCGAGCTGCTAGCTCTCGCCGTCCTCCACGCGACGGCGAATGCCTTGGACTGGCCGACTCACGCGCCAATATTGCCCTGATCTTCCGTTTGCGTTCCGACTTCGCAAAGCCTGTAATGCAACAACCTCGAGCAAAGTCGCACTAAGATCATTGCGGATTGCCAGAACGTCTGGCCCCGACAGTTCGGTTAAGGTGTCCACAAAGACGCTGAGGACTACGATGACGGCCGGGGAGGTAGAGAGTGCCTTTGCGGGCTATTGCTTGCCTCTCTTTCTCTTCGTCCTGGGCGTCTTCGGCGTTCGCTTGTCTGTCATGAAGCTCGGCAGACATTGCTTCAGGCACCCTCCGGCGCGATCTGCCATGTGTGCCACCGAAGGTTGAACTACGTTACGAGCGAGCGGACTGGTCGTGGCATGACACTAGATTCCACGAGGCTAAGCCAAAGGTTAAGCAGGTCAATAAACCCGTATAGCTCAGCCTGCGCCGAGAGGAAGAGTTGAATTTTGGGATTCAAGACGCGGCCCATTCGCAGACGATGGAGGCATCTATTATGAACAGCCGGAGTCGTCGGAGCTTCTCAGACGTATCATGCGATAATCGAAGCGGGACATCGTCCCATACAAGAACAGCTTGGCCATCCACCACCTGGAATTTTTCGTCTGGTCTTCAGCTTCGGGAACGGCACGGAGAGGCCCGGGAACACAGACCACACACCACCACCACCCCTCATGTCTATGTGACATTCTCAAGTCGACGACGCGACGGCGGGAAGGGCTAATGCACGAGGTCGCGGTGCGTACCGTGCATTTGAAGAATTGGTCTTCTGATTCGTCCAATACTCCGATCTATCCATCCACACTTTGGGACTTGGACCTGCATTTGACAGGGGGCTCATGAGCTTAATCAACCTGCCCTGAGCTTGCATTCCTCACAGCGTTGCAACACTACGTCGTCGACGTCAGGAACCATTGCTTGCGCTTTCATTGTTGAACAATCCAAAACGGATGAAATGCGATACCCCGCGAGAGACTGTGACCGAGGGCCCAGACTTTACCGTGCAAAAGGAAGAGGAACCCCGCGCGATTGTTGGGGTCTTCCCCCGATTCCGAGCTCAGACGCTTGCGGAGGATCGTCCTCCAGCTCGAGGATCCGGTGTGGGATGCTCCGACTCACTCATAATTCCCTTTAGGCTTTCTTTGTTCCAATCATACCATGACATTCGCAGCTAGACTCTGCGCCCCATCGGCGAGCCAAACGACTACGACGAGCCAGTCCGAGCTGTCCATTTCGGCTACGTGACAGATGGTTCACGCCAAGACGCCCCGCGGCAGCCGATCATGGCTTGGATGACAGCCAGAGACAGGATGCCATGAGTTTTCGACGAACCGGCGGGTCTGAGAGCTGTTCAATTTCGTCCATGCTCGAGCTGCCCATCACCATCCTATCCGTCTCGTCTCGTGGCCTAATCCGGGGGATGCGACACACTCGGCACGACGGCGCGGACGGGCTAGCCTGCTATCCGGCTGTGCACTCTTTCTTTTTCGATGGTGCGTTGGCATGGACCATGCCGTTTCCAGTTTCAATAGCGTATGCCCTGGCTACCTCCTCGATACGGCTCTGCAGTACCCTTCATAAGACCAACTCGTCCCCGGCTCCAAATCAATCACACCTCGAACATCAAGCCTCATCTCACAAGGACCATCATCACCTGTTCCCACGCTCGCTCGGCCGAAGGCTTCCCCACCAGCTCAGCCAACAATCTCGAAACCGATACGCAGCCACTCTTCCTTACCGCGTCTCCCGTAACATCATCCACCATGAAGTCCACAATCATCACCGTCTTCCTCGCCGCCTTCGCGGCCGCCAAGACCGTCGACGAGCTCGTCCAGGACATCCCTACCTGCGCCGTCACGTGTATCCGCGACGCCGCCCAGTCGGTGAACTGCGACATTTCAGACTTCGCCTGCTCCTGCAACAAGCAGGACCAGCTGACGCCCTCCGTCGTCGGCTGCCTGTCCAAGTCCAGCTGTAGCGCCGACGACCAGACCAGTACGTTCAGCCTCACGTGACAATGAATTGCCGAGTATCTGTGACTGATACGAGACGCAAACAGAGGTCCTCTTGACCGCCCAACAGATCTGCGCCCAGGTCGCGACCGGCGGGACCGCGACGGGCTCCGTGACGGGCGCGGCCGTCGGCACTTCGGGGACGACGATGAACCCCACCATGACCAGCTCCGGCGCCGCCGCCGCGGCCACCACATCCCCCGCGGCGGCCCCCAGAGTTCAGGCCGCCGGTTGGGCCGGTGCCCTCGCCCTCGTTGCCGCCGCCGCCCTGTAATCCTTTCTTTACTAGCCATTTCGTCGGACGTGTTTCCATCTTTGGGGTCGTTGCATTTTGGGACATTCAATTGGCCCCACAGGGGTTTTGGTGCGGAGTTGAGCGGTAAAAACATGGGAAACTGTTTCAATAATAAAAATCAGGTGTAATACACACTCTTGAAATCTCTATAAACAAATCTATAATCCGAAAAGCTCTCGCCAGCAATTGACACCGTGACCGTCGCCCCATCTAGTCTATCGGGTATCATCCCCTCCAGTCCTTAACCAAGCCCGAACTTGCCCAGCGCGCTCCCGTCTCCACCATCAGCACCATCAAGCCATCCGTGCAAATCGTCCATGCTGGCAAACTGCCGCGCGTACACCATCCCCTCGCGCCTCCTCTTCTCCACCATCCTCCAGTCCCACGCGCCGTCGTCCTGGACGTCGCTCAAATCGACGCTCTCATCACCAACACCGTTCTCCCCGCCCTGCCATCCACCCCCAGGCCTCTGCGGGAGCAGCTCGCTCGCCTCGAGCGCCACGGCCGGGTGGACCGTTAGCCTCCCCAGCTTGAAGACGTACTTGCTCACGCCGGTGGCGTAGATCTTCTTCTCCCACTCCTTGCTGTCGGTGCCGCTGCCGGGGCCCCTGCGGACGCGGGCGGTGCCGAATTTCGGGTCGAGCCACTCGGTCGGGCGCGCGGCGCCGGCGGGGACGAAGTGCGTGACGACGTAGAGCCACTTGCGGTCCCAGGCGAGGACGCGGGACCACATCTCGTAGGGGGCGTAGGCGGTGATCTCGCGGCGGAAGGAGCAGTGGACGGCGCCGAGCATGATGCCGAGGGGGCCGCGGGCGGGTTTCCCGGTGGAGGGGTCGAGGACGAGGCGGGTGGCGGCGTTGTGGGCGAGCCGGCGGAGGCCCGGGCGGAGGAGGTAGGTGCAGAGGTGGGTGCGGGAGACGTCGAGGTCGGAGAAGTAGGTCGAGTTGGACTTGTGGACGTTGTAGTCGATCTCGGTGATGGGGGCGTGGGACCGGGTGATCATGGGGCGGAAGAGGGAGCGCGGGCCGAGGCGGGGGGATTTGCGGATGAAGAGGTGGTAGATGATGGCGTGCCAGACGCGGTACTGCGAGGGATTTTGGTCAGCTTTTCTCTTCTCTTTTTGTATTCCTGTGTAGGCTCTCGGGGCAAACGGATTGGCGAAGGGGATACGTACGGTCCAGACGAAGGGCATGTTCTTGAGGTTGAGCAGCGCGAAGAAGAGCATGAGGATGCGGCTGATCTTGCCGGGCCCCGTGAAGAAGCTCGCGAGGAGGAGGCGCCAATGGATCCTGTACGCGGCGTACGCGAGGCCGCCGGCCGTCGCGAGGCGGACGAGGCGCACGACGCGGACGGGGACGCGGTCCATGTCGGCCTCGGTGCGCGTCGTCTTTGCTGCCGCGGACGTCATTTCGCGGGGCTGCGGTGATGGTGTTTTGCGAAGTGTTTTTTTTCGTTTTTTCTGTTCCCCTATCCTTTTTAGGGAGTCTTGGGCCGACGACGGGGGGAAGACGAAGGCGTTCTTTTCTTATCCGCGACGGCTGCGGCTGTTGCTGTTGCTTGCCGTCGGGGAGGTAGGACGAGGTGGCGGATCGCGCCGAAGAGGAGGACGACGAGGACGACGGTCCAGAGAGGTAGGGAGCGGAGGTGGCACCAGAGTGTGCTTGAGCATTGAGCGAGGAGGGACGGGGAAGAAGGCATGGGAAGAGGGGGGTAGTGGATTTGAAAAGCGACGTGGATGTTTTTTTTTCAATTCCCTTTAATTGAATTAATCCAGACTGGATCCCGCCCAGAGTCCAGCGTTGCAATGGCACCAAGGATGGGAGAGATAGTCAGTCTACCTTACCGGGCCATTGGAGCCGATATCAGTTGTGGTCCCCTGAAATGCCCCAACGCCGGGATGCGAGAATGGTGTTCTGTTGGGTGCCGCTGTGACTGCACACGCAAAGGAAAAAAAAAGGTTGCGGTGACGCGATGTCGGCAGGGATGAGGGAGGTTCGTGAGAGTGCGGGACCCACCAGGCACGGGGTTCGGCGTTTAATGACTGCGTCACTGGGCCCAATTGGAGTGTGTCAAGGGAGCTGCTGGACCTCGGCTCGCATTGATCTGTCGCACCCCCTGGAAACTGGAAGCTTGCTTCTGGACGGCGCGATTTTCTTCTAGAGCTATTTGTCCATGCGGGCTTGGATTCATGCCACCGGAGTGACGGGATGATTATCAATGTTTGGCTCGGATGCCTCGGTACCTTATTCTGTCACTGGCAATCCGCTCTTCCCCCGCCCAATCTGCCTAGGTACACTGTAGGCAGGTGAATAGGTAGGTATCCAGTCAGGCCCGATTCCATGACGAGGTGGAAGCCGGCCGGTAGTGGGTCGATCGGCTCCGTACATAAGGCCATCTGATCCACCCGAAACCGGCCTCGGCTTCGGGTCCGGACCCGGTCGGCCAAGCGCGACGTCACGACAGGTACGTGGCTCGAGGGACCAACGAAACCCGCCGCCAGGGCACCACATGCAAGTCCGATTTCGCGAGCGCCGATGGCAGGTCAGCTTGACGCGGTGCTCCCACACACTTCGCCAGCAGTACACCGCCTGCCGCGTCCTTTCGTTTGCCAAAGTCCCATCATCGGTTCCGGTCTTCGCGTCGTGGGGTGATAGCAATGTGGAAGAGGACGCCTTGTAGCTTTTCCTCCGTGATGTTTCTAAAAAGAGTCTCGTGGCAAGGCGGGATTGGGTCATTGTCGCCGTGTGCTCCCACTGCTCTGAGGAACGACGGGATTACAAATGAAATGCATAGATTCTCAATTTCAATCTTCAAAACTAATGTACTCGAAACTATCTCATTGGGAAAAAGTTTCTTTTCCCACATTCTGGCAAGTCGTAGCTTGCCCTCGTTTCTTGCCAGGTGCCATCGTCAGCGCGCTATTCCTGTTTCTCACGGCCTCGGGAACACTCTCGGGAACCCGGGCTCCGTCGTGTCCTCGGCAAGGAGCTGCCACCAGTTGGGCAGAGGCGGATCCGGATGAAAATGCTGCTTCGAGAGATATTCATACCAGCCCCTTTTCCACTGGTGCATAGTCCACTCCTTGGACTCCTCGATTAGACACTCCACGTCCCACTCACCATCCACGTTGAAGTCGCACTTGACGAGGGAGGTCCCCGCCACGATGTCATGGATCATCTGCGGGAAACCCTCACACACGTACCACGAATTGTCCGAGACGTCATGTTCCCCATCTGGATCGTCCGGCTGAGGTATGTATAGGTAGTGGTTCAAGGCGTAGCTCCAGTCCCTCGCATCTCTTCGCCTGACATCCCACCGTAAAGGGGGGAGAATGTTCCGCTCGAGGCAAAGATCAACTGCTTCTTGCCAAGCCGCGTTCCACTGGACCATTTCTCGGAAGAGCTCCGAGCACGAAGAGTCCCCTTCGAGGGTAAGCGTGAACGAGCCCGGTGGCATTCCCGCCCGCTGCGTTTCCAATGCCTCCATGACCCAAAGAGCCACCTGATAGGAGGCCTGTTTCGTTATGGAATATTCGTCGGTCCTGATCTCCATCGCTATACCCTGGATATTGTGGAAGGTCATGGTTGTGGGCAAGACCATCCTCCACATGCTGACCCGTCGTTCCACGCGGAGCCGAGGGTTCTCCTGGCAGAAAGGGATTAACCCAAGCCCATGACATTCCGTAAATCCGACGGAAATCCGCTCTTCCCTGAGTATGATATTTCTGATGTCTGACCGGGATTCTTTTGACAAAGATTTGAGGAACCGAATGGCTGCAGCTGCAGCTGAGTAACGCCACTTGATCAGGCTTGGGTTGAGAAAGTGTGTGGTTGTCATACCCCAACGCCTGGAGAGCCTTTCTGCCAGTTCCTTTGGTAGATAAGACACGAGCTCCTCGAGTCGTTTGGGAGTCGGGATTTCCCAGGGATCCAGATGGACGTCGACTAGCCCCTCAAAGCCGTTGAACTTGGCATATTGCTCAGGATCCAAGCGATCTTTGTGATCCAGAATAATTCGCACGGCAGAATGGGCGAACTTGCGGAAAACGGATGGTGTCTCGCCGCAGGAGCCAGACGGACCGACGTTACGGTACATCCGCCGACCATGAACCCGATGTGGAACTTTGGCGGACCTGCCCTTGATCGCCTCTACGTACGGCGCGAACTTTGGATCAACTTTTGAGATCTCCTCCCAGACATCATCGGGAACACTCAAGGTATCGGGGAAGATTCTGTGCAGTGTTTCCCCTGGCAACATGTGTACAGCTGCAAGCAAGCAACCGAAGCGACCAGTAGTGGCACGATGCTCTTCCGGTTGTACCGTGGAAAAGTTCAGGGTGTTGACCAGAAACGGTATAGGTTTTAATTCTTTGGCGATAGCTTTGCAAGTAAGCATGAAAGCGAGATCGATACGTTCGTTATTAGCGGCCTTGAGAGTGTTGCTGTTGAAGTCCAGGATATAGCCGCCGTCAATGATGACGTACTGAGCGTAGATTTGGTCCCGCAACTCGCGCGGCAGGTCGAAGAAGTGAGTCATGGTGTCGATAAGAATTAAAGTGTACTGTTGCAGATTGGTGCAGACTGGTGGTCGGGAAGACTCCACTGGATGTCGGCGCGGATGAGTTGGCGCGGATGAGTCCACAGGAGCGTGTGTGAAGCAGCTGGGGATGCGCGCAATACTTAAATAGAACTCCGCCGACGTATCTCCGCCGGCGTAAATTCGGGTCACATAATAGCTTTTTCCGCATCGCAGCCTCAACAACATAAAACGAACCACAAGGTACGCCACCGCGCTCAAGTCTGACTCATCCATCAAGAGAAAACCTGCGGGTTCATGAGCTTCCACGGACGGCCAGCAAGCGCAGCGCAGCATTTCACATCACCGCAATGCAGAAGAGGGACAACATGTTGGGTGGCCAAAAACCCTGTTTTATGAGGTGGGAGTATTGCCCGGCTCTGAGGGAGCTGTGTCCTATTTACCACAGCGGGTTTCTCAGTTCTTTAACATAATTCTAGCAATTCAGCCCATGCTATTTCTCAATATAATAAATAGATATAAACAATACTCAAAGTGGTATTAATCAAGAAGCTTGGCCTAGCTAAGGTGTTTATGTGTGTGGACGTTAGAATAGAGCGGTTGGTATAGACGTAGGGACATACCAGGCGCACGTTTGCCCGCGAGAGCCATGGGAAAGGGGGGGCAGTGAGCCTCGTCGCCGACTGGAGCCGCATACACAAGCTGTCAGCAACTGTTGATAAACAAGAGAGACGAAAGAAGAATGGAGATGAAGGTCACTTGGGCATGAATGGAACGTCAGATAAGACCTCGGAGAGGTATCTGACTGATGGAGATGAGTTGATGTTGGGGTGAAAGGGGCAAACGACTTAACGTACCAGGTGGCAATGGAGGCTTGAATTCCACAAAGGTGCTGAACCTTCCACGAGTCCCTCTTCGCTGACCAATCAATCGTCACTTCCGACATAAAAATGCGACTAATATACCGATGCCCTCATGGTCCTTCAGCCAGAAGGGTATCTCCGTCGCATCGTTGCGTAGGCACAAAAGGCCAGCTGCTTTTAGTAATGGTCAGAAACAATCGCACGGGTATCATCCTGGCAAGCTTGCCTGTCGTGGGCTAGGCGGCTGGTCCTCGTCTTCCTGCACATGCAATCTGCCCACGTCAACACCATACTCCCCCGTCAAGACACAAGTACGAGGATGGCACTGAAGTCAACACCGTACCTTCTTCATCGCCACATTCGAATTAAGGTCCGTACCGTTCGCGACGTGTCCGTTAGCAAAGTGATTCTCATGAGAGGGGGGAGAGGGGAAATGAACTCGCAGTCACGTGGCCAGATGGCCGTCAAATAGTCGGGGAGGTCAGGCCGAACCTAGAGTCAGTCAAATACACAGTTTCAAATCGCGATGCAGTGGCCAAAGGCCTGGAGGTCAATGGTTCTCAATTTCTAGTGCAGCTGAAACTAACGTGGTCCACCCGAACCATGTACATAATCAGCGATCATCTGCCGAGACGAAGGGAAAAGATAAAGAAATACTATTACATTCATCAAAAACAAAGGTTCATTGAGACCGACTCTGATGTGAAGGAGAAAGGTACTCTGTGCCTCGGGGAGCTTTGCGTAAAGGGCGTGGTTATGCTTTCCCCCTGACCCCTGCCAGGCCAGACCTTTGGACTTCTTGTCGAATGAGTCGGAAATAGTAGCCTATGCAATCTGCTTGGCGATGAACCTGATTTGCAACGTGATTCTCCTCTCTGGATGTTTCTGCAGGCCACAATCTTCTGCAATATCGGCACTGACAGCTGCTTCTGCCGGTAACAGTTGTCGCTCGTCCGATTTGTCGTACGCGACCTTTTAAGGGTGCTTTGCGATGCCCTCGGCGCTGAAGCCATGCTGGAGGCTGCCTGGCGCCCAGGTACTGCGTAACTGTTTACCGTCGGGTGTACGAGAGTTCACAGCTCGGCACATTCGGGCGCATCTGCAAGGCGCTCGATGTAAAACTCTTTGTAGGGAACGTGACCAGAAGTCTAAGGAAAGGCTCTAGAGATCTGTCTGAGACAACTGTTCTGCTTAGTTTCCAGTTTGTTAGTAGACCCCAATCCAGCCTTGCTTGTTTCCTCTACTTGCCTGCCCATACCACCACCCTTCTCAAGATCGCCTCCCTATCATGTACGTCGTCGATACCCTTCAGCCCTTCCGGCGGAGTCCAGTCTGCACGGTCCGACGCACCTCCCATCGTAAATGCGGCAAATAGTCTTGCAAGAGCAGCGTCCATCTCCAGGTGGCCTTGGAATGTGAGAATAGGAGGGATGTGGGAGAGGAGAACCTCGTTTTGAGAAGAAAAGAGCAAGAAGCGACAGGTGTAAGATATGGCGCGGGGTGGGTTGCGACAAGGGCGTGATTCTTTTTTTTTTTTTTTGAATGTCTTGTAGTAAAGATAGAGGCACATGTTAGTTTTTCTGCTGGTTTGTAGGAAGATTGGTAGGGTATTGGGTGGGTAGGTCCTCACAAGCGATTCAGTTTTGAAGAAAGCAGCGCCTTGAGAAGTGAGAAGGACGGTCTCAACACGGATTAATTGCCCGCCTCTCTCATTTCCTCGGTGTGTTTCAACAGGTTGAACGATCCTCGTGTCAGATGGAAGATCCCATGCCAAACCCAAAAACACGCTATGAAGGCAGCCTTATTAGAAGTTGCAACTCGTAAAACGGAGACTGTTCGTGTCGCCTTGACAGAGACCGGCCCAACACAGTCACACGCTCACTGAACAGCTCTGCCAAGCAGGAGATGTCGTTCCAACCAACCGTTTTCCGGCTTTTGCCCATGAGTGTTTTGCCGAACGAGGGCTCACAAGACATGCCAAAGCTCGGCTGGCCTACCTAGGTGCGGATGAAAGGGTACAGCCGAACGATGAGCCGTGCGGTGCGTGGAGCTTGGGAAAGCATTTTCAACGTAATGAGTCGTACGCAATGCCCTGGGGCACATATCAGGGGTCCCGAGGTCGGCGCGAATAGCAGTACGAAGTACTTACTTTGTCAACTTTGGAAGTGTTTTAATTGGGTGCGTGAAATCCCCAGTACGTTCCGGTGATGATGCGGTTGGTTGTAGCTCCACGTGTATCTACCTACCTAACCGTTGGCGCTAAATTAGGTACTTATGTATTAGCTAGGTATGCGACGTGGCGCCGCGTGTCACGGGCCGGTGCCCGATTGCGGGGCTGTCAAGCCAACCAACCACATGTGACCCCGCCGGTTCCCACCACCTCAGGTGCCTAACTAGAAACCCCTCACTTCCAACAAATGCAATACGCTGCATAATATAATATAGCTACTCTTATAATCTAGCTATTAATATTATCTTACTATATCTAATAAGTATATATTTAATATTTAATATTCTAAAAGAATAAAACTCTATCTTAATAAGCTTTATAGTATATATAGTAGTATATAAATAGCCTTACTTAAGGTTAGAGGGAGTAAAACCTTAATAAGGGATATTAATCTATAAGAGACTATTCCTTCTATTAAGACTATATTATAACTTTTATTTTTTTATTCCTTATTTTATTTATTTAAAATATCTTTCTTTTATATTTTTAATTTATATTAGCTAATATTAATATTCTTATTAATATAATTACTAATTTTAATTATTAGCTTTAATCCCTAAATACTTTTAAGAATAATTACCCCTTTTACTTAAAGTATATTAAAAAATATCTAAAAATATATTATATTAAGAATATTATAATAGATATTATTCTATTAAAAGAATAAATAATTTAAGAATATTATATTACTTATATAATACTATAAGGGTATTAGAATTAATATATAGCTTAAATAGTAATTAAGATAAAAAAAGAGCTATTAATAATACTCTATATATTATAATATAATAAACTATATAATAACTTTAAGCTTAATCTATTTAATACCTTAGTAATAATAGGATAATATATAGAGGTATTAGTTAGGATCTAGATATATTAGATATAAGGTTAATAGTTTTAGATATATTAGGTATAATTAGGCTTAAATTAATCCTTATTATTAAATAATAGCGCTAATATAGGAAAGGTAATATATAACCCCTCACCTCTAACTTCTACTCACTTCACGTTGCCTGCCGAGATGGAACAGCAAAGCTATAAAGACCACGCAGACTTGAACTTCCCTTCTTCCCTTCCTTAGCTTGAAGTAACCAGTCGGAACGGACGACCCCATCATGAGCCCACTGTTAGGATTTCGCAGTAGGATTGGACTCCTCGTTTGATTCTCTACAACTTTCTCATCGAAGATTGATCGGATTTCTGAGTTTTTGTTGTTGAAAAATTCGTGCAGGCGGTGCAGCCGTCAAACGTGAGGCTGTGCGGTTTCTGATTACCGCCGCCTGACAGGTAGGTAGCGTGCAGATGTTCCACCAGATCAGCCCTACTTACAGTATCCGTAGAAATCCAAGTGTAACGGTCTACACGCCACTTCTAGGAGATGGTATACTTTGAGAATACCAGGAGCTAATTAGTTCCTGGTACAATACCAACTCGGCTGGGTTGGCTCACCCACACCCACCGACCTCTCTGACTTCTTACTCCGATCCAAGCCGACGATGCGCAAAATGCCTCTTGTAATCCCTGCTACAGAACAGATCCACTTTACCATCAAGGATTTCTCTTGCTTCCGCCGCGATTGAATTTCCCAATTTCCTAACTCTACTCCCTGAAGTTATGAGGCCGTTACGCATCTCACCCGCTGTCGTCTGCATACCATTGGACCCTTATAAAACCCTCCCTCCTTTCTTTATTTCTCTTGAGCTTCTGGTCGTCAAAATTACAACATCCCAATATAACATTAATCCCGTCCCTGTAAACCATCGCAAGTTACCCGAGTGAAAAGATGGGCCGCATCCTCGTCACCGGATCCACCGACGGCTTCGGCCTCGGCGCCGCCCGTCAACTCGTCGAGCGCAACCACACCGTCTATCTGCACGCGCGCAACGCGGCCCGCGCCGAAGAGGCCAAGAATCTCGTCCCCGGCGCCGCGGGCGTCTTCGTCGCCGACCTCACCAGCGCGTCCGAGACCCGCTCCCTCGCCGAGCAGGCCAACGCGGTCGGGCAGTTCGACGCCGTCGTCCTCAATGCCGGCCTGCTGTACGGGCCCTTCCGCGAGACCGAGTCGGGCGTGCCCGCCCAGGTCTTTGTCAACTTGGTGTCGCCCTACATCTTCACCTGCCTGTTGACGCCGCCGAGACGGATCGTGTTCGTGGCGTCGGTGCTGCATCGCGAGGCCAAGCCGGCGGTCGAGGACATCTTCTGGCTCGGGAGGGGCGAGAAGGAGTGGAACGACTTCGGGGCGTACTGCGACTCCAAGTTTCACGTCATGTGCCTCGTGAACGCGGCCGCGAGGAGGATGCAGGGCAAGGGCACGTCGGTGGTGGCGATACACCCGGGCTACGTGCCCACCAAGCTCACAAAGTTCGAGGCGCCCGGAAATATGGAAGACGGGCTGGAGACATATGTCATGCTCGCCGAGGGCGAATACGATGTGAGTGGGGAGACGGGTCGGTACTTTGATCCGAAGAAGCAAAAGGGCGAGCCGTTGCCTGCTACCGAAGACGTAGGCTTTCAGGAGGCGGTGGTGAAGGCTTTGGAGGACTTCACGGGACTGAAGCTGCCGGGTTCTGCGTGAGGGCGCCAATGGTCGATAGGTCGCTGTCTTTTGCGGGTGGAAATAAGACATCTGTTCCCAATTCCGTGTTCGTCTGTTGTGACCATCTCAAGGCTGGGATGAGAATCTTCTCGCGAATATAATAGTTGTATCTCACTTTACTCCCTATGGTTCATATGACGAGTACCTAGGTCAGCATATGCCGATAAAACAAAAGCCTTAAAAGTTCGGTATTGGTTTCTATAATGGTCCATATCGTTCGAAAAGTCAGTCACCTTCCTCACTACTCTAAAGTCAGTAGTCTTCGAGAAGACTCATATCTGCGAGATTGTCCTCGTACTTTTTCCGAGGCAAGTCGCGTGGTGTTTCGAGCAAGTTCATAGTCTTGACATTTAATTAACCAAACCCCCCAAGCCGAAATAAGTAGTGCACTCGTCCTGCAAAGCGAAAAGAGTCCAAACTCACCACCAAAGCCCTATGCATAATCTAACATTCCCCCCCACCTCAACCCACCTAAGCAACAGGCCCATAAAAGCTAAACAAGTCATTGGAATCATACGCCACCTTCACTTCCTGCAGGCGAGTCATCCGCCACTCCTCATGCCCATACCGCTGCTCATGCTCATACCACTGCTCCGGCCCCTCATTTCCAAACGCATAGTTCAGATACACGAGAACAAAATCACGTCCTGTGCCTTCGTGGAGAATCTGGCGGAACTCGTTCCCTAGCCGCGCAACCTCCTCGTCCAGCGCCGCATCCCCGGGCATGTGCTCTGCCTTGGCCTTGACCCCGTCCATGGGATAGTCATCAAAGGTGACCAATGAGGTACTGAGCGCCAAGTTGCTCAAAATGCTGTTGGCAGAAATCAAAGGCGAGCTTCCGGGCGGTGGTGTTGTAGGACTCAAGGCAGATGGGGAAGCGCGGGTTGTTGGCGTCGGTTTTTTGGCACAGGCCGTGGGTGGTCCTGACGCCGACGAACTTGGCGAGGTCGGTGTAGATTCCGACGAGTTGGAGAGGGGCCCGAGGGCGTGGAATGGTGTGGTGTAGGCTGGATTGACGGCGTCGACGCCTTCTTGCACGAGGAGAATTTGAAGAATGGGTTGAGAGAGGATGTTAGATATAACCTTGGCACACCTTGAGGGTGGGTTGTTCACGACGGGAGTTGACAAAAACAGGTATCAGCCCGAGACATCGGTCTCCTTTCGAACAGCAGGCGAGGCTAATCGCCATTATGAGCCACACTGTAAGGAAGCTGACTGAATTAGTGTTGTGATAACAAGATATCAACTCACGGGAGCCGAGGAAGCAGGAAAAGCTCACACCAGACATCTCGTACTGCGATGTGTCTTGCTCATCTCAAACGGCCCGCTTCGACCGCGGGAAAATTCCGTGCAAGTATCAGCGTAAAACGTAAACCGTAAAACGTTGGACTTGGTGGAGATTCAATTGGAACTTTAGAACTTGCCCCGGGAAAAGAGCGGCTTGGGGCAGGCCAGGTACGTTTCAGGGCAAAAGTTGGCACTTCTTAACCGCTATACTATAGGTCACCACACAATATACTAGTAATATATAAAACTCTACTAAAATTGTATTACTAGGGCTAGGTAGAAATTTAAATGCTGGAAGACGGAAGTGAAGATGTCCTCGTGATAGCTGTCGAGGCAGGCATTTAGGGTTCTTGTCATGTACCTGGCCTTTCTATTGACTGTCGTCTATTTCTGATCTCTTCATTTCCACCAAATCATGCGGAATTTGACGCCGTCGTGATGAGATTCTCACGGAAATGACGCTCAAAGACCTGGACGATACTTGGAGTTTAGGCCAGTTTATGGGCACAGTGGAGCAACACACAGTGTACAAGCAGAGACACCAACAACCCCTGTAACGCCCCCACGGAACCCTTACTTGCGGCTCGTCCCGTCCCGTCCCGTCCCGCATGCACCACGAAAACCTACCGATACACCGACTAGCCACTTTCTCTCGTTCGAGGTTTGTGTCTTTAACGCTCAATACCGAGAGATATATCGTCACTTTTCTGCGATCTTCCAACCAGACATCAGTGACAAACACGTGCAGGTCATCCGTCACTTCCGTTCCAAAACCCCACCGAGCTTGGGGCAGCGAACGAGTGGGCCCCAGTCCGCCGTCTTTCACGGATGGCCAATTGCGCTGTCCACTGCAGATAGACGTCGTTGACCAAGAAACGCAGTGGACACCGTCCCATCGCGCGGCACTTAACCAGCGCATGTTCTTTACGGAATGCGGAAGCGCAGGTTAAGGGCATAGTGGGCGAGAAGGGGGTTCGGGGGTGGAACGAACCGCGGTCCGGGCTTCGGCTGCAGCTTTCGGCCCGCCCTCCGCCGCGCGCCCCTCTTGTTGCTGGAAATCCGGACCTGATCTAAGAAAGTTGTTTCGCTGAAAAGTTAGAATTCTGCGCAATGTCCTCCCATTTCAAGTTCCACCAAGAGTAGTACGGCAACGAACCTACAAGGCCAGTCTAACTTGAGTGTTGGCAATTGCAATTCGCAGCGCAACACAATACAGCAATGCTTTCTTCTCTAACTCGTTTGGGGATCTACGACATTTCGCTTGTTTAGTCTTGGTGCTTTCTAATCATCTGCCTACTCCCCTATTTCCTACATCAGAGTGCATGAGCTATCTGTTCCACGATCTACCCCTTCCGTTTCCCACCATAATCCTCTACCAGGTCGAATTGAACATGGCGAATGAATAAAGAAAATACTGCGGCGTTCGATAGTCTATAACACACCAGCATAAGCCATCAGGCTAGCATCCAGCTGTTCCTACTTCATGAACTCAAGCGCAACATGCCCAGATATTGTGCCCCCCATCTGCCTTGCCTTGTCCTTCGCGATCAGTTGGTCAATTACCACTGTATCCCCTCCAGCTCTCACATCTCCTATGACGCCGACGAGCTGCCGAGCCTCATCCGAAGCGACGGCGTATCTCACATTGCCCGCGACCTTCGCGGCTGGCTCCAAAATCGGTATGCTGACCCGCGCGTGTTGCGCCAGCATCTTCCTCTGCTGTTCTTCAAACCCTCTCGTGGACTTGGTCTGGTTCGCTCCGAACTCGACCACCGCCGGCATCCCGATGGAATGTCGCTCTATCTGACCCGTAATCGATTCCAAAGTTCTCGCGGCGGTGGCTTCCCCAGAGCCTCGTAGTGTCTTGGCGTTTTGGGCCATGATGACGCTGTCAAGAGACGTACGTTAGTAAACCGCTCCCCCAAACGACTTCAAGACAGAACTGCCTAAAAAGAATCGTTGGAAGTTTCACTTACAGAGGTGCAAAATAAAAAGTGATGATTATCGTAGTTTTGAAGCTGTGCAGAAAGTACACTGGGATCGTCGACGGTCTGATTATGCTCGCTTAGAATGGCTTTGGACTTGTATTCAATGTCTGTACGTTTTTCGACAAGTTATATAGATTTCTAACACCATGGCTGATATCGGAAATGATGGTTGTTAAGCGCTTGGGCACATGTTACTTCAACAGCGACAGAGATTGTACCGATTTCGTCGGCGGCTATTTTGGATGTTCGACCTTATGTGATTGGAGATTTGACCCAATTAAACATGGATGTTTGCCGACTTGCAATTGGACGCGGATTTTGTTTGATGTCCATTGCCGCATATTTGGAACATACCCTTGAACCAACAGACGGCGCTTAGATGCTTTGCGCTTACGTGCCTTGGCGACACGACCAACAGTTACATCAACGCTGCATTAACAAACCTGACTCACTGCCGAGAAGGTCATGGCTCTTGTCTTTAACGCTGACGTTGAGGCTGTTAAAATATTCTGAGCAACAGACAGCGCTTGGGTGACTTGGCAACAGAGAACACAACTACATCCACACCGGCTGCCATCCGAGCAACCCGATTCGTGAATGTGTAAGCGCGAGAGGATCTGTATTGCCCTTTTTACGGTTTACTTCAACAACGCAGTTCAACCCTTTTTGCTATCTTCCTTTCGCTTGACGCCGCACCAGCCCGAACACCCACATTCCCAAGCTGCAGTTATCAAGGCGTTTGCCCGAGCCACCACCACTGTATGGAACCAAATCGCAAGTGGGAAACGTCCTCTTTACCTGTCATTGATGGCGTCGATGAAGACATGGCCTCCTCGTTCATGGGTGGGAAGTCCGATCTCGTCTCCGCGAGTTCGATAGCGTTGGGAGTTGCCTCTGGGAACTCGAGACAGATAGTCGGGTCTGTCAACACGACTTTTTCAGGCCCGGTCAAGAGCGTCACGAACTACTACATCAATAAGTTTCCCCCGAGTGCCGAAGATCTCCAAAGACAGGAGTTTCGGGAGATTCTCGATTGGCTCGCACCACAACCTCAGGTCCACCGAGATATACTCAAGGGTGAAGTCGCAAAGCGGCTAGATGGCACTGGCGCATGGTTTTTCGATTCCGACTCGTATCACCAGTGGCTTTCGGGGGAAAAGCCTCTTCTCTGGGTCACTGGAGGATGTCAGTTATCTCAATTCAAGACCAGAAGCGACATGGACTAACAGCGGTGGTAGTCGGTACTGGTAAAACGGTCCTGTGTTCCTCGGTTGTGAGTAGTCTACAAACTGCCGTCAGTCAGGGCCACTTCAAATGCTCAGAAGCCTCGGTATGCTTCTTCTTCTTCTCGTCCCAGGACACGTCCAGACAATCGCTTTCGGTACTACTCAAGGTCATCTTGGGACAGCTTTGCAAACCATGCATCGTTCCCAAACCTTTGAGAGCCCTGTACAAGCGTTGCCAAGAAGTATATCCTCTAGACAACCCCTCGACCGGGGAACTTCGGGAAGCCCTCATCCAAACCCTCAGGATACAATGCGACGCGAAACTCAAAGCTCGTCAAGACGTGTTCATTCTCATTGACGCTCTAGACCAGATTCCGAACAGTCAATTGGAGCCAGTCACCAACCTCTTACAAGACCTCAGTCAGCTGGGACTATCTGGGCTTCGAGTATTATGCACCAGTCGACATCAACCGGATCTGGACTTGGCTCTTTCAAGCCCAGTAAGATGGCAACATCACGTCATGGACAGAGCCTCTATCGCCCGGGATATTGACATGTTCGTCCTGAATGCGCTGAAGTCTTCCAAGTTGAGGTCGCTAGGACAACACGCAAAGAACGACATCCTCGAGCGCGCTGCTCGTGAAGGAGACGGGATGTCAGTGGGCCTATCAATATCGTTTTTTACGAATCAAATATGCTCACACGTTAAACCAGGTTTCGTCTGACTGCCCTCAAAATTGCCGTTCTCGAGGACCTGCCTCTGAGAGGACCTCAAGACGTGTCTCGAGTTTTATCAACTTTACCAGCAGTTCTCTGCCATTCGTACGCAAGCATGCTCGCCGATATCCCAAGAACAGTGCGTGAAATTGCGCTTCGAGCTTTGAAATGGGTCGTCGCCGCTAAGAGGCCCCTCTTTATTGAGGAAGTCATAGAAGCGGTCTACATCCGTACAGAAAGTCCACTGTCGGAAGACCAACACAGCAATCGCTGTCCCGCTTCCGATCTTATACAACTTTTCCGTGGACTCGTCTCGGTCTATCCCGGCATCGAAGACTACGAAAGCATTCCACCAAGACGCCACGCTATCGAACTCTCTCACGACTCAATCCGAGAGTTTCTGACAGGTACGGATATCCGTGACACAGTTGCGGCATCGTTTGGCTTCAGCATAGCCGAGGCGAACGACGCCGTTGGTCGAGGATGCATCGTATATATGTATCAGTGCAAGCGATATGAGATTGATCCAAACGAAGATACCAGTCCACTGTTGTCGTATGCTTGGTACAACTGGGATAAACACCTAGAGTATGATGGGTTTCGACCCCGGGAGGCTGCGTCTCAAGCTTCTGCAGCACGCCTTCTCATGCGCCTGAAAACACGAGCTGAGACCGCCGAAGCCCTTCCGCGAACGGAGAACTCTTCCGGGATTGTCTCTGTCGAGCAGTCAAGAAGAGAAACGGTCTTGGACGATTGGATTAGCTGGATTCCTAGCGAGTACCTCCCCTCCTTCTGTGAAGCCCTCAACACCGCATTCTTTACTACTCCTTGCCGGGAATATGTCAAAGAGTCTGGCGTGTCAAAACTAAATATGCATTCTGCAAGCATACGGAACACCCTCGATCCTGGAATCGGAACATTCAGCGTCTCTCCGGATCTCGACCCAACGAAGCTTTCATACTGTGGCATCTTTCCTCGCCCCATGAAACAAGCACCACTGTATACGACAGGGTCATACACATGGGGCCGACAATTCTCTACCCAGCAGATGGCTATCTCTTCAACTACCGACCAAGAGTAATGCGTTTCGCGATTTAAGTTTTATGATACATGTTAGTTCTAGATAGAGAATGAGAACGCCAACGCAAACCGATGCATATCGAGACACCTACAAGTAGTATCATGCATGGAGTCATCTGAAAATTGGACGGTACTATTCTGGCACTCATCGACGCACGGATTAATCACAGTAAATGTTCTATTATCAGCTTCTAGTAGTAAATTCTGATACACTGTCCAGGCGGTTCGCTTGCTTTCGAAGAAAAAGGTGTAGCGCATCGCCTTTAAATGAACATGACAATGAAGCACGCTGCACGCAGCGGCTCGGTCTTGATTTTCCTCGGAATCCAATCACAGCATGGAGACACGTCTACGTGCATGATGCAAGACGTAACCCGAAAGAGCGAGCCTGCATAGAGCCCCAAATCAGCAGCCTGATCACCCATTCTGTCGGATCATTCAATGCATCCCCTCTTTTCATTTCCCTCATTGCTCCATGGCGTATCTTCGAAGAAAAGCGACAGCATGGCAGGTTCAGACCATCGCAAGCCCACTTCCAAGGGCATTTTCGGACGCGAAAACCGCGCCAAACTAAAATCAGTTTTCAAGAGACCCTTTTCCTCGTCCAAGAGTAGGCTTGATGGTGTCGGAGATGCGTCTCCGAGATTTTCTTCACTGCGAATCAGTTCGGAGGACAGCAGCGGAGAACGGCACGAGGGCATTGCAGAGGACACTTGCAACCATGCTCCATTCGGACCATCAATTACCACCGCTTCATCAAACATCTCAACTCAAAATGGGAATGAAACGGCGCAAAAACGGCCTCTCGAACTATCTCCAAGCATGTCCATTGCCCCAGCTATCCTCGACCGTCAAACACAAGCCGACGCATCTGCCGATAAGCTAGTCCAAGTCAACTCTGCTGCAAAATCTGGCAAACTCTCCACGGTCCCAACCAGATCAATTAAATTTCAGTCTTCGCCGGATGACGAAGAAGCGGGCGAGTTTCAACCCGGAGAACAGGCAACAGACATATGGAATGCTGCACTGGAGGATATCATGATGGATGAAGAGCTGAAGAAACATTTCAATGAGTTTGAGACTAAACTCAGAGCCCGGCTTAAGATTGGTGCGTTCAAGTACAAACTTGACAGTGTTCTCAAGCGGCTAACGGAAGACAACAGAGAGCTCGAAATGTTCGACAGACAAAAATTTGTGGCACAGCTCAAAGATAAAGACCCACATACAAGATGCGGAGTCAGTCGCTCAGAAACACGAGTCGCTGAAAGAAAACACAATTGCAATTCTTACTGTTATCTCTGGTCTTGGGTCGTTCGTGGGGAATATGCTGAAAGAGTGTCCTCCCGCCGCAATTGCATGGGCAGGAATTTGCGCTGCAATACCAGTAAGCATGGCCCCCGTGATCGCATATTGCAACTATGCTAAGCTCCAGCTCTCATAAGATAATTCAACAACCGATGCACGAGGACATAAACATGCTCAGGGGCTTGAGATACATTCGCGCCCAAGCAACGAAGTACTTCGCCCTACCAGATGAGCTTCTGAGAAACGAATACCAAGAGAAGAACACCGCCAGGTCCACCCAATCAATCCGTGACAATATCCAGGCGCTGTATGGGATCGTTCTCAAGTATCTCCTTCTCAGCACACACTATACCCCCCGCACATTCGGTCGTGCTGTGAAGTCTCTCATCGGCCAGGCTCCCTGGATTGAGTTGCTCAATGAGCTCCAAACCGTCGAGAGAGGTTTTCATGAACACGCACAAATCTTCCAGACTTCCATGGTTCTAAGAGAGATTGAGGCTATTGGCGACAAGATAACTAAGTCTGACGAAGGGAAGAACGCCAAGGAGAGAAAGGAATTTCTTGACCTTCTTCTTGGCGACGACTTTGACTACACGGACCGCCTCGCTGTTACCGAGGAAAGGCTGGACGGCACTTGCGAGTGGTTCTGTCGGCATCCCAACTTCGCAGACTGGCTGGAAAATGGGGATTTGCTGCTGGTCTCAGCAGAAGCTGGATGCGGCAAATCCGTTTTGTCCAAATACCTGATTGAGAAGGTCCTTCCCCAAGCGGACCCCCACGCGACGATTTGCTACTTTTTCTTCAAGGACGACAGCCCTCAAACACGAAGCTTCAAGAATGCTTCCACGGCTTTGCTGCATCGCCTATTTGCGTCAAACGAGGACTTGGCGGATGGTTGGAAGAACAAATTCTCGAAAAGCCCCGGTGCCCACTTTCAAAAGACCTGGAATGACTTCTGTAAAGCGTCCATTGACCCAGAAGCTGGTCGGGTCATCTGTGTTCTAGATGCGCTCGACGAGAGTGACCAAGAACAACTGGGTGACTTTCTCAGTAGCATCAGGACATATCTCACCAAGTTCCCACGAGACAGTCGAGCTAAATTTCTTCTCACCACCCGAGGATATCGGCCAATTAAGGAGCATTTCCAGGACTTTTCATCGGACATGATCATTCACTTGGATGGCGATAACGACGAAGAGAAGGACCACATTCAAGAAGAGATCAACAAGGTCATGAACCATCGCCTTAAGAAACTCTTCAGTAGAAGGTCTGATATCAGCAGCGATACTCGTCGGTTAATTGAAGACGGCTTCTACCAGCACGGCTCAAGACAGAGAACGTATCTGTGGATGCATCTGGTGTTCGAAGTTATCAAGAAGGACCGCCCGACGTTGAAAGCTGATTGGAGAGAGATCTTCGAGATCACACCCGACAAGATTGCCAAGGCATACGAGAAACTTTTGCAAGGAGTCGAGATCAAGTGGAAAGAAAGAGTACGAACTTTACTAGCCATCATCATAGCAGCGCAGCAGCCTCTAACACTGGATGAGCTGAACATAGCTCTAAGCGCAAGAGATAGTATCAGCAAGCCAAGAAGCTATGATGTTTACGAGGAACTATCAAGCTCTCTTGAGTTCAAGAGCTGGATGGAGAAGCAGTGCGGTTCATTTCTCGCAATCTACAACAAAACGGTGTATCTGATACACCAGACAGCCAAGGAGTTCCTGATGAGAGTACCGTCCAAAGCTGCAGAAAACGGCGATAAGGAAGTCCGCCACGGGTCATGGATGGGCACTTTGCTTGATCACGAGACGCATCGGTACATGGCAGAGAGCTGTATTTCTTTCCTCTCGCTCGAGCAATTTCAGACCTCGGAGTTTCTAAAAGATATTCAAAGCCAAAACAGGTCTCCAGGCAAAGAAGAAAGGGGGAAAAGCAGCTTAGATCGTCCTTTTTTGGCGTACTCAGTCAGATTCTGGCTGGGTCACTTCAAGCAGTGCCAATCTCGTTCAGGAACCTCGGGGGAAGTTGTCGATATCAGCCAGGACTTTGTCTCAGCGTATCAAAGCCTTTTCACCCGAAACGACCGCCAGTGTCACCAGCGGCATGGAGAAAGGAAGAAAGCCTGGTACTGTCTCATGATGAACGCTCAGCCTGCAGGAGTATTTCCTGATGACTATCCCAAAGCCAATAGTCTCCGACGACTATTTCCATACGCCTACAACGTGGCTCGCACGGCATGTCTTTTCGGACATTTGCGATTGCTGAAGTTTGCGGTCGAGGAACTCAAAGCAGAAGTTAAATACGAACCAGATCCCTTCGTCAGCAAAAGGACGAAAAACGTGCTGGACCCTGCGTTCTCACTCGCTCACTTCGCCGGCCATGGAGGCTCTGACTTATGTCTTTATTACCTAAGGGATCAATACTGCAGCATGGACATAAAAAGCCGCGAGGGCCAGACCCCTCTACACCATGCCGCTGCAAGAGGGATGGTATCAACAGTGGCGACGTTGATGGAACTTGGTGCATCTCCGACGCAACGAGACTCGAGTCAAAGGAGCCCATTGATCTTTGCCATGACCACGAGCGAAGGCAGATCAAATCTAAAGGGGCTTGTCCAAGCCCTCCACGAAGCGGCGCACACCGAGTCTATCGATACAATCGATATTGTCAATCGACTCGAAGGAAACGGCAGGGTTCGGTCACTGCTCTACTTTGTGGTGACAGCCAAGCCGTCCCCCGGAGAACTCCAATCTCAGGAGTATGTATCAATGCACCTGGAATTGTGGAAAAGACCCGAAGCGTTCATACGCAGCGAGGTCTTTGCAAAAGCGTACGAAAAGTCGACCATGAAAGCTCTCAAAGAACTCGGGGCCGAAATCGATCTCCCACTCCACCGGAATATGAGAGCACTTCACTTTAGCGTAGGCGAACCCAATCGTCTCTTGAACGCTGCCTTCTTGCTACATGCCGGGGCCAATGTACATGTGGTCGATGATCTCGGAAACACACCTCTCCATACTGCTACTCGAGCTGGAAATCATGCTGCATTGAATCTTCTCCTAGAGTATGGAGCCGATGTGAACCAAAGAGGCGGCGCAGGGGAAAACGTTGGTGATTGTCCTTTACATATGGCTTGCAAAATTGATAACGAAAAGGTCGCCATGACGTTGATTAGGAGGAATGCTAAACCAGAAGCGTTGAATTCGGACGGCTTGACGTGCCTTCAGGTAGATCAAACAAGTAGCAGAGGTGTAGATTTGGCTCGACTGATTCATCAAGAAGAAAGGAGAAACATCAAAACGCTCAAAATGTAGAGCGCAAGTACACAATTGAGAGCGTTGCGTGTTTATTCACAGTGGGATCAAATCTAGTATACGATGACCATAATTTCGATATTTACTTTCCTGCTCCAATTCGATGATGTCGATTGATGCTTTGCCTTAGTAATCTGTAATGAAAATACATATATCCTAAGGAGGCGCATAGTACCAACGTCTCTGGGGTGAATGGCACGGTTTTGAAGCAGTCTGCCGCCCGGTAGCTTAGCGGTATATCTTCTATCACCGATAAGTCCAGTCCACAAGCCATGAGTTCAATTAGACGCCAGACAACTCTACGGGTACTGAGTTGTCTGGCGTCTAATTGAACTCGGGTAGCTCAGCATTCAAGCTGACACTACTGTGAAAACAGCAAACGCAAAACTCGCTGATCAGGCATCTCGGAGACGTTTTTTTTTTTTTTTTTCCACCCTCGTATCTTACTTAATGATCATACGTCAATAGAATGTGAACGTAGCGATTGCGTTAATGCATTGCTGTAAGCCAATGGAGGGGGCATGTGTGAGAGCTGATTAGTTCGCTTGATGTCACTTTTTTCAGCGTACGGATGTGAAGAGGCTGGGTAAGATGCAGCCTTGATTTCCTACCCATCTTACCCAGATATTATTAGTAAAAGTGAGTGATTTGGTCCAGACTTGCCTCGGTTTTAAAGATACGCCTGTCGTCGTAAATGAGCGTTGCCCACGAGAACCTGATTCAGGCAGCGCCTGTTTCGCGTGCTGTCCAAACTTCATAACACTGTGGAGTTCTTCTGGGTGTCGAAGATGAGCGGCGGACATAGCTCAGTTGGGAGAGCGTCAGACTGAAGCGGGTCTCGTTCGAGACTTGGAAAACTTCATTCAATTCATCTGAAGGTCGTGTGTTCAATCCACACTGGCCGCATCTTCACTTTTTGCTCATCTTCTTTCTCGTAGACTGCAAAGCGTTGAGAACAGGTGAATCTTTTTGATACCCGGCCGGTGTTGTGGTGTTGAGTGAGATTCTCTGGTGGTGAGGAAGGGGTGCGTAGGTGGTTGAACCATGGGAGGGAAGGCAGGCGCCGGTCGTCATTACCCAATAGATCTCAGCCAAAATGGACTTGAAAACTGACCGATCAATTGTTCCATTCGATCCTATTTGCATTTGATCATTCAATGTGCAAGTGAACGATGAATCTGGAACGTTTACTTGAACGTTGAAATTAGCATCAGAACCGTGATCAGACGAAAGGAAGGAAGCTACAGTGACAGCGCTGTGTTTCCGCGGCTAGGGGGTCCGTGCAGCGGGATCCCTCCGGAACACGCGCCAAATCGACACCCAGATTCGTCTTGTCAATCGCTCTGACGTCGGGCATCTGAACATTTTCAGTCGACAACCATCGCCCACCATGTCGCGAAGACCGGCCAAGGGAGATTACATCGAGACCGTACGTCGCCTCCGACCTTTCCCCGACCGACAATCCGTCCTGCCTCCATCCGCGCACAGCTAACGGCCCGCCGCAGGACACCGGCAACAAAGTCGCCCGCAAAGCGACGCTGGTCGGCACCCAGAACATCATGCTGGGCGGCAAGACCGTCATCCAGCCCGAAGTCATGATCCGCGGCGACCTCGCCCGATCCGCGCAGCCCTCCGGCGGCGGCGCCCCGGCGAACAGCACCGCCGTCGCCATCGGCCGGTACTGCTTCCTCTCGAGGGGCGCCGTCCTGCGGCCGCCGGGACGAATGTACAAGGGGTGAGTGATTAGCATTCCACGACGCACCCTTCTCGCAGGACCAGTTCGAGGCTAACCGGCATCTCTGTGCGCGCGCAGAGCCTTCACGTACATGCCCCTCCGAATCGGCGACCACGTCTTCGTCGGCCAGAACACAATCATCCAGGCCGCCTCGATCGGGACCCACGTGCACATCGGCCGCGAGTGCGTCGTGGGCGAGTTCGCCATCGTCAAGGACTACGTCCGCATACTCGAGGGCACCGTCGTGCCGCCCAACATGGTCATACCGAGTTTCAGCGTCGTCGCGGGACAGCCTGCCAGGGTCGTGGGGGAGGTTCCCGAGGGCGGACACGAGGAGTTTGAGCTGCGCGAGCTGTACAAGACCGTCGGGAACAATCCGCAACCTTTGCCGGTGTGACGATGTAGGATTTACGATTTGGCGCCGTCGAACATACATACAAGGGGGCAGTTATCATCAGGAAGCATAAGGGACCGGCGTTTGGAGCAGTTAGTCATTTAGCATCGAGCTAAGAAGATACCCCCGAATTTGAGCAACGGCTCACCCAGCACTACATGCTTGGGAGGACCAAGACGAACGATGCGTAGATCAAATATTCAGGATTACCGGTATGGACTGCGATCAAACAACACGCAACGTCTGGCAAATTGACACGCACAACCAACCAGTTCAGCCAGACACGCCGCCAACTTGCAACTCCTCTACGCCACCCACTTTACACTACCAGTCCCTCAAGGCTCGCCGGGCCAGATGGAGTCAGCAAGCTGCCTCACCAGACGCAGCTTCTTGACCATATCCTCGTGCGTGATCGAGTTGCCCAGGTGGTGACTGGCAAACCCGCACTGCGGACTCACCCCGATCCTCTTCAACGCCTGCTCGCGCGTCTGGCCCGCGCCCTGCGCGACGAAGTCCGCCGCCTGCAACACGCGCTCCTTCGTCTTGCCGAGGTCCTCGAGCTCGGGGAACTTGGAGGTGACGACGCCCAGGACGACGTTCTTGTGCGCGGGCAGCTCCTTGAGGGGCTCGAAGCCGCCGGCGCGGTCGGTGTCGTACTCGAGGAAGTACGTGTCGGCGTTGATCTCCCTGAACAGGCGCGACGCAATGCGGTCGTAGCCGCCCTCGGAGAAGTGCCGCGAGTAGGCGAAGTTGCCGCGGCAGAGGTGGATGCCCAGGTGCATGTCGGCGGGCCGGGAGCCGATGCAGTCGTTGTAGAGCTTGATGTAGGACTGCAGGAGGGCGTCGGAGTCCTCGCCTGCGTCCTTGAAGCCCTGTAACATCTTCTCCGAGCAGAAGTCTGGGGTGGGTCGTGTCAGAAGGGTTTTCTTGATTGACGCGCTGGGAGGGCGGAGGGAACTTACATGCGAGGTTGGGGTCGTCGATGGTGACGTTGCGCACGCCGTGCTCGTAGAGGATTTCCAACTCGGTGCGGTAGGCCTTGGCGATGTCGGCGAAGTACTCCTCGTCGTTTGCGTAGACGTCTTTCGGGTACGCATGTCCCTTCTGGTATCGGAGATGGTACCACTCGGGCGCGGGCAGGGTGAGCTTCGCCTCCTTGACTCTCTCAGGCGGGATGAGGGACTTGAGGAACTCCCATTCTCTCAGGTAGGTGCTGCCCTTGTGCTTGATCTTGCCGGTGCAGAGGATAGATTCGCCGGGCTTGTGGTCGCTCTCGACTGGTGACATTTCTGTTAGACTTAGGCGTGCGGAAAAGAGTCCACCCCAGACTTACTGAATGCCGCGATGTCTGGCACGTACATGCGGAAGATATCCCAACTCGGGGCCGGAACCTCCTCGAAACCCTCGAGTCCGGGGAAGAAGTTGCCCCAGAACTGGTGGCGACGATACTCGCCATCGTTGATGGCGTGGAAGCCGAGGTCCAGCTGTGTCTTGACAATCTCGCGCACGCCCTCCTCTTCCAGACGGTTCAGCTCCTCATCGCCGGCAATCTCCACAGCTTTCTTCTCGTCAAGAGCGATGCGCTTCTCCGTAAGGGCCTTCGGTCGCAGAAGCGAGCCCATGTGCTCGGCGCGGAATGGCGGTCTCTGGTGATTCTTGGCAGCCATGATGGATTCTTTTACAGCAGGACTGAGAAATTGCATGCTTTCGGGCAAGGCCCCCAGGGACGGGTAGCTTGGGTGTTGTTGACTTAAATAGACGTAAGTAAACGCGGGACTACCTTGTTTCCGAGCGGGATGGCAGTTCGGCAATGCGAGATAGAAACCAACTTAGGAAGCTACCTCTTCGAGAACTGCCCGGGTCAAGGTACGCGGGCCTTCGCGCCGGCGGGCGGCCCGTGGAGGGGTAAACCTTTGCCCTCTCAGCCCCCTCGTCCGTCGATGTCATCGCCGTTCGATCATCACCACAATCCCCAAGCTTCCCGCCCACCTCGGCCCCCGCTTTCCCCGCCTTTGTCATAGCTGACGAGGGACGGTGCTCTCAGAGACGGCAAATGGCAAAGTCCGGTAACGGCCGCTTAATCACGATTTCCCGTGGTGGTCATCTTCCTCGTCTTAACTAGTGGGCTTTGGGTGCTGGAAGTGGGTGTTGAGAAGAAGTTCGGACGGTCACTGTGGTGGAGACCGCTGGAAGAATAAGGAAGTGCTTGTAAGTGCTGACTGGGCAGGTTATTCATGATCACGAATGGGACTTTTGCTTTGTAGCTTCGTCCTTGTCTTGAGTTGCACTTGGCTGCATGCGCTCGAAGATTTGGATAAGTTCGAGGTGAGGACTGGAGGTGACCTCACAAAGAATCGGAGCTCTTATCGTTATCATTATCGTTATCTTATCAGCGAGCTATAGTGGAGCCGATTGTGGCGATTCGAATGCGACAATCCGTGGTCAACCCCGCGATGACATCTCAACCGAGCCTTCCATTGTTCATGCCCTTCCTTCAGTCCGGGTTTCCAAAGAACGCAATATCGAGAGGATATCTGCATCAATCCATATGAGGCACTCGGGATAATACGAATCCAATCCCGGTCATTGGTTGAAGCACTGCACTTCATCTGATCTTGAAACTCGCCTCGGCCGAAACATTCCCGTGACACAGAATTCCTCGACGACGTACGACGTGGGAAGAACACCTCTTTTCGTATATCTAACATCTGCAGATAAATCATACCACACAAAAAAGATATCTAAATCGGGCTGCAAGGTCACACAATGGCTCTCACCATCAACAACCTCCCCAATGAGATCCTGGCCCAGGTGTTCACACATCTCGACAGGCCCGCGCCATCTGATTCGCGGCTGCACGATCAGCCGAGCTCCTTGATGCTACAAAACCCCTTCTTTGACCGCGATCTCAAAACCGTATCCGTGGTTAACAAGAGATGGCGCGGCGCCGTGCTGCCCCTGCTCTTCCGGCATATTGTGTGGACCTTCGACCGCTTCGAGCTGCCCCTCATGGAGGAGACGGGGGACCCGGCGTCTGCCATCGACCTACTCTCATTCCTCCGAGACAACAACCTGACGAACTACGTCAACACCCTGGTTATGTTCGCCGAGGACGCCATGGGCAGTCTATCGACGCATGGTGCCAGCAATGTCGAGTTGATGGAGACCGGATACGCAAGCAGAGCTTCCTACAGCGAAGAACATAACTGGTTGTGGAGGACGTTGTTCACATACGTTGATCCCGTACGATTGACCATCATTGCGTCGCCGCGCGTCCTTGCGCAATTGTTATCGCGCATGCTCTTCTTGGGAGACGCTTGGAACTTCGACATGCCGCAACACATCCTGTCCCTCTCACGAAAGGACAAGAAGACAGTCACCACCAAGTACAAAGCAGCCGCGGCCGCGTCATCTTCCAGCCATGCGGCCGACAGCGACGTTTCGGATCAGAAGCGTGTCCCATGCGATCTCTTCACGATCCGCCCATGGCAGGCCATGCTACTCAACGAAGGCTCGTCGACCCGCGTCTACAAGACGTACGAATACTATCTCAAGCGCCCGCCCTCCATCCTCGGGGCCCTCTTCGGCGCGGAAGAGTTCCCCAACGACGAGCCGCTCGTCGCGCCCTCCATCCGCGACTTCTCCTACGTCGCCATCTTCCCCCTCTCCAGCCACTTCAACACCCTCGTGCAGAACATCGTCCCACTCGACCGCCTCTTCGTGCAGCTCGTGCCCCGCAACGACATCCTGCAGGACGCGGACGAGATGCGCAACGTCGACATCAGCGACCTGTGGATGGAGCGCAACACGTCGTATTCGATGCTCTTCCGGGAGCTCTTCGACCCTGAGCCGGGCAGCCCCTGGCTGCAGCTGCGGACGTTCGAGAGCGGCGACGCGGCGGACCGCGAGGCGTGGGAGATGGCTGTGCAGTTTGTGCAGTTCAGCGGCGTCCAGGGATGGAAGGTCGAGGGCGAGGGCGTCTTCGTACGGGAGGACAAGGAGAGCGGGCCGAGCACGATTCTCGGTATGTCTCGGTCAGTGGAGCCGGAATCATGAAGAAGTCTCGGAGAAATTTGAAGGAGGTGCTAATGTTGGTTTTCAAAGGTTGCCTAGCCAGCTAAGACGTATGGCATTTAATGGTGTGGCTACGCTGCCGGTTTCCAGCGTGACACTCTACATGGGAGGTGGTGGGCCATAGAGGGTATACAATGGCAGTGTACGAGGGTGGAATTCGATCTATGTCATTCAAGATCTGAGATTCTCATGACGGTTTCTTGCATCTTCGTGCATCATGATCTTTGCCAAATCAATGGATAAGAAAGTACTAGTTCCGAGACAAACTTGCCGGCTTAATTTGGGGAATAGCCGTCGGCAACTGCGCAACGTAACAGAGTGCGTGTCATGGATCATGAAAGCAGAAGGCCTGTTTTCAAGCATAATTCTTCGACAGCGTGCGTACATTATTAATGGCGCTTGGTTTTGAGAAGAGATTGAAGGGACCGTTCAAGTGCTATCTTATTTACTGTAGCACAGTGATGTTGCACATCGAAGGAATCTTCTACATCTTAAGATTTCAGCTTCATCTTCCGTCAATAAAGGCAAACTCAACAACTGGCCATGCTGGTCTGCACAAACGCCGACATGTCGTGTCTATGACTAATGGATCTGTTGACGTGTACGACGGACAAGACATGGGCTTGTTAAGCCATCCAGGGCCTCAGTCTTCCCCGCGTTCCCTTACTCATGTCAATCAATGCCAATCCGGTTGCGATGGGCCAATCGAAGCTTAATCGAAGTGCAATCGAAGTTGACGAAGTCGAGTCTGGAGCCAATCAGGACTCGAAGGTCGAAATCCGGGGAAGTTGCAGCGCACACCCTGGCAACAAGCGAATCGAAGAAACGGTTGTCGAGAGTCACGAACTCGGGGAATTCGACACAGCAAGCCGTCAATTCCGCGGTGTGTTTCACACACAAACTCTAACATCCCACAACGAAAGTCCGCAGGTGAGGTCGGGGTCCAAGGTGGGGCCAAGGTGAGGCTCAAAAGAAAAGCGCGACATCTCACAGCGAGGTCTCGGTGAGCTCGGTGTACTCCGCATCATGTGATTTCGCCACCGTAAAGGCCCAAGCTCGCCTGACGAAAAGCGGGCGCCTCGAGATCGCCCGACCAATCATACGATGACACTATCGCAGACAAAGCCAATCGGCGCATCCTCTCAATGGCTGGAAAGACCCGGTGGATGACCCGGCCATGTCGGGGGTCCTGCTCCCCTCTTGCTCTGTGCTCTGCTAGTGGTCGCGCATTCTGCCAAAAAGAAAGTCGCACCGAAGCTTCTTCCCCAAAATCAATCGACCTATCGTTCGATGTACGCACGGGTGTCGTCGCACACTACATCATTCCAGCCCGGCCGCTCTCCTCCCCTCCTCTCGTCTCCTCATCTGCCGCCTTCTCCTCATCATTAACCCCCGTCCCTCTCCCTTTTTCTTGCCATCTTCTTCTTCTCCTCCATCCTCTCCTCGCTGCGCTCAGTGACGAACGAACTTGCATCGAGCAAACCCCGAAACAGACAGACACCGACCACTCGGTGGCCGAGCTTCCGTGGCGGATATAGCTTCATTTTTCTGCCCTTCTAGACACCTGCCAAAACTGCATTGGGTCGCCCACGCCAGCCTGGGGATGTCAACACCTCCATCCCGACGAACGTGAGCGCTTTCTCGCACCCGAAGAAGATCGAAGACGTCAATCGAAGTTTACACCAACCGACGACGCAATACCACAACACCCAACTGAGCCGTTGCTGCAAAGATGGTCCTCACCCACTCGACGAACCACACGTACTCCCACCCCTTCCCGACCGTCACGCTCGCCTACTTCCTCCGCTACTCCTCCCCCAAGCTCAATCCCTTCTCCACCCATGTCCTCAGCACCGACACCATCGACAGCCGCCTCGACCCGGCCACCGGCAGGCTGCACACCACGCGCATCCACCTGAAGAAGTCCCGCATGCCCGCGCCCGTCTTCAAGCTCCTTCCGGCATCCATCACCGGCGGTGGCTCCGCCGAAAAGGCGAGCTATGTCCTCGAGACTTCAGTCGTCGACGTGCGCGAGGGCTGGATGCGCACCGAGAGCCGCAACCTCAACTTCATGAACGTCCTCTCCGTCATCGAGAAGCAGGACTTCCGCCTTCCCGCCGAGGCCTCCGCCGATGCGGCGACCGACGTCACGACCACCGTCATCTACAGGTCCCGCCTCGGCGAGAGGCTCCGCGGCGGCAAGAAGGACCAGCTGCCACAGGCCGCCCCGGAGCAGCCGGAGCAGAAGGAGGGTCGCTGGATGCCTGGATGGATGAGCGGGATCGGTGCGCGGGGCATCCAGCGCAGCATCGAGAATCTGGCCTCGAGCAAGACGCAGGATCAGATGGGCAAGAGCCGCGAGGGCATGCGCGTTGTGCTTGAGCGGCTGAGAAAGAACGGAGTCGTCGGAGTGCTGGAGATGATGAGACGGGAACGCCAGTTGGCTTGATTTCCCCCCGTCACTTTGGACTTGGAGCGTGTGACCCGGACTGGAGGAGAGAGCACACATTGTACACCATTGACGAAGCCCGGTCTTTTCTTCTCATCACGGCCGGGCAGTCCGCGAGTCCGCTCCTCGTTCCTGTACACCCCCCACCCTTGTTGTACATTATTATATGACCATAGCGCGGCGTCTTCATGGCTTTTCAGGCGGTTGAAGAGAGGTCTCTTCAGGCAAAAAGGATCACGACGGAAAACACACAAAACTTTGGGCTTCCTCTGTCATGCCGACGCTGTATGACATCCCCTCTCTTGTATCCTACACGGATGTAGTTGAAAAAATGTAAAATTTCAATCTTCAAACAATCGTACCACATTGGTCCCATCCTCGCTTTAGTGTGACTTTTGTGTAACTTGCAAGACTTCAAGCAGCCACCTGAACGAGACACAAGCCTGCCTCATCAAGTCACTTCTGCGATGGCCTTCTCGGCGGTCCGAAGCGAGGTTCCACGAAACGAAACCCAACGGGCCTACGACAAAGAGCCCGCTTCCGGACCGCTGACAACCTGGGACCCTTGCGAGACAATCGCCGGGCACCTTTCGCCCGTTGCTGGCGCACAGCCGTGGTCCCTTTAAGCACATGTCCCGGGTCTTGGCGATCTGCAGAGAGCACGTTTGGGGTTTGGACGATTTGAATTGAAAGACGCCGGGGTGTCCCATGGTATTTGTAGACGGCCGCGAGCGCTATCCAAACAATCAAAGCAATAGAGAAGGATCGCAGCAACGGCGATGGATACCAATTCATGAACTCTCGATGCCAGCACTCTTGGTCGGCTTATGCATTCGCTCTAGATGGTCTACATACAATATGGTACACTTACACACGCGGCGTCTCGACCTCACTTCTGCGCCTTCTTCTCCGCCATCAACGCCGCCGCCTCCTCCTCCGCCATCATGGCCTCGATGTCCTGCGACACCATCCAGTCCCGCACGCCGTCAAACACCTTATCCAGCGTCTCGCCCCCCGCAATCACGTCCGGGAGGTCGTGCACGTCGATCCCGGCCCGGTGGTCCGTCACCCGGTCCTGGCTGTAGTTGTACGTCCGGATCTTGTCCCCCCTTGTGATCTGGTTCTTGGAGAGCACCGCGTTCCGCAGGTTCGCCGCCGCCGCCTGGGTCGCCTCCCGCCGCTGCAGCGCCACCCGCGACCGCAGCAGCTTCCACGCGTCGTCCCGGTTCCGCTGCTGCGACCGGTTGTCCTGCATGCTCACCACCGTCCCGCTCGGCAGGTGCGTCATCCGGATCGCCGACTCCGTCTTGTTCACGTGCTGTCCGCCCGCGCCCCGCGCCCGCATCGTCTCGATCTTGACCTCGGACGGGTCGATGTAGAAGTCCGAGTCCGGGTTGTTCACGTCCTCGGCTTCTGCTCCGCCGCCGCCGCCCGACTCCTGGAACGACGGGAGCACCCACACGGCCACCGCGCTCGTGTGCGTGCGGCCCTTGCTCTCCGTCGCCGGCACCCGCTGCACGCGGTGCATGCCGGCCTCGCCGCGGAACACCTCGTACGCGCCCGGGTCCTGGACCTCGATGATGGCCTCCTGGAGGGGCTGCTCGCCGGCGGCCGAGGTCGAGTCGCCCGCGGCGTCGGCCATCTCGTACTTGAGGACCTGCGCGCGGAGGCCCTTGCGCGCGCAGAAGCCCTTGTACATCTTGAAGAGGGTGTCGGCGAAGAAGCGGCCCTCGAGGCCGCCCGGTCCCGGGCGCATTTCCAGCAGGCAGGGCATGTGGGCGAAGGGGTCTTTGGGGGTGAGCGAGGCGGAGAGCTTGCGGGAGAGGGCGCCGAGGTGGCCGGTTGTGGACTGCAGCTCGTCCTTTGCCATCTCGCGCAGCTCCTTATCTTTCGAGATGAGCATGCCCTTGAGCTCGGCGATGGATGCCTGTGCCTTTTCCCATTCTTTCAGGGCGTGGACGACGCTCGCGAGCTCGCCGATGCGGCGGGCCGTTTTGGAGTCGTAGTTCTCCTCGAGGGAGCGGGCGAGGTCGTCGTGTTCGGTCGCGAGGTTTCGGGCGCGTTGGAGGAGGGCTGGTGGGAGGTTCGTTGCGCCTGTGTCTGGGGAGGGGGCCGTTTTAGCGGTGCGAGAAGTGGTGTGGGCATGAGGAAGAGGAGCTTGCCTGTGCTAGAACGACGGATGAATTGGGCGCTCCTGGGTTTGAGGAGTCCTCCCAAGCACCGGCGGCAGACCCATGGTGCCGCGAGCATACTCGTTCGCCGAGGGTGGTGGAATTGGTGAGAAAAGTTGGTGAGGCCACCGGAAGTTTTGTTCGAGCTGATCGACAGAAGCTCAGGTACGAAGTCGCTGCAAAGTTCCGCCTTGGCGCAGGGTCTAATGCGCTAATAGAGATTACGTAAGAGGCGCTCACCATTCATCATCCCATCTCGTGCAGGTTAATATCTGCATCGAATTCCTTCTTTTCCCTCTCTTGTTGGTCGAAAGACATCGGATGTCCTACATATCAGTAGACATGGCTATCATTCATCCCGCACCGGTCTCCCTATACGCGCAGCGTCCCTCGCAGTCCTTCTCAGGTCCGCCTTGGAGCCAGGGTAAACCTCCACAGCACGCCACTTCCAAAGCAAGTACTGCCGTCGAATGATGTTAACCACGAGCGGAGGTGGAGGAAGTTTTTACTCTACTAAGCACTAATTCTCGTCGTTATCGACGCAGAGAACAGTATGCTAAACCGTTCCGCAGACCACTGATGGCCATCATGGCACCTCAAGCTCCGGGATTGGGTGGCTACGTGCCGCCGTTATCCGACGCGATGCCTCATCTTGGAGGGTTCTCGACTTGGCAAGGCGCCCAGGACGTTCGTAGGCGAATTGACAGCCTTCGTTCATACGATTGGTACGGGAGTATTGACCCAGAACCAGCATCACCTGCATGCATTGTTGCACATGCATGTAAGCTGTGCTACCCATGGCTAAGCCCCATGAACACGTTCGCGAACCCTACTCGTCAGCCTGATCCTGACTGGAATAATGCGGCCATTCTTACGGATACGTCTTCGCCGCCTGGCATTCGCGCCATTTTCTGACGAGCCGTTCTTTCTCCCCTCAAGCTGCATGTTTCTTGCACCGGAATCAACCCCATCAAGTGGTCGAGGCAGGTTCTCGGTTTTGTTCAGCTCTCCATCGCGACGGGATATCTTCCAATCGATGAATCATCTTTGAATCAATCACCGGCGGCTTTGCGAACAGCTGCAAGTAACAATGGCGGAAGTTCTGGGTACAGTCGTGGGCGTGGTCTCTTTGGGACTGCAGGTGTGTTCGGGCCTCAACGTCTACATCGACGGCCTACAATGCTGCAGAGAGGAGATAGAATCCACCATACGCCATCAGAAATCATTGGAAACGCTCATCGCGCAGATCGAAGCACTCCACAACCGGCGTCAGGCGCCTGGCATTTGCTCTGCACCGCTTCAGGAGTCCATGGCATCAGCTAAAGCTGAGCTAGGACTGCTTGATGATTTCATCAGCAAGGTTTGCGTTGAAGGCGCGAACGGCACCGACAGATCCGCCGTGAACATGATGAAGATTCAGAAGAAAAGGCTACTGTACCCCTTTCGTAGGGATCGCTTGGATCGACTCGTTGCTCGGCTCGACGTGGTCACCAAGGCCCTTCAAGCAGCCCTTCAAGTATTCGAACTGTAAGCATTGTATGACAGATGCGATGACGAATTACTCACTATTTTTAGTGAATCATCACTCGAGATGAGAGAGCAAGTCCTCCAGACAGTATCAAGATCCGAATTGACCATGCTCAAAATCGAGAGAAAGATTGACGAGAACGCCTCACTGGCTAATCTGCCAGATTATACGACCAAGCAAGACATGATGAAATTGGAGAAGTTGATAGTCGATCTGATTTCTTCAAGCGCCGCGGGCACGTTGAAAAACATGGTCTCGAAGCCGAGTGCACTGAAGGTCATCTGCGACAGCATGACCAACCCAGAAACGATGTCCTTGACGGGCGGATCTTCTCTGGCCTCGTCAGGAACTGTTACAAATGAGCCTATCTGCCAAGAGACGAAGATACGGTCACAGTTCCACTGCACTTGCAACCCGAAGCGTATCCTACGACGACAGAAGCGATCGCTCGGGCCGGTTTCCTTTACGAAAGAGGCAGTCACGAAACGGGCCCACGCCATTGGATGTCCTTTCGCTGTCTTTAACGTACATGATGCCAATAGCTGGTCTGCTGGTATCACGTTCAGAGTGTTTCGAGGACTGGTTTCAACAGCTATCAACATTTCGCTATCAATTACTACGGGGGCCGGCGGATTTGGGATGTCTCCTTCATTTACGTGTTTTCAGATGCGTCAAACCAGCCCCGCGTTCCAGGTCGTGAAAATTCTGCTGCTGGCCTCTAACGCGCTACGACGTAAATCGACCAATGAAGAGCTTACCAAACTGTTTGAGCGAGGTATTCACACCCTGAAGATAGTCATCACGTCTAGGGCCTCCTCGCCGTTCGACATTGATACAAACGGCGGCACTTTGCTGCATGCGGCATCCAGCCCATACGAGGGGAAGTGGACAAACCACCGGCACGAATTCATCAAATTCCTTCTCACAGTTGGCGTTCCACGGGACCGTCCGAACCAATACGATGAGTGAGTTCCACGCCCACACCCGGATGGGATCTTTCACGTTCAATGTGTTCATATTTATCCAGGTACGCGTTTCAGGTTGCATCAACAGGTTGGTACTTTTACCGTGAGGGTGATCTACGAGCGGTCCAAACATTCGACGCTCTCCGGCCCCAAGAAGATACCTTTACCTCTGAAATGTTGAGGTCCCCAATGGTCCATGGCATCTATCAATTCGAACCCATGAGATTTCATCAAACGTGGATCAAGAATTCCATCACAGCAGCCCAGGGTAAGGAACTGCTCCGCAGAGATTGCCTCAGAACTAATGCTAAGATTTCAAAGTATATTGCGGCCATCCTCTAGAAGCTATTCTATCCCGTGATAGGTCAAGGTTGCTTGAGGCTTTAGGCGAACACCTGTCTCTGGACTTGTCTGAAGCCGACGCATTCGGTTTTCCATCTTTGTACCATCTCATTGGATGGCCTGAAGGCTTGAAGATGGTTTTGAGTCGATATGGCAAGTCGATTCTTCATTCTCACGATAAAGGCGTAGTGGCCTCCACGCTTGAATGCGCTCTGCAGTGGAGTGGCGCTATCTGCAGCGGCCCATGGGATGGCAACTGCTTGGGAACGTGTTCCTGCTGGGAAGCAGTGAGCATTCTTTTGCAAACCGACAGCGAGTGTTTGGCCAGGGCAACCCCAAGAAAATCATGGCTTTACGCAATAAGAGGAGCATCTGCAAGAGCACGAGATATGGTAATCGATGAGCTTGTGGACCGGCGACAGGAGCTAAGAGCACTAGCGCTGCGTTTTTTGAAACCTTCAGAAATCGACTGTTTTGATCTTATCGGAAACAACATGCTCGATAAGCACACAGGCAACGTTTTGAGGGCACTTGACGACAAAGGGATATTTGTACATCCAAGTCTGCGCACGGAGGTAGTTGGCGAAGAATCAAGCACCTCGGGATCCATATATCATGCCGAAGGGATGTGTCACGACGGGACATGGAGGATGCCCAACGCATTCTATTCTCGAGGTTTCACGGAAGTCGATGTTCCAAATTCCAACGGCTTGGTTCCTTTAGCTATTATCGGAAACCCCTTGCACTACAGGAAATGGCTTGTGGAACATGGCGCAAACTTGGCAACCGAAATACCTGGTAGACCTGTCGGTTTTACCACGGCGCATATGTTGTTATGCCCCTGGCACACCTTCTTCTCATCACCTCCATCGCTCGAATACACCTCCGGCTTATTCAAGTCACTCAGAAGCCATGTTTTTAGTTCTCCGTCTCTGGATACATGCAAATGCGGTTGTTCGAAAGGCGGCTGCCATCCTTATTCAGTGATGTGGAGGGCGGCGTTGGGAGACTGGTCAGTTGACCAAATAACAAAAGCGTCACTGAAAAAGACGGGGGACGAAATCATCAGGCTATGCAAACATTTCGAAACAGACTGCACACTTTCGCGAGACGAGAGATCAACTTGTCTGCGAGTGTGCACCTTCATGGCCCTCCCAGTCCGCCACACCTGCTGCAGCTCCTGGGAGCACAAAAAGCATCACGGCGGTAACGGCTATTTCGAGTGGGCATATTGGGTTTGCGAAGAAGACGAGGTGGAAGAAATTCAGGAAGAGGATGCCAATGAACTTGCGCTCCTCGAGAGTCTACTTCTTGAGTTCGAAAGCAAGATCGACGAGATGGGTTGCGCTCTGGCGACGTTCTTTAAGACATACTGGATGGACCGAATGGGGCAGGTTCTTCAGGAAATCCAAAACCGAACCCTTCTCGAAGAAGAAGTTCAGGGTGCCGAAAGACTAGGCATATCATTGAGAGTTGAAGAAGAGAACATGCAGGAGGATTGGACTCAGCTGGAGTATTGGTTTCGCAAGCTGGATGCTGTAGTCGCCTGATGGTGTTTTTATTGTTATATACAGTGGGGCGCTGAAGTAAATCTGACATTAACGTTCGACTTTATTCGCAGTGCGATTAATAAGTATTTCTATTAATTTAATTATATGTATTAAACAAGGCTCACACCGCTCTATAAAATCAACTTGAGAGGCAGATATGATAACATGATTTTTACTTGAGCTTCTTCAGCAGCCTAGAGGCACGGAGTTAATTCCGTTGGTTACCCTGATTGATCTCACCAAATGAGAAAATTGGTTCATCGCATCGGCCAATACCTTGTCGGTGATGGCCCATTGATAAAGCTTGTTCGCTTCCGGCCTGTCCTCCGTGACGGCATTTTAGCCTCTTGGCCGTGATGCTTCTAGACCCAATTTACTCTCTGGTGCAGCGCCCTTCCATTGACATGACAACACGAACCCCACATCGGTCGCTCGTCATATCGATGTGCGGATTACCAACATCATTTGATAGCTCAACTTGTCACAGCTTGGCTCTCAGCTGAATAGGTGTTACAGCTTGCATTGACAATCCATCTGAACTATTCGTAGTTCTATCCTTGTCTCTCAGCGGCGGTGGGGACCCGCCTGCATGACCCTACCACTGTAGGGCGCCAAACGCTGGGATACGAAACATCACCAAATGAGTCAACTCAGCTATTACTGTGATTGTATAAATTGACCTCATCGCTCTGTCTTTGAGCGTAGACAATTGTCTCATTACTTACCTATTCTTCACAGTGTTCACCAAGCATCATTTTGTAGTGCTCACCGAGTCACCAAGCACAATGGACTACGTTCTTTACATCGGGAATAAGCGCTACTCCAGCTGGTCCATGAGACCCTGGGTCCTCCTCAGAGCACTCAATATTCCTTTCGAAGAACGCCTGCAAACATTCGTCGCCGGCCGTCGTCAGCCCGCCTTCCTCTCCTTCTCCCCGTCTGGCAAAGTCCCAACCCTCGTCGACGAAGACATCACCGTCTGGGACTCCCTCGCCATCGTCGAATACGTCGCCGAGGCCCACCCCTCCGTCTGGCCGCAAGACTCCAAGGCGGCCCGCGCCTTCGCCCGCAGCGCCGCCGCCGAGATGCACACCGGCTACGAGGCCATCCGCGACCAATGCTCTATGAACGTCGCGCTGCGCATCGACCTCGGCGGGCCGCCGGACGCGGCGCTGCAGCGGGATCTTGACAGGCTGGAGGAGGTCTGGACGGACGGGTTGAAGAGGTTCGGAGGGCCGTGGGTGGCTGGTACGGAGTTCAGCGCCGCGGATGCGTTCTTCGCGCCTGTGGCGACGAGGGTTCGGACTTTTGGGCTGCCGTTGAAGAGCGCTGAGGCTAAGGAGTATGTCGAGAAGTTATTGGAGCATCCTGCTGTCAAGCAATGGGTTGAAGAGGGTATTGCGGAGACGGCGAGGGAGCCGATGCATGAGGAGGACGTGTTGAGGGGGCGGAAGGTCAATGAAGACTTGTCTGCGGCTCAGTGAGATGTTTGTTTCGGGAATCTATCGAATGAGAGCTCAATTGCAGGATATCAGTATTATCACAGTTGAAATCGTACCCGTAGTTCGGGCTAGGAATATAACAGATCCTAGGCGATGTACCCGGGGTTGCTTAACACTGTGGCCTGCCTCCTTCGATCGTGATCCGGAATGACATTGGCTGGTGCACTCCCAGGACACTCTGGTTCGTTCCGCGCCGTGGGGACATCCCTTGACTAGCGCCCACAGGCTTGATAACCGCAAAATTTGGCAGAATTGCCATCAGTCAAATCAGCCCTGATGGTCTAGCGGTATGATTCTCCCTTAGGGTTGTCAACACGACGATTCAATCTGGGAGAGGTCCCAGGTTCGATCCCTGGTTAGGGCCCAATCCTTTTGCTTTTGCCGCGGTGTCACTCCTTTTGGCCATTGTCGTCTCGTTCGTGGCCTAAAACGACTTTTTGGGATAATCCGGCCCGGTTCAAGGGGTCTGGTCGGGCAGCCAGGACGGACGGGGTAAGCTATTACGGATCATCTGTTAAGCAATATGAGCAGGTCTGGCTTGTCACGCCAGGCCTCACGTCTCCCAGTTGAGGTAAAGTGTAAATATCGAATGCCTGATGTTGAATATGTTGGTCGGGCCTGATGACGGGCGCTGGAAATGTTTGTTGGTGGCCGAAGGCCGAGTTCTGGGCCAACAGAGATGCAGAAGTGGTGACACCAGCTAGGCAGGGCGGCTACAGCGATTGGGCAAGGCAGACACGATGCAGGAGGCCGACAGGTTTCAAAGAACTGTTGGTGCCAAACATGATCAAGAAAGTTGTGTGTAGATGGCAGGTTCTCGCGCCCAGGCCCGCGCACGAGGATATTATGGGCTTTTTAAGTATAAGTTCCGACTTCCCCTCTCAATCCCCCTCTCAATCAGAAGCAAATCTCCATTCTCTTTGATATACCGGTTCTGCGAATTCAAGCTCAGAACCCCTCATCTCGTTACGAAGCACCAATCATGATGGAGTGCACCCGATTGGTAGAGCTCCTTTTCGGACGAACCTACCCGGAGCAAACGCCCGCCACCGACCTAGAGACTTCCGGCATCATCGCGAAGCAGCCTCTGCGCTCCAGCGAGGATGCGGCTTCGGAATTTGTCGACATACTTCGGACGGCCGAGAAAGGCGGCAAGGATCTTGAGCGAAGGCTTAAGAACGTTGTGACCGCAAACTCCTGGACGGAAAGCTTCGCGAAGCTTATCCTCAGCGGTGTCGAGGGCCTCGTCCAACATCGCGATACGATCGGCCAGGTCGTCAAGGAGGCGATGGACAAATCGGCCGACCTGGCGCAAGAGATATTCGGATTTGCGAAGGAGCACCCGGTATTTGTCACCATCATTGCGATTGGCATTCTGGTTCTCATTGCCCCTTGGGTGCTTGAGGCATTGGGATTCGGTGAACTTGGGCCTATTGCCGGTGAGTTTCTTCCGGACTTTGAGAGAACGTAGCTGATATCTTTCCATCAGAAACCTTCGCGTCATGGTGGCAGGCGCGCTATGCAGGCTTCGTTCCGAAGGGATCTCTGTTTTCCTTCTTCCAGCGACTGGGTATGACCTGGAGTTGACTGATGGTAACGGCATGGAGGGCTTTGCGGATACGAGCGAGACTCTGACCCACGGATGAGTTCAGAGATTGGATTTACGTCTATGCCGTTTGAGTTGATACTATGTCCTGAGACGAAAGATAAGGCATCTTGGAATCTACAGGCTGTTTTGAAGCGTTGAGAACTTTCAGAATACTCAATGTTTTATCTTGGCGGGTTCCCTGTGATAATCCACGATTGGGTGTTGTTGCACAAGGGATATTGGGAGGCCTCTTGCAGCAACTCCCATGCTGGATGTTAGTTGTTTACGAATTAATAGGTGACGATGATAAGCAATGAATAAAAACCCGAGATACTGCTGTTCCTTACTTAAACCTCTATCAATCCACTCTTGAAAAGCATGCCCATTCCACATGCTCATCGTTCAGCCATCTGGGGACAAAAACGTCAATTACACTCTCGGACTTCGAATAATTGCAACGAATACCTCCACTTTTAGCCTTCACCTACTCACACAATGGGATTCGTGATGATTCTGAGAATTCTGGTGGGCATTGCCTATATTATCTTGGGTGCGTGGGCTATTGTGGTGCGTAAACTCATCCCCTCTCCCATATCTTACGCAAAAGAATTCTCACAGGCTAACTGCAGGCAATACTTCTCTGAAGCAGGCGGTTTAAATTATACCGCAGTCTACACATCCTCCAGCTACACGGATCTGCTGCTGCACTGGACATGCCGGGGCTACACGGTGACATGTGAAAGGACTGAAGGAGGAAGCATTGATGAGACAGACTCCATATATTAAATTCTGCAGTGAATGTAGTTCTGAACGATGGTTTTAGTGTCAGAACGTCTTGTAATAAAGTCTGTAATTTTGAATAGTTCTCGTCCACGTCTTGTTTAGGTTGAGATGGTCCCAGCCAGACCTCAAAGCGTCGTCAGCTCCTGCAAGAGTAGCTTGAGAAAACTGAGCCTATCCGAATAGCCCGTCAGACTTCTCCCTGTTTCTAAGCATGTGATATTTCACAATTTCACGGCCGAAACTGTGAGGTAGAAACTTGGAGCCCCAGAGCTGCATTGCGGGTTACGTGGTCGTGGTTGTGGGCGTTCTCCATCTACTTAAAGGCCTGTTGCCTCCTCCAAGCTCTTACCATGTGGCACGCACTTTTTCTCAACTTCGGGAACTTTCGCAACCAATATCTCGTCAAAAATCATACATAAACAGGGCAACCATACAGCTCAAGTCACACGTGAAAGATGTTCTTCATCATTGCACCAGCTCTCTCGCTTGTCGCACCGGCCCTCGCACCAGTCCTTCCTCTCGTTGGCTTCGGCGCACTTGGACCAGTCGCTGGTTAGTTTCTCTTCCCCGAATTTTGGGAGAAAACAGACTGCTTACAAGACGTGAACAGGCAGTCTTGCGGCTGGAGCTCAGGCTGTTTTCTACGGTGGAACAGTTCCCGCCGGGAGCGTCTTCGCGATCTTGCAGTCTGTTGCGATGACTGCGGTCTGAGATGTAATCAGTCATTAATAGACAGTACTTGACGTTAATCAATATGTAAAGGTTTCAAGTGTGATCCCCACTCTTCAAGTTAGCTGTATGTATGGCTTTCCGGCGGAGGCACTTACTTAATCATATAAGAGTACATTTACAGCATTTGTAACGTCAAACTGTCATCAAGGCTGGTCGTCTAGAAGAAATATCAGTTGTAATGCATTTTATCTGTGTGACAAACTCCCGGCCAGGGCGATCGGGATCCGCACGGGTTGGAGTGGGGTTCTAGGCCGGCGGCCGACCGCCGTTTGCCCCACAAATATCTCCGTCACCTTACGCGGGGGTGGCGTCACCGGCCAAACGATCAATGCACTCGGCTGTTGTTCTTTCGGTGTCATCTCTTATCCCAAGTCTGATAAAGTAAAACCTGTGAAGCTGTCAATTCAAACTTGAGATGAATTCTGGGTTTTTGGATAATCGATGAATATGAGGCCAAGGCCTCAGTAGGATCTTGGTATTCAGTGACCCCTCATCTCGCTGTTGGCCTCAGCTCAAGCAAATTATCCACGACAACATATTGTGCCCATAATCTCCCGATCTTCTCATTTGGCTTGAATCTCTCTGATTTCTGGTTTTGTTTCGATGGTAGAAACGGTCACGGTCTCTTGAAGAAAGCGTGTTCAGCAGACTTCCCACCGACATTGTTCATTGACACCGCTTGACTGGGTTGGGGCTGTGCTAGAGCTTACCAGGGCTCTTTGCTGCCAATGACGACTGGCCAAGCATACTTCAGAAACCTTCACCTCTTCACATGCCACCAAGCATGATGAAGGAGACTTGACAACGAAAGATGCCAATTCCTCCGAATGTTCTTGGCCAAAGCCACCCAGTGACAACGTGACTGCTCATTTCTTCCCGAGATTGCGCGGCATTCGTCGGTAAGCAGGCGGCCGTCCGCCATCTTGGCCGCCCAGGATACCAATACTTATCACGCCGTCAGCCGTCAGCCGTAAGACTGCAGCACATGGGTCGCAAGCAAGAGCCAAAGTGAGTGCTTTTCTCTCCAACACTGCCGCGAGATTGTCGTTGAACTCTTGGCCTGAGCATGCCAATCCTTTCCAAGACCCCTGGCGCCAACCCAAAAGCGATGCAACATGCAGTGTGCACTCTCGGGTGCGATCCGCTAGTCAACCGCCAAGGCGCTTGTCGCTGTCGTTTGGAGGTGTCCAGCCACCTCAACATGCACTGAAGACGGAAGCGCCTGGATAGTAAAACAACCAGAAGCTGCAATGATGATCCGGATGCCTCTGAGGCCAAGATGCCAAGGACTGCGGGAAAGCTCTCCTATCTGGGGAAGGAGTCTGAGCTCCTGTCTTAAACTCGATCACCCCACTAGACTGTCGTGCACGAGATGAGGTGATCTTTCCATCCTGCTGCAAGCTTTTGGTGGTTGAAATCGAGCCGCTTGCAAACCCACGGAGACGTGCATCACAAACAGCCGGCATCATGTCGACAACAGCAACCGGGACGATGTCGCCAACGCCGACGCCCACCGGCGACAGGGCGCCGTCGCAGGGCGGCATCTTCGAGGGCATGAACCCGTCGGTCTTCAATCCTGCAGACCCGATAATTATGTTCATCATCCAGGCGACGATTGTCATCACCTTGACCAGACTGCTGTACTGGCCTTTGTCCAAGATTCGTGAACCAAGGGTCATTGCGGAGGTCATCGCAGTAAGTATTCTCAACCGCCGCGCGTCTTGATAAATAGCCGGTCTAATATGAGATACACAGGGTATTCTTCTTGGTCCATCTGTGCTCGGTCGCATTCCCGGCTTCACTGCAGCCATATTCCCTCCGAATTCCATGCCACCATTTCGACTGGCGGCCAACATCGGCCTCGTCCTGTTTCTCTTCCTCGTCGGTCTCGAGATCAACCTTTCATACCTTCTCAGCAATTGGCGCACCGCGATCAGTGTCGCAACTCTTGACATGGCGATTCCTTTCGGGCTCGGTGTCGCCGTCGCTTACGGGTTGTACAACGAGTTCGGCAATGAGCCTGGAATCGCTCCCATCTCATTCGGAGTCTTCGCGCTTTTCATCGGGGTGGCCATGGCTATCACTGCATTCCCAGTTCTCTGTCGAATTTTGACTTCCCTCAAACTTCTCAACACTACGGTCGGCGTCATCGTTCTCACGTCTGGCATTGCAAATGATGTCGTAGGCTGGGTTCTTCTGGCTCTGTGTGTTACCCTGGTCAACTCTGGCGCCGGCGTTACTGCGGTATGGATCTTGCTTGTCTCTGTGGGATTCGCATTATTCCTGGGCTTCGCAGTACGGCCAGCGTTCATGTGGGTTCTGCGCGGGACGAAAAGTCTGGAGAACGGTCCTACTCAAGGAGTCGTGGCCCTGACCCTCCTTCTTGTCTTGGCTTCCGCGTTCTTCACGAGCATCATTGGAGTTCACTCCATCTTCGGCGCATTCATGGTCGGCCTCATGTGCCCTCACGAAGGAGGCTTTGCCATCAAACTGACTGAGAAGATCGAAGATCTGATCTCGACCTTGTTTGTGCCACTGTTCTTTGCGTTGTCTGGTATCAACACCAACCTCGGCTTATTGGACAGTGGCCGCACATGGGGGTACGTGGTGGCCATTATTTTCGTGGCTTTCTTTAGCAAGGTGATTGGAGGTACTGCTGGAGCTCGGATGAACGGTCTTGTCTGGCGAGAATCCTTCACGATCGGTACGCTCATGTCGTGCAAGGGACTTGTTGAGCTTATTGTCTTGAACATCGGCTTGCAGGCAAAGATTCTCAGCACCAGGACTTTCACCATGTTTGTCGTCATGGCGCTCGTCACAACCTTCGCCACCTCCCCTCTCGTTATGTGGCTGTACCCTCCGTCGTATCAACAGAAGTTGGATTTGTGGAAGAGAGGAAAGATCAACTGGGACGGTACACCTATCCTGCACGAAGGACTTGATGGTGAGGTCGAAGACGAGCAGAAGGAAGTCGCCAGCAAGGTATTAGTTTACCTTCGCACCGATGGTCTTTCTAGTTTGATGTCTACCATCTCAATGTTCACCAGCGGGCAGTCGTCGTCTCATTCAAAGAGCTCATCTCTTGACGTTCATGGACAACGCAGCGGTGAGAAAGGCCTTGTCGACCACGCGGCGGTTGTTCCGGAAGTAGAGCCGCTGCACCAAGAGCTCCTGCGATTCCATGGTTGTCGATTGGTCGGTCTCAGCGAGCGGAATTCCTCTGTCATGAAGGTCTCGGAGATCGAGGACTACGCCGGACATGACCCTATCATCAAAGCCTTCGGTACATCTGCCAATAACACTTCCAGGGATGTTGTGATTTCCGGACAGATCGCCGTCGTACCCGAGGATTCCTTCGCTGATACGCTGGCTACGGAGGCCAACAAGCTCAGCACCGACCTCATCCTGGTTCCCTGGAGTGAAACTGGCACGATTTCCGAGCTTCCCTCATTCTACAGCGCCACCACTCGCGGAGACCCAATCACCAGCGGCGACTTTTCCAATCTCATGTGCAGTATCTTTGACGAAGCCAAGCACGTCTCAGCAGTCGCGACCTTCATCGACGCAACGCTCTTCGACAAATCAACCACTTCAGAAACCGCCAGAAAACCTCGACAACTCCAACGACATGTCTCCGGCGTCAGCCTCACCGAGCTCCAAGACCCTTCCGCAGCCAGGTTCTTTTCCGCCGAACGCCGTGGCAAGAAATCCATCCGTGTCCTCTACACCGGTGCCGAGGACGATCTGTTCGGCGTCAGACTTGGAATCCAGCTGGCTCAGAATGAGAACCTCGAAGTAACCATCGTTGAGGCCGCAGACCCTGATGCATCTGCGAACATGAAGTACGTACGCATCAAGGCCAACGTCCACGATGAAATCGCCAATCGTATTCTTTATCACACACTCAACGTCAAGAGGGATATCCCGACCTCGTCGATCATTTCAGACCTTCTGTCTCTGGGAAATGGCGACAAGAGAGCAACCACATTCGTCATCGGCCGTTCCGCGACAGCGTCACAGTCTGCCAGTATTGACTTGGACGGGTCATCAAGTATCGTTGACCCGCAGAAGACTCTCGGGTCTACGGCAGCCCAACTCGTTTCCGAGATCAAGAAGAAGAGCGTTTCCGACGTTAGTGTGATGGTTGTGCAGGGGAGGCATCAACAGAGGGAGACGCAGACGCTTCACAGAAAACCAAGCACGTATTCCCACGCGAGTAAGGAGTAGGGTCTGCCGCTAGTCATTTCGTTTGCACGATTCACCACAAGAATGGAAACTTTTTGATTGCACCCTCCTCACATCGAAGCCCCACCACCGTGACCCCAATTTGCTAGCGTCAGAATGAAGGCATCGTGACCCTTGTCGAAATAGGTGACCACCGCCAGCCCTAATGTTCCGCAGCGATCCCCACTCAAACACACACTCCATGAGCAAGAATTCAGCATCCCCGTCGCAACAAGCAATCAATCAGCTTAATAGCGCCGATGGTTTAGTGGTAAAATTCTCCGTTGCCATCAAGCAGCGTCGGGGAGCCGGGGGTTCGATTCCCCCTCGGCGCATCTTTTTGCTTCTGGACTCGCCGAACGTGACACCAGCGAGGGGCGCGATATCTGCGGTCTTTTGCATGTCAGAGGCAGTGGTTAGCGGCACTTTGGGCATGAAAAGCGTCCACGAACGGTTGGATGCTAGTTATGGTTCTGTTTCAGGCTTCAGCAGAAGGAGCCGTCATCCTAAGTCATATAGAATCGGTATGGCTTCTCTCTAGTGACCACCAGCCCGTTCGTATTGTACCGTTCAATTGGAAGACCCGTTAACAACTCTGTCGATGATGGTAGCAGCAGCAAGGCATTCCTCGTCTCTCAACCTTGGAGTGACAACCTGGATACCACATGGAGCGCCGTCGACTGCGTCGGGGTCGTCTGTTCACTGCATCAGCTATCTCTTCAACCTCTATTGCCACGGAAGAGACACTGGCTACTCACAGTCTGGAAGAAACGGACCGGACGCTTTTACTGGTTCGGGGTCCAATGCCTTTGAGGCTCGCCCGGTGGGAATGAGGCACGAAGGGTACTGTGCAGAGATATTAGCTCCACGAACTACATCTTAATCGGCCAAACTCACGTCAAGCAAGTTGAAAACCACCGTGTAAGGCATCAACCCGTACGTATCATGCGGCACGGCAGTCTTGTCAGCACCCGGAGCCAAAAGGACATTAAGTTTGTGACCGAACCACGCCTTATGCCACGCCTCGGTGTACTTGGCGCGCGCGAGATCCAGGTCATCCAAGTGCCGCCACGGATGCGCCATGTCTCTAAGCACTGGACGCGGGTTGGTCGTAAAGGGGTGCATTCTCGCAGCGGCCGATTTGACCAGTGGCTCGCCGAGGATCGCTGCGAGATCTTCATCGGGTGGGTGGGACAACTCGAAAAACTGACAGGCAAGCCTGATGCCAAGATCTGCACTCCGCTCGTAATCGTACGGGAGGCGTACCACGTCGTGACCGGCTGCGGTGAGCGCTTGGGTGGCGGACTCGTAAGCCCTGCGGACCGGAGGATGTAGCGGCCAGGCTGGCTCTTCTTCCATCACTCCGATTCTGAGACGCGGCCCCGCAGCCGGCTGTCGCCATTGCAAGTCGAGGGCCGTTGGATCGTAAGCTCCAGGACGTTGACCGATGACTGCTTTCATGAAGAGCTCGAGATCTTGCATGGAGGATGCAATAGGTCCCGCAGATGGAAACGGGCCGGGGAGACTCATGACGGGACCCTCGGACTGATTCCCGTAAGGGACCCGATGGTTTGTCGGCTTGAAGCCGTAGTTTCCACAGCACATGGATGGAATTCGGATTGAACCGGCGATGTCGGTGCCTACTCCGATGGGGGATCCTCGGAAAGCCACCAAGGCACCTTCGCCGCCGCTTGAGCCGCCGGCGTTGAGGTTGAGGTTATGTGGGTTCAGCGTCCTTCCGAAGATATTGTTCTCAGAATCTCCGGTCTTCGTACGGAGTCAGCATTGAACGGAAAGTAGCTTGGATGATTCGACGTACCATCAGCGTCTGTGGTACGTTCGTTTTGACGTAGAGCACTGCTCCTGCGTCAAGTAAGACGCTGACCAAGCAAGAATTCGTTGTTGCAGGTCCCAGTTTGAGGCCGTTGACGTAGCCTGCAGTTGCATCGTATCCAACGACTTTGAAAGTGTCCTTGTGAGAATGAGAAGTCAGTTTTCGTGTGCAGGTGGTTTCACCAAGATGGATGTTACCTTAAGACTGATGGGCAGACCATGAAGAGGACCACATGTTTTGCCATTGTCTCGGTAATACCGGTCTAGCCATTCCGCCCGTCGAATTGCTTCGTCATAGAATGATTCTGTGAGACATGAGGTCTAATATTGTTGAAATCAGATTACCATCATTTAACGACATCAACGAATCAAATGTTCGCGTAAGAAATACTGCTTGAAAAGCAATGGACTGGAACCGTGAGGTCGAGGATATGTCTACTCACAAGTTGCTGGGCAACAGCAGCTCTCTTGCAAAACGCTGTCACAACCTCAGTTGCTGTGAAATGCCCAAACGCCATTTTCTCGATCAGGGAAACGGCTGAATGATTCCCGGTGATATCGAGCTCCCGCTCGTTGAGAATCCCAGATCGTCTAGCATGATCCAGCTCGAGGAGATGGCCTCCATTTGTCTGCGTCAGTTCTTCGACAAGAGCAGTTTTGAGTCTCCAATCGGCCGGGATAGCGTCGGAAAGCTTTCGTCTCTTCTCGGCCACCAGGTCTTGCCATGACATGTCGTCTGGCGCTCGCTCCTTGGTGAGCTGGTTGTAGTCGTGAACGAGAGTCATTGTGGGAAGCGAGTCTGTCCTTCGGCAGGAGTCTGTTGTCGATTTCTGAATGAGGGGAAGTTGCTGCAGGGAGATAATTTCATGTGCTTTTGTACCTCTTCAGTAGCTCTTTTCAAATGCTTGTGTCTCAGAGGACCGGCAAGTCAATGTCCGCCGTTCGGCGTACAGACCGATCGGGGCTTCTGTAAAGATCTCATTGGCTCTTGGACTTGCCTTTCCAGGCATGGTGCCGCGAGCGGATGCACCCCCGCACCGGCCGGGATCTCAGTGACAGGGACCTGTGTCCGCAGATCATGGAAGAGATTCATCTGAACGATAAGCTGCTCATAATCTTTGGTGACTGTTGTATGTAATGGACTGTGTGGCTCTGAATCATCTCAACACCGCTCCTTCGGCCACGTCATATGATGAGATCCAAATGTGGGCGTGGCCGCGGCAGTTCATCTCGGCAGGCCACTCAATTTATGAGCGGATTTTTGAGGGCTATGAAGGCAATGCAGCTGATACGATGTTGTAATGAACGCAGAAGAACACGCCAATAACATGGAATTGGCAACAAAGTACGAGTGAATAATATGTATTAGTCCGGTGTACAATTGTGTAAGCTAGACTGCATACACTCGGAACTCGTCCAGTTATCAAGACCCCGAGTTCCCAACTCAAATCCGACTAACACTAGCAGCCTGCCCGACTTCAGATGCCACCTTCTCATACCTTCCATGCAACGCGATACGAATTCGACGCCCAAATACCAGCAAGGGTATAAATAGCATGCAAATTGTAGTTGTCACACACCCACTGATAATGGAGATGTTCGTCAAACTCATGGCGTTAAGCCATGGCACCACGGCGAACGGCACCCCAATTGTCGCCGCATTGCGAATGAAGGTGATGAAGACGAAAGATTCGGCTGTAATCTGGAATATGAGGTAGCATATCAGCGTCGTTGTGGGTGTTTTCAGGCCCCGATAGAATGCACTCACAGTCTTATAAGTATCGATGACGATGGTGAAGGCGACGTCCATCATAGAGCCCATGCCAAACGCGAAACAAGCTCCTCCAATACTTGGATACACCCAATGCATTCCCTGAACCAGAAGAACCATTAGAAAGGCAGTTCCTGACTTGAGCGCATTGGAAGATGTACTCACCCGATCTGCCGTCGCCCCAAAGATAATGACACCAGCCCCCATGACAAGTGCTGGAAGGAAGAGGATGTAGAGTCTCATCTCCGGCTCGAATATGCCGCGGTTCTTTCGTGCAAGCCTCACGACAATCCAGTCTCCAAGCAAACCTCCATAAACGCTGCCGATCAAGTTGCCGATGAAGGGTCCAATTAGCATGAGCCCAACCCCAGCCGTGCTGAAGCTGTAAGGTGGCGCGGCAAAGACGATGGAGTTGATGCTTGTGAGAAGCACAAGGAAAGCAACTGCGTTAGCGCATTGTATCGCTGCGAAGACAACATGCGGGAAGGCAGCTGTCTTGAATGGTGTAAGATAGCCCGATAACAGCGACTCGTCCGTCTGTGTGAAGAAGCGCATGCGTTGTCGATACGTGTTGAGAGGAATTGGCTGCCCAGCATCCACGATGTCTCTGTCGACGAGCGTTTCGGGTAGCTTCTCCTCGTCTGCGTTGATATCGACAGGCCGTGGCAGGGCAATATCTAGGCCTTGATCGTTGAGTCCCACGGAAACCGGGATGTACTTGGTTTCCTCGAAGAAGAAGACGAACAGGAGTGATAGGATCGTGAGAATGATGCCCACGGTGTAGTAAGTCCATCTCCATCCCATGGTTGCAGCCTGGACGCCAGCTAGAGTCGGGGCGAGGAAGTTTCCAATCATGACACAGGTGATGTAGAAGCCATTGGCTAAGCCTCGCTGATGAACGAAGAAAAGGTCCGCGATCTTAGTGGATAAGCAACTTTAGTGTCATCTTCGCAAGCAGTGTAATTATGAGAAACACAGGTACTCACAGTCATTTCGGCAATAGTCTCATTCGTGGAACCCGCCAGACCAAACAGCAGATTAGTGATGTACATCTCGGGAACAGTGTACATGCGACTAGACCACCATGAGGTCGCAGCCATGATCGCGGTCGAGAAGATGTAGGTGGACCGTCGACCGTATTTCTTCGTGAAGGGAATGATGAGCAGACAGCCCATGGCGAGCCCCACGACGTTGAAGGAGACACCGGCGTTAAGCTCATCGTAAGACATGTCCAACTCAACTGTCATCTGCTGCCAGAGAACCATCTGCATAGTCATCCTAGTTGCTAAATGTTAGTCAATGGGATTCTGGAGTGTTGAAGAAAGACATTCGCAAGGCAGATCCTCTTACGCGGCAAAGACAGCTACAGTGACGGCGAAGACGAAGATAGCGTTGACATATTTTCGAGTTAATGACCAGTTCTAATTAGGATTATTAGATGCGCGACTCTGAAATTGCTTCTTGTATGACACTTGAACAGGACACCACTCACAAGGGGGTCATTTGGGTCAGCGGTCGGCTCCGGAACGAGGACCAAAGCAGATGCTTCTGCATCAACAAAATCGAATTAGCAACTTGAGAAGAACCACCAGCTGATGATTGATGTGCAAAATTGCTACATGTCGCGTCGCTAGATACTTACCAGACAAAAGTCGAGCACTCCCAGGTGGAAGATACGAGTCTTGGTCATGTCGGTCCATAATGTTCCTTCGTCAGACTATCAGTGAAAAGTTGATATTGACGGGCGACAAGAGGCAAGTCGTAGGGCACGCGTTTCATAGCTTTTCCAGAGGGAACTTCCTTCGCTTTTAGATAACCGATGGCAAATGCTCAACGTTATCTCTCTCCGCCTATGTAAGTCTTGGCCACCGAGATCATGCACCGGCCCGGCCTTGATAAGCATCGAGTCAGTCTCCGCTTTCAAGTCTGAATCTGGGGTAAAGACCGGGGGGTGTACGTCCCGTTGGGGGCAACGACATCTCGAGCGATTAGAAGCAGAGATATCATTGGCGTATGGACCTACTTAAAGCAGCTAGCTTCCTAGAAACCCCCGGAGGTCAAGACCTCCAACGACAAGAGCATCGTCGATGCTATCGTCGTCTATGCAGCAGAGTACAGGTACGTCACGGGCCAAGTCGAATAACACGCAGCCAAATGAGATTCGTCAGCCACCCGTGATTCGGCGACCTGCACTCAAGCAGTACGAGGCCTCAAGTGGATGCAGTCTTTGAGCCCCTCTTGGGCGCAGAAAACCTGACTCCAACCGACGCGAGAATGCAGTTCAAAAGAGTGCAATCTCCACGTTTCTCTTCTTAGCCTGCTCATCAATATCGTACCCATCATTCCCTGTCTCCCATGCTTCGTCCAGCATCTCCGCAATGTTACGAGCGTTTGCTGTGAAGCCATACGGTTGACATACATCGGCAGCTCGGCGCAATGCCTCCATCCAAGCCGGCCGACGCTGCAGAGTCAGGACCTCCAGTCTTGCTGCCACGTAAGGATATAATAACGAGTTGACTGTGAGAAGTTGATCGTATTCGTATCGCTTGCGGGTGTCACAGAGAGCATCCATCGCGGCGACGAGCCGTCCGAGCAGGAGCTCGGTCGATGGTGCTGTCGGTGAGGCTTGAGAATCAGAAATGGGAGCTCTGGACCCTCTAATTCTGCGGCTGGTGAGAATTCCTGCGAAGCGGTACGCTTCCCAAAGATGAATCTGTGGTACCTCTCCCAGTTCCCCAGGCCAACATAACAAAGCGTTTTCCGCAGACTCATCTTGGATGACGGCGAATATGTCGAGTAAAGAGCGCGGAAGGCTAGTCACGGTTTCGATTCCGCGGTCGCCTTCACCTTCACTGAGCCTGCCCGAGAAAGAAAACCGGGCCTCCCGTAATCTTCTCCAAAGACCCAGCGTCATTGTAGCACGGCCTCGAACGAATGTCGGCATGTCCATGACTGCCATTAGTTCGAGAGGAAAGCTGACCTCAGAATTTGCCAGAAGAGCGGAGCCATGCAGACTGCCACTAAGGCCGTAGACTGTGGTCATTAGTTCCAAGTGAACAGACCAGCGCGCGCTTTGGAAGAGCTGAATTTGAAGGAGAGTTTTCGATCAGCCAAGAGTAAAACAGGAAACTTGAGAGCAGTCCTCCGAGGACGCAATCACATCACGATCCTTCCCATTAGAAACATAAGCGTGGGTCATAATCAGACTCACATTCAAAGTGCAGATAAAGAGTCCAGCGCACATGACTCCAACATTGACGGTGCCCTCATAAGACTCTAGCTGTTTGCGAAACAGATGAAGGCCCCGGACGTAGTACTCCTCGAAGAGTGGGGGAGGATTAGCCGGGCTGGATACGTATAGATGAGTTGCAATCAGGATGGAGGAGAGAGCCTCTGATCCATATGCAAGCCGGCGGAGGTGCTGCCTAAATAGGTCGTCTCGGCGGGTAGAGTACAACAGGAAGACAGTTGAATTATTGACTAAAACAACCTCGTCAGTAAATCCATACGCAATCATGCTTGGAAGCAACCGTGATGAGAGAAAAGTTGATATCGAAGAAGACTCACAGCTTTCGTAGAGTCTTCGGTCTTGATCAGTCCGACCGGGCCATTGAGACTCGGTCAGGGGTGACTCGGAGAGCTGCGGGGACTGCACGACGGTCCGAACGACAGGGGCCGACGCGACGCCGATAGAGACAGGAGAGGGCGTGGAAAGGCCTCCGTCTCTCTTGGCTAAACTTGAAGACTTTTCATGCGAAGTACCAGAACTATCAGTTGCGCCAGACGAGCTTCTCGGGCTTGATATCAACCTTCGTCGCTTGGCTGGTGGTTCTTCTACAGGCGCCGGCGCTCCGGTGAACCGACCACGCGAGGCAATACCCGTACCCCATCGCAGGACGATATCGTATCCCTCGCATTCGATTCCCTGTCCTACGCATTGGAGACAATCAGGCTTTGTCTCGTCGCATTTACGATGGCGTCGCTTGCAGGTCAAACATCCACTCCTTGAACGCGACATCTTCCCCATCGGTGTGGGCCATCGATGGAACCAGAGACTGTGGAGGAGATTGGTCGACAAATTGATACTGGTAACTGAGAGATCTTCATTGAGAGTGTTGCCGATGAAATAAAGTCAGAACTTAATGCCCTCGGGTTTTACAAGGAGCAGTCCGGATTTCGTCTTGTTGATGAGATGGTCGTAAGATCCATCAATCAAACTCGTGTTGTTGAACGTGGAGAAATTGAAAACCGCCTGCATAATAATAGAAGCTCGCAGTGCTTCAAGCACACATTTCTTGCTTAGTAAGACACTATAATTCCGTTCCTTGCGCGGCCGTAGCCCGGCTTTAGGCGTACGAGTCATCTCAAGTCCCGGCAAATAGCTTCAGCGGCTTGGCAAGAAAAAGCCATTATCTTCGCTGATGGTACGTCATCATCAGCAGGGGAAGATATACTGACAACACTTCATTGAGTTTTAACGTGCAATGAACATGGGAACTACACCTGGTCTGGCCCAAGGTCAACGATTGTCAATGTTCCTTAGGCTTGGCTTTTGACCACCACGTCTCAGCTCAAGACCTGAGAAAGAGAAATGACCAGATGTTATTGAACTCACAGCTTGAAAGTTATATATATATATATGTATATATGAATATAAATATTCACGTTCATATTGCGTTAACCACAGTGATAAAAGTATTTCTAAGTACCCTTTTAATGCCATTTTAGAACGTCTTCCAGTCTACCAATTATGCTGTGATGCCAGGTTTACCAGCCCTTCCGGCGCCCAAGTATACCAAACTAATCTATCAATAATCAAACAAGCAGCTTCTGTATTTGTCTATCCAAGTGCTTTCTATGAGTCTCGTTAACCGGATTCGGTACCTGGCCGAGGATATCCTTGATGCGTCCCATCAGGAACGCACGAGGGTTGCACTCAGCATGATCAACTCCTCCTCTTTCCGCAGGCTTGCCGATGTCATGGATTACCAGGTTCATCAACGTTGAGTATAGTGTCACAACGCTATCCTCGACATCCGCGGCATCTGGAATGGGCCACAAACCTGCTCGAGTGAGACAGAAAGTCATGCTTCCTAGTATCATGCTCTCGCACCGGTGCGGTCCCATGTACATGGCATGCCGGCACCATCTCTCGCCCTCGTCGACTGTGATAAGCCTTTCAGCCAAGTCACGAAAGAGGTCCATGATGGACTGAATTGTCTGCGTGCGGACAGATTTGATTCGCTCTGGACTAAGTCAGTGACGCACTCTTGAGAAATGAGGCGGAAGCGGGTAACTAACCAATGATGTCCGGCGGCGTACTCAGCCCCTCTAACTCGATCTCTTCTCCAGTCCCCCGGCATTCCATAACCATTCTTCGTGCTGTACTCTCGAACAGCTGCTTATGACCCAGCTCCCAAGAGATCCACAGAAGCTTTGGCATCAATAACCCGTTCACGCCGACATCTGGTGTCTCCCCGATCCCCGTGACCCAGTTCTGCAACCATGGTGTCAACATTGGCGTTGCATCGTAGTAGTGCGTCAGGACTGTGAGGTCGTACAGCCTGTCGATCGGCAGACTCCTCGGGACTTGGCGGAATTTGGCATGGGCGATGCTGGCGAAGAGTTCGAATGTGTCGGGCTTGTCCTCACGAAGTTCCACCACCCAATCAATTGCGGTGCTGTCTGAGTTGGTGGTTGGCTTGGCTTCGACAAAGCTACCGTGGAGCATGCGGTCGAAGACGGGGGATACGCGGGCCATGGTCCGGGAACAGACACGGAAGCTGCGGGCAGGGGTGTCTTCGGCTGCCGATCCGACAATGAAGACGAGATCACCCCGGGGATCCATTTCGGTGAGCTCCGCAGAGCTGCTTTCTTTGCTTGGTGACATGGTATCAGGCTGTGAAGAGGTCGAAAATCGGGATGAACGAGTGAATCCGATGTTGCTGCCTGGACTGAGTATCTTAAGCATACAAACTTGTCAAGGCTTTCCCTTCAGATAAATATTGACGTCTCAGGGAGGTACAAGGAGCCTGTTTTGCGGCTCTTAGGGCTGTTGCAACGTTCGGGCTGAGTCTCGTATCTCCCTCCCAGCCTCATGCTATATAAAAAGATCGGGCTCGTATGCACTGAACAGATTTTGATCTCATCCGTGGCGCAGGGCGGCTACTAGAGCTCTTGCGCCACGCTTGGCCAAACCCTGGACTCAGAAAAAAAATAGGGGGCTCGTCTGTTCTTCGATCTTGTGGGCCGTCTCAAGTCGGTTCAATGTCCGGAGACGTTTGTAGGCTTGGCGGGATGCCGCCCGGAGAGCGCGGGCACCGAAGATGCCGGTCATTGGTACGTGAAAGTCCGCGATAAACTGAGAACCACAGCCACCACATTGAGTTTATCAGGCTCCGGCTCAAACCCGACCCAAACAATTGGCACGTTTGTCAGTAGATTTGCTTTACTATTTAGATACTCATTGTAAAACCCATTATTTATCCTGATTAGTCATGCCCCAAGCCAGTAGATTTGCGGCGGACCTTCGGTAACATTGACTCGAAGCCCTTCAGCCATACTCTGCAGTGCGTCTTTCAACAAACAAACTACCATCAAGGTTACATTACCGATGATGCGGACTTGTAACCTGACCTCGGTCCGATCCGGGGCTCCGTTTTCTCTTCCCCTTTTTCCTGCACAAAGAGGCCGCATGTTGCTCGTAGGGAAAATTTCATATATGTAAGACGTCATAAAAAGACGGTACTGCTAGCATCCAATGCTTGAGCTTTCTCAATGCTCACAAAAGTTCCACTCCACATTCAGCCAGCTTTCCTCTTTCGCCTTCAGCCATTTCCTCTCATCCATCAAGTCCAGTCTGAACTCCTTGGCCTTTTTCAACCCGATAGGCCATTCATCCTTGTTCGACGCCTTCTCCCAATCATTCCTGGCCTTCAACCATGCCTCCTCAGACATCACCAAATCTTTCTTCGCGGCCCCATTCTCCGATGCATTGAGTTCATCGTCATTAGTCTTTCGAGCATTGGGAATTTCTGACGATACTTTACCGCCTCAGTACCCGGGTTCTTCTGCGACGGCCACCAGTGCTTCTGTTGCGGAGGTACATTCGATGTGCTTATGATGGGGATGGCTGGATCCACGAGAAATAAGGCGAGGATCTTCCGGTGTCCTGGCTTCGTAGGATCGATCAACTTGAAGGGCGATACATGATGCTGAAGGAGATTGGGGAAGAAAATTGCCCGACCCATTTTCGTAAGTACCGAGCCGATGTTTTGAATGGTGTTGCCCCGCGGGTCAATAGCGAAAGCTTGCTTGATGCCCGCCCAGTCGTATTGATCATAACTGAGCTCTGAGCTAAGATCCTCTCTGTCGGCAAGGGTTCGAAAGTCGAGCGTGCAATCCGTAATGTTTTCACTGTCATAGTAGTAAAGCGCCGTGCTGATAATATGCTCGTTGAGGAGGCCTTCCGTGTGCCACGAACCACCTTCGTAGGATGGTTTCTCCGGCGTCAGGTGGATATTGGCCAACTTCACGATGACCTGAATTCTCTTCTTGTTGTTGAAGAAGCTGTTGCTCTTGATGTCTGAAGCGCCGATCCGGACATAATCCTTCGCCTCCGGGTCTGCATCAGGCAACTTCATGCCATGCGTCTCTGCAAACCAGGCCTTATCCCTCTTGGTTCGCTCCAGATCCCTGATATGTCTTGGGGCGTCACCTTCGGAAAGGGGTCGCAAATGCGGCTGACACCTCCGCTGGCCACATATCTCAGGACAAGGGCAGTGGTTTCTCCTGACATCGTCTGTCGTAAGACGTTGCACGGCGAACTCTTTCTCCCATCTGTAGATAGCGTCCCATGCAGGCAGAGACTTCTCGATGAATTGCTCGATGATAGGGTAGAGGTGGGCGTGTTCTTTGGGATGGAGGTTGTTGATGTAGCTGGCGATCTTTGCCCTTCCCGTGGCGGGGTCAATTTTCACATCGCAGGGTAACCACTGGAACTCGTTACTCAGCACCTTCAGCCCTTCTCGGGAACTCCATTGCCGAAAGGTGGATTGTGTAGTTTCCGCCTTTGCTGGTGACCTCAGCTTGATGCCCATGCCGCAGTAATCCAGAGCATCTTCAACGCCGATAACACGGTCCTGGAGTACTCTTGTACGGCCATACATCAAGGGCCAGAGAGATGGGTGCACCAGGTTCAGAACTTGCTCGTTGCTTCTAGGGTGCCAGTCTTGCTGCTCCGACGGTACATTCTCGAGTGGCTTGACGGCGTTCCGGAGCGATGAAAGTAGTTCCGGTGTCAAGATGTTGTCGGACTTGATAACGGCGGTGGAGTAGTCGTAAACCGGTACAATTCCAGTTTTCTCAAAGATGTACGCCTTCTTCCGTAACTCGCTGATGCACTATAGAATGTCAGTACTGTGTCTGAGGTTGGACTGCGGCTCATCTTACCGCATCGGCCATTGCTGTCGTGAAGTCCGCGTACTTGATGTAAGACTCCCAGTTCATTTCCAAAGCTTCCCTCTTCCATTTGGCGGTTATGTCATTATTCTTGACTTTCAGCCACCACTCGGGCTTGTCAGACAACTCGTTGATGGCCCGGAGCATGCAGCATTCGCGGACGAGCAATGTGACAGCTGTCCACTCATCATTGCCGCCCATGAACAAAACAGGAAACTGCTTCTCAACGCCAGGCATATGACCGAGTGGCAAGCCGAAGCCTGGCCGTTTGACGACGGAGGTTTTCAGAGCCTGTAAAGAAATGTTAGCGATGGAAACTGCAACATGACTTATCTTGAATGAACCTTTGATGCTGTTTTGTGAGAAATCCACACGGCCCGTTTGATTAAAAGATTCAAATACTTGAACGAGAAGGCATTGAAGTCGAGATTGGTGTTCTTCTCGATCCAGAACTTTGCGTCGGATACATCGGGTTCTCTATCATTTGCCCAGGTGTTGAACTTCTCCAGCTGTTCGTCGGTCATCTTGACGCGGCTTTCTTCATCCTGCATGAGCTGCTGCTCAGCAAGAGTCAGAGACATAGGACCTTTGAAGAGTTGCGGTGCCATGGCGTGGGCGTGCACTGAAAATGAGAGTTGATGATGGGAGATATCCAAGAAGAAAAGGCTCAACTCCTCTAGACGATGGCTTCATGTCTTATATCTAGTCATAATCTGATGTTGCTCAAGCGTTCAACAGAAATGTTGCGCCGTTACATGTGAGTGAAAGTGTACGCTCAGGCAGCAGTAGTTGCCTGTTGATAACGATGCCGGACCAACTTGACCCACCGACTAGTGAGACAACCACCTGAAATTATTCAAGCATCGAGTCAGTGATTTCAGCTGAACATGGCGACGTCGAAAGCTGTGCGCCGCTAAAACTGTCAAGATTGCCTAGATATGCTTATTATGTGGACCTCGGCCCATCGACTGCAGTCTGGGCTGCATGAGAAACTCTGTGAATAGGACATTTCACGATGTGCAGATTCTTCAGAGGAACTTATGGGCGGTAAGAAGCTTTGGAGCTATCCACTGATTGGTTTCTGCCAAGACTACTTCGGAGATTAATGGACTAGGCTCATCAATACAGCGAAAATATCCCCGTTCAAGATACCATCAAATTCTATTACGCAAAGAACTACAAACGGCGACAGTAGGAATAACGATGCTCGGTGGGAACATCGGTGGTGGAAACAACACCAGCAACTCTGTTCAATGTTTAGAACACTAGATGACCACTTGACCCAATGGATCCAAATGCGCACGCGTTGATAGCAAATCAACTGATCAGTCATAAGCTCAGAGCATCCAAGCAGATCAGAAGTTGGGTGAAGACTTGGCCGACTTGAAGAACTCGGCTCGACTCAATTCATGCTGCCACCTTTGCATCTGAGCTCTGCATGAATCCTTGTCTGATCTGTTGCACTTAGAAGCCCAGATAAAGCAAGTTGAAAAGCTATACTTCTTTAGCCCATCTCTCAAATCTTTCAACAGCCCAGTCATTGCTGTGATATTTGACATTTTCAGCTTGCAGCTTTACTCATCTATCATTAGTAGGAAAGCAGAATTATTTGTGTAAAGCATTGGTTATCATACTTCCCACAGTGCAGTGCTTGTAGAATTTCGATCGGTTTCAAGGTTAATGACTTATTACTCTGTGTTGAGTTAGATATAGTGATCATTGTAGGGAAAGTCTATCGACCTACTAATGTTTACGTTGAGGTTGCTTAGCAGTGTCGTGAGAACATGAATGGAAATGATGTTGGCAGTTGTTAGAAGCGTAGGATCTCGGATGTGCCTTATGAGACAGAGACAGCATCGAGTCTGTGTCGCAACATTGATTGATGATAGTGTGAGAATTTCTCAGTTAAAAACGTTAATGCACAATGTTGCCGCTATTCATCTTATCACGTACACTTTCATTACATACACAAGTTGTAGATAAACCATGTCTCGCAGAGTCGCGAAGGTCCTGCCCTGTGACTCCAGTCCTGTCGGCCAAGACAATGATAATGCATCCCTTCATATCTAAGGTGCCACTGTAAAGTCTTATCCCAATCAAAAGCTATTATGATAGTAGCGGGTTGCCAAATACTTCCTCTGGACTTCAATTGTTTTGGTGAAATTGCTGAACTTCATATTTCTGTGTGTTATCTTCTAAGGCGGACTGGAGCCCACATCCAACGAACCGAATCTGCAGTCAGCTTACGGCTCACGACTGAGAGCCAAACGATTGGATGCCTCGCCGCTGAAATACGGGCACGATGAAAACAGGCTTGTAGAAACCTACCTCAAAAATCTCCGATCCCTTGTTCCTTTTAGGGCTAAACCACATCTTAGTGTTTACTCGAACCCAGTTTTGAGTCCTGGTGCTACGCAGACTGCATTGCGCGATGGTTACGCAGTGGAAGATCAACCATCAGAATTACAAACACGCAACGGTGATTTGCCCGATCGGACTCAAAGGCAGCCTAGCTGGGGCGTGCTACGACGCTTACAGGGGTTCGGTGACCGGGGCCCTATCAGCAATGCAGATATTTAAGAGAAGTGTATCGTCAGTTGCGATTGAAAGGAGTTGGTTTCTGACTTGCGTTATAATGCTTACTGCTATCCTCCATATCTGACGCAATGGAGATACCGTCGTTCCTAGTCGGTCTCGGAGTTGGGCTGATATCGGTATTCGTGGTCGGCGCGCTACTAGGCGTCTTCAGCAATGCAGGCCGCCCGCCTCTACCACCTGGTCCCAAGGGCCTTCCTGTGGTGGGAAACTTGAACGACTTACCCAAGCCGGGCATTTTTGAGGCAAATCACTGGGTTAAACACAAGAAGCTATATGGTTTGTCAAGAATCCACCTGAGGCATTTGCTGATAGCTGGCTGATGTATGCATAGGTCCGATCAGCTCTATCACAGTGATGGGTCAAACGTTGGTGATCATCAACGACTTGCAACTGGCTTTTGAGACATTGGAGAAAAGATCCGCGAAGCATTCATCCAGACCAAAACAGGTATTTGCCGGCGAGATGTACGTTTGGTCTGACACGAAACACCACTAGGTTCCGGCTCGGGTGTAGGACCTCAATATAAGCTAACCTTGGCGTCAGGATTGGCTGGGAGAACTCTCTCGCCTTACTACAGTACAACGAACGCTTTCGCGCTTATCGCAAAAGCATTGCTCAAATCATCGGCTCTAAGGCGGTCGCGGCTCAGTATGACAATCTACAAGAAGCGGAAGCTGGTCATTTCTTGCTGCACGTTCTCGACAACCCAAAAGATCTCAGAAACCACATCAGAAGGTTTGTCGCCATGCCATCTCGTTGCCGAGCGAGCAATGAAGACTAACCAACCACGTGTCTGATAGAGAAGCCGGATCAGTCATCCTCAAGGTTGCGTATGGCTATGTCCCTGAGCCGTTCAAGGACGACTATCTCATCAACATGGCGGGTCGAGCCATGGACGAGTTCGCCCAAGCAGCTGTTCCCGGCGCCTTTTTGGTGGATATTTTCCCCATCTGTGAGTTCACACTCCATGAATAGTTCAGGAAGAGACCTAACGATCCAAGTGCGTTACCTGCCGGACTGGTTTCCCGCAACAACTTGGAAACAGACCGCCAAGGACTGGGCTTTCACCCTCAAGACCGTGACCGAGAAACCGTACGCTTTCGTGAAGCATCAGACAGCACAGGGAAAAGATGTTACGTCGTTCGTTTCGCACTTACTGCGAGACGGCGACTTGACGCCGGAAGAAGATTTCAACACCAAATGGTCTGCTGTTTCTTTATACACTGGTGGAGCTGACACGGTATGACATGACAACCTAAGAAACTTCTGAAATCGCTGTTGATCAAGCTGGCTAATGTTATTCCCAGACGGTGTCCTCGATTGCATGTTTCTTCCTGGTAATGATGCTCTTTCCGAAGGTCCAACAAAAAGCAAAGGAAGAAATCGACAGTGTTATCGGTCCAAGCCGTCTCCCTACTGCGTCAGATCGGCCGAATCTTCCCTACGTCGACGCTATCGTGAAAGAGCTTCTTCGATGGCACCCTGTGGCTCCCATGGGCCTTCCTCATACCAGCTCCGAGGACGACGTCATTGAAGGATACTTCATCCCCAAGGATGCATTGATTCTACCAAACATCTGGTAAGAAGCCCTCGATTCTCTACCGCAGGTTATAAAAACTAACGTTTACCCAACTTTTAGGCATTTCACCCACGACGCCGAAGTCTGGGATGAACCAGATGAGTTCCGGCCCGAACGGTTCCTCCGGGATGACAACGTTGAGCCGCCGCTTGACCCTCACAAAATCGCGTTTGGGTTCGGTCGACGGGTGTGTCCTGGACGCATCCTGGCCGACAACGCCCTGTTCATCACCATCGCACAGTCTCTCGCGGTGTTCGACATTAGCAAGCCAGTTGAGAATGGAAAGGAGGTTGAGCCAGTAGTCAAGATGACGCCTGGTATTGTGAGCCACCCTGAAGACTTCGAGGTGTCGATCAAGCCGAGATCAACCCAGCACGAGAAGTTAATCCGCATGGTGGAGATGAAGTTCCCATGGGAAGAGAGCGATGCTCAGGTTTTGGAGAACATGGACCTCAAATGAAAACAACTTTCTTTGCGAAGTGGCTTCCGCTACTGGCCAACATCTGAAAGAATAGAACTTCGTCAGGTTAGCGCTTCGTTCAACAAGTTACCACCTTTGGTTTTCATTGATACAGGGCGAAAGTAGGAGAATCTTGTGCGATATGCCTAAGTCAAATTGAGCTTCAAATGCCAGCATGATAGCATCTTGAAGAGCTGTAAATTCTGACCTCAATCTCATCTCATGATGCAAGCTCTTCCAAAACTACGTAGTGTCGGGCTGAGTCTGATCCGGACAAAGATGAATATAGTGGGGAGCCTAGACACACGCAGTGGTAAGATAAATAGCCAACATCTCAACGACATCAAGATGCCTCGCCTCATCAGGGATTCGTTTAGGCATGGTGATGGTTAGGCAACAGCACTAAGTGTCCAACGGGGCATTTGTGATTTGTCTTGTGTCGAGAGGAATCATTAGACATTCGATAAACTACGATACTCGATCATTTACCAAAGTAACACATAACACGGCTGCCCCAGCCGCGCAAGAACCAAAGAAAGCCATCTGCAATCCCTCCCAGAGACATCTCCTCCAAGACCCATTTCCCGATCCCAACGCCCAACTCTTCGCCGTCCCAAAAGCCAAAAGCGCAAACAGGCATACGGCAATGCTCCACCTCAGACCTATCCCAACATTCGGCGCCATGAAGTAAGGCAGCAGAGGCATGAGACCTCCGCAGAGATAACCCAACGATATGGAGAGTCCCGAAAAGACTGGTGACCTAGAAGGCGTACTGCTGATACAGACGGAACTTTCGGGAATGACGGCGGACCGCGAACTGCGTATCCTTTTCGAAGCCCAACTCGATCCCTCCGGCTGAGCGTCGAGAACCTCCAGCACCATCGCGATGGTCGATTCGGGCAGGTTGAGCGGTTGAAGATACCGACGTACTTCGGCCTCGGCATCTCCGGAGCTTGATGCACCCTTCTCCCCGTGGTCGTCGACGTCTTCCTCGCTCCTCCGCTCCGCCAGCAGCATGCCTTGCTCCTCTTCCGACGCGGGGGACGGTGAGTGCGGCGTCTCGCGCGAAGCATCCCTTGCAGCTAGATAGCCGCCGATGCCCATACTGATGCATCCCGCGCACAACTCTGCGAGGCCGGCGAAGATGACTGTTTCGCTCCGGCCGAGGGAGCTTAGGCCCGCGGTCAGAGCGAACGGGACTGTGAGGCCATCGGAGAAGCCTAGGGTGAAGTCCGAGAGAAAGTGGACGAGATTTTGGGAAGCCATTGTCAGGGCAACGATTAGGTCGTATGTCTTGGAATGGATGATGATTGATGTAACGATTCAATCATTGTTGTAGTGGTCAAACTGATGATTGACCCAGGCGAGGAGGCTCTTCAGGCAGTCTAGAGACTAGGTTCGAAGTGAGGGGAATTGCCCAGATTGCGATAATGCGCTCAACGATTTCAGGAAATAAGTTTCAAAAATGGGATGATTTGAAAGAATGAAGCTTGGCGATCGGAAGGAGACACCGAAAAGCTTAGATTGCGTTCACGGAAGTTCTGGACCAGCTTACCCCTCACTGAGGAAAGACACCAAGAAATGCCAACACTGGTTCTCTTTCACGCCAAAATTAGACATGCTAGTGGCGGATCGAATTCGGTGAGCAGATGGGACAAAAGGCTCAACGGCCAAGACGAATCTCCAATATCTCGGATATCCGATGCCGTGAGGCGGTGTTCTCTCTGGTGGAGTGTCCGAATCGCTAGTTCTCGATGATGTGGAGGACGTGGAGAGCCGGGGAGGACGAGAAGGCCAAGCTTTCGCCCAGCAGCGATGCCAAGGCCGCCCACGTGGGTGCATTTCGGAGGAAAAGTCCCCTGCCCGTGGTCCAATCACGAATTCCTGATTTCCCACCTTCCTGAGAGAGTAATCTCGCGGCGGGGATTTGGGAAGATCCCTCTCCACTTGGATTGCTCCCCTGTCGCCGGGCATGAATCCTCGTGGGGCAGGTCGACGACATCACACGACTTTGTTTGTACACCACCAGGCAGAACAAGTGATTTGAATGGCTGGATGTTTATTGTCGATCCCGGGATGATGCCAGCCTGCGGTTGACGTTGCACCCGCGTGCGCGTTCACCCCGATGGTTGTGTCATCCGAAAAAGGCACGAGAGGACATTCAGTGCTAGGGACTCAAATGGACTCGAGGTGAGGAAGTCTATTGTCTGGTAATTGAAATACTGACTACGTGATTGAAGAATAAATATATGTACGGCGACCAAGGAGGTCAATGAGTATTATCAAATTAGGCCTTGTATCCAGCAGGAGGGTTCAGGCCATCGGGAACTTGGATGGTGTCCTCGTAGTATGTAGGCGCGGTGCTCTTTTCCCAGGTCTTCTTGACGATGTCAAGAATCTTCCTGCCGGCGGCGTTCTTCTCCAAACCCAAGTTGGGCTTGGGGTACTGCTTCGGGGCCTTGGTGTTGAAGAATCCAGCGTAGGACTGGTTGTAGAAGCGATCGGGGGTTTTGGACGACTCGCTCCACTGTCGGATCACGCTCTTCGTCTTGTCGGCGACGACCTGGAAGACGTTGGCGCCAACGTCCCACCGGCCGAGCGTCGGGAGGTCCCAGTTGGCTTGCACCGTCGCGAGCTCGGAGTAGTGGTTGTAGAAGTTGGAGTCAGTCGTGCCGACCTTGTCCTTGGGAACAGCATCGCCCAGAAGAATTCCGAGGATGCGGTTCTGGTGGCTGTATGTCTCGTTCTCGTCGAAGGTGACGAGGACCAGGGTGTTGCTCATGAAGTTCTTGTCGTTCAACAGCGGCTCGAGGAAGTTGCGAGTCCACGTGCCGGCGACCGTGACGGAAGTGTCGTGGCCGTCGGAGGTCATGTTGGGCGTGATGAACATCCACTGCGGCAGCTTGTTGGCCTTGAGGTCGCGGTGGAACATGGATGCGTCCTTGTTGATCATGGAGATGTTCTTGATCTGAGAAAGGCGCTGCTCGGATTTGGTGACGCTGTCGAAGAAGATGGGCGGGTTGTGCTTGCGGACGTAATCGTTGGCGCCGTTCTGACGATTAACCCAGGCCATACCCTCGAAGCCGGAGAAAGGCATGTCCTCCTGGTACGAGGCCCAAGAGATGCCCTTGGTGTCGAGCAGGTCGAAGACAGTAGAGACGTTGCGGTCGGCGCGGTTGAAGTCGTCATTTTGCATGCCGAGGTAGTCGCCGCAGACGGAGGCAAAGTAGTTGGGCTCCGAAGGATGGGTGACGGCGAAGTTATTCTCCAGAAGGATACCCTTGGAGGCGAGCCACGATAGGTTGGCTGAGACAGGTCAGTGATGATATTCGAAGATCCGGGATGTAGTTCGACTCACCGTCACCGCGCGCCTTCTCGTAGTCGGTGTTCTCGTTCCAGATGACGACGAAGCGATCAAAGGCCTTGCCCTTGACCTTGCTGGTCGGACTGCTCGTCTTGGCCGTCGCGGCAGCAGCAGCAACCGCCGCGGTGCCGGTCGCAGTATAAGCCGTCTCCCAGCCGACGGTGCTGGAGGTGGCCTTCACCTTGATATTGACAGCGGCGGCATGAACGCCAGCCGCGAAAATCACGGCCGAGATTGAGGCGCAACGCATCTTGGGTCGAAGGATGTCGGGATTGAAGACTTCAAACGAGCGAAGGGCTTGAGAGCGTGTCCGGCGACATGTCGAAGGCAAGAGTGACGCGGGTCGCGGCGCTAGATCTTCTTATGTTGGCCGGCTAGCGGACATTGCCGCTCTCGGGAATCCGGCAGCGTCGAACGATGAGCCACAGTCTCTTTGAAGAGTGACATCCTTCCCTTCCAATGCAGCTACTGCCGGTCAAGGGTAGCGTCTCTCGGAGTTGCGCGGGGCGGGGCGCGAGCGGGGGAAACCAGATGAGGTACTTCTGCAGAATCCAGACCAGATTTGACATACGCAATTGTATTGTTTCTCATTCGCTCGTTGTTCGTGTTTTTGGTGCATTCCTTTGATCTGACTTTTGGCCAATCGATGTTGACGCCCACCCACGTGGTGTTCGAGATGCACTCAGTCAACTCTCCAGCGTGTTAATGGGCTAATTTGCTGCAGCATTATCTAATCAACTTTAACATGCTTTCATTTTGTCCGATTTGAATAATTCCATTATTCAACATTTCTAGTGATCTTCAATTGAACTTATTATTCACCCCAAATATGCAATCACTGGAGTGTCCGAGAAGCAACAAAAACAACGCTGTCGAAAAGGCGAATGCATGCTCGTAAGGGTTGCAAGACGTGCAAATCCATTGACATGAGGACACATCGTATTAAAAGTGTAAGAAGAAACAACTATGTAGCCTTGTCCCTAATTGGGTCTTCATGGACGGTATGCATCATCCGCACACCAAATTCCTTCATTATCCAACATTGAATGCATCTTATCTTCCGATCCCCGTTTCGGCAGAGTCATCCCACGAAGACCTCATATTCCCTGGTTGTTGTTCCTGTTTCTCGAGTATTGCCTTCACCATCAACAGCGAAACGTCATTGCTGCTTGGTATTTTCGCTGTACAGTGAGCTGCAGCGGGCAGAAATGAGTCCGGCGGGATTCGTGAACTACAACAGCAAATCAGTCTTCGATCCAATGAACGATGAGGCTGTCTCGCAAGTACCTGAGTATTTCAAGGTCGTCACAATGTGGCCTTCGTGTTTGCTGTTGCCGCTTCGGACAGAAGTGTACCATTGAGGCAAGATCAGAAGTCGGCATGTTTTGACCGCAAACTGCCAACCAGACCGTGTACTTTTAGGTTTTTTTCTGGAGATGCCATTGACGGCTTTTCTTCTTCGCCGCCGGGCAAGGCTAATTGATGGGAACCAGAATAGATGGATTGTAAACGATTGAGTTGTATCGATTGGTAGACTAACCTGAATTGCAGATTGTTTTCGACATATAACGCGTAGTAGATATCCGCGAGCCGTGTCTTGGGCGTAAAGTGCATGAAGGATGCCTTGAGGACGTGTGGCCAGTGAAATGGAGAACAGGGCGAAGTTTTGTCGAAGCAGGCGCAGCGACAGTACCGGAAGCCTAAAGGGAGAGCCGGCCTGTAATGTTTTGTCTCGGTGTTGGGCAGTTGCGTGGTCCGGGAAAGGGTGTTTCATGACTGTCGTCCAACAGGATCGTCTGTCAGGATCGTCCGGCGTCGTCGTCGTCGTCGTTGTTATTGATATCCAACGCCGTCCGTCGTCGCGATTCATGGTCAAGTCTGAACCGGGAACGAAACCGCCGCCCATGTCTGCAAAAGGTTAGCCATGATTGCAAGAAAACTCTCCAAGCAACTTACTGCGTGTAATTTGTTTTTGTTTTTTTTCCCAAACCCACCCTTGTTTCCTTGTGGCCTACTCACCGAGTGACGACATCCCTCTCTCAGGTTGTGGTCACGAGTTCCGGGTCAGATTGGGACACCGTCGTCACTCCGCAAGATAAATCAAGCCTCATTGATCAGACAGCTCGCAGCTCATCAACGGACCTCGCCGGCAGCTCTCCTCTGCCGAAGGCTTTGGAGAGACAAACCTTTAGGGATCCGATGATTGCCTTGACAACCTGCCACTCCTCGTGACCCGACGTCGATTCTCCTTCAAGGGTCGGATGGCATCGGAACGCCAGGTTCACCAGTTCCAGGCCCAACCCAACGACAGCAATGTACCCGCTGACGATGAGATGGAACTTGAGCCAGGAACCGAGAGAACCCGGGTCTTCGCCTTTGATTGCCTTGAAGGCAAAACCCCCAGTGATGGGAAGAGCCAGCCAGGTACAACCCAAGAGGAACACAACCATGCCGGCGAGTAGGCGAAGAGGTTTTCTGTAATTCTCCATGGTGCTATTAGGATGTCGTGAAGAAGAAAAAGAGTTGGGGAGATTTCCCACAAACCAGCGAGGTTTTTAACATCCTGCGAACCAGCCGTCGCGACTGCCATTCTTCTTGCAAGGAAGCCACGAACTGACGACGTCTCTTGCCCAAATGTGAGCCGCACCTGCTTTTTGCTTCAACTCTGGTTGTCAATAGAGGATGGAGCGGCCAGTAGCCAGTACACCTTGAAAGAAAAGGAAAGGCGCCTGCCTTCCTCAGGTGGGTTTCTTGACTGCTTCACTTGTTGTCCCTGACGTCTTTGGCCAAGAATTTTCACATGCCACCTTACCTATTCATGCCTCTCGTTGGACCAGGAAGGTTGATGCCTCAGACTCAAATGTGCTTCTCGAGTTCTGGAGGAAGGTGATATTTCTACCTCGCCGTTGTTACTTCCTTTTTTTCCCCCATTCGACATGCCTTACCAATATACGCATTGGAGCTGAGGTCATGAATACCTTCTCTTCACAGGCTACAGCCCTAGAAGGTGCAGTTCGACTACTTGTTGAAACCAGTCAGACAGTTTCGTCAGTCCGCTGCGTTTCTGGGCATTTGAGTCACTTCAATTTTGGTGCAAAAGCGAAGACGTTCATTCGCGCTCTACCTACCGTGTATTTGAGCTGTTTGGCCATCGACAGGGAAGCAAAGCCTTCTAAACTATGTTATTTAGGACCCCGCGGTCGTGGTAACGCGTTCTTGTCGTACCATTCCTGCACTCCAGATGTTGCTTCATCAAAGGCGTGGGGAAGGCAAACAGCCATGGCATCTGCAGAAGGCCTCAGTATCCAGTACCACACGGTGAAGTGGTACATGCACAGGAATCTCCTAACATCTGAGCGCACATTCTTCCAATCCAAACGCTTTGGGATGAATCCCTTCCTATGTTGCGACGGGCTAGACTCCGCAAGAGCAGATATACAGTGATCATCACACTGGGTTTGTCTTTCTGGATGCCGGGGTATAATTTCGAATGCACACAGGTAGCGTGTATGTTCTCCGAGATTTAGGGGCGGGAACCAGAGCGGAGGCTCAACGGATCTCCTTTCGAGGAATTGTTTGGTGGCCGTATGGAACACATGTGAAAACTCGCGGAGCTCCTCGACCTTTCCCGGCATTAAAGTTCCTAGCTTGCACGAGCTTGCAGCAACCCTTGCGCCCATCAGGCGTAGAATTTGGCGGGCATATAGCTCGCCATCTGGAATGACGTAATGGTGCCGGTTGGCGAAGGAGCAGAAAAACTCGAACGGCCAACGAATGGGAGGGTAATCTTCAGTTGGGAATGTGTAGGCAGGAAGACGTTTGCGGACAATCCAGCCGGCCAAGGCGAGAGAAGGGCGCGCTGTTAAAGTCCACAGCCCAATGAGGATAACCCTGGTCGGCAGAAGGAAGACGCTGAGCTTGGTGTTGTTGAATGGAATGGCAAAGAAGGCTGTTTGGAAGTCGACGAAGAAGCCACGGCCGAATTCTCCTCGGAAGTAACCGTTCAGGCAGTCTGCGGGAATGAACAAGAAGAAGGTAACGACAGCCGTCATAGAGTGGAAGACCAGAGCGTAGACTATCCATTCGGCGAAAATGCTTCGGCTGAAACAGAAAACAGAGCTGAGGATATTTCTCGGCGAAATCGACAGTTTCGCGGTCGAGATTTCCGTGGATGACATCGTCGGATGGCCTGGCTTGCATTCGTTGTGGGTAGGTCTTGCAAAGCAAGTAATTTCGTGTGAATATTTTCGTTGGTAAGCCTGACAAGAGAAAACAGAAATGTAAGTTACCTACTAGGTAGGTAGGTGTTGAAAAACAGTTTTGATTTTGGATTGGCGTCCTGCAAGGCCATGCCTGGCCATCAATGTCCTCACTTGTCCCGCACTCAATGCTGGGGCCGGCCGGATGGATGGGGCCGCAAAGTGAACACCGGCCCGGTGGTGAGAGTCTCCACTTAACTCGGCCGTGGCTGGGAATCCCGCATTCTTGAACCGGAAGCAATAATCCAATCCCTAAGAACAGCAAGTACACTTCACTTCAGCACATCCAGACTGGAAACCCCCTGTGGATGAGGACTATTTGTGATCTAGGCTTATGCTACCCATATTGGCACTTTAAACCCAGTCGGCTTTCGCGATTCGTTCCAGCAGAGTCACAGATGCCAAAAGACTGATATGTTGATTTGAGAGATTTGGGCTCAAGTGCGTAATCTTCTGGCATCAAAGTCGGCATCATCATAATTCAGCCGTGTGCCGTCCATACAGATTACATTATTACACTGCTCCGTGGTTAGTTTTTCCTTATAACTACTCTTCACTGCCTTGGTCGTTGTCTTTGCTCGCCGCTTTTACGTCTATTATTGCCTTTTCCCTCAATTTCTGCCTGCATTGTTGCCCTTACTATCCGTAGTCACTGTGTAAGCCTTCGGCCAGGAGTATGAACCGGATTAGCGTATTTACCCCAATTCGCGTTTGCGGATCCTTTCGCCCCCCATTTCCGCACGTCAAGTGTTTCTGGCCGCCATTGGGCCAGCGATGGCTTCCGCTGTACGCACGTGTTGGGACTAGCAATGCCGCTTGATCCGAACGGGTAATACGCATGCAATCCGCCTCCCCAGCTCCCAAATGCAACCTTCCTTTGTCGGGAATTCAGCATGTGGCGGCATCAGGCTACTTCTAACGTCTTCTCTACAACTCATTTTCGACGACCATCTTCGACGACCATCTTCGACGATGAGAGGCGATGCACACCATGGACGCTGAGCGACAAAGCGAGCCAGATGGACTGTGGAGTCCGACATCAACAAGTCCCCTGAGCGACGGCGGCCATCCCCGCGACGCGTCGCCTTCAACCTCAGCGACAGAAGATGACACTGAGAAATCGCCATTCCTCAATTATGATGGCGCTAGCGAGGAGACAGGATATCGGAGACGACACCGGGATACGTCCTGGCGAAGGAGTCTCTCTGCAGCTGCAAGCCTTCTCGGAGCTTTTGTTTTCTTTCTCCTGTTCTTCGTCTTAGACCGTTTCTTGCCGGGAATTCAACGCGCCAACCCAGCAACCCCGACTCACACAATCGCAGAGCCGATTCCATCGACTCCACGCCTGCGAGACTCATCTGAGTATATCCTAAGCTCTGCATGGGACTTTTCAGCGGGCAAGAGCATCAGAGAATATGACTGGACCATTCGGGATGCAACCTTCAATCCGGATGGCATTTTTCGACCCATGATTCTCATCAACAACCAGTTTCCCGGACCCCTCATTGAGTGCAATGAAGGCGACACCATCGTCGTTCATGTCCACAACGAGGCCGTCAACGCAACGGCGATCCATTTCCATGGCATGTACCAGAACGGCACAAACTCCATGGATGGCACTGTGGGCGTCACGCAATGCCCAATTGCTCCCAACGCAACATTCACCTACCGATTCACCGTCAGCGGCCAATCTGGGACGTATTGGTACCATGCACACCACAGCGTCCAGGCTTCGGACGGTCTAGTTGGCCCCATGGTTGTCCATTCTCGGAATGACAAACCTTGGACAGATGTCTACCACAGCGATCGGGTGGTCATGATCCAGGACCACTATCACAACACCTCCGCCGAGCTCCTCATGGACTATCTTCAGCCAGATCAGGAGAACGACGAACCTGTGCCGTCAAGTGGTCTCATCAACGGCCAAAACTACCGGGACTGCGCCGCATTTGATGGATGGGAATGCGAAAATAAGGCTCCTCGGCTAGAGTCCTTGGCTTCGTTCGACTTGGCCCCAAACCAACGACATCATCTTCGTTTCATCAACACCGGCGCTTTTGCAGAGTTCCAAGTCGAGATCGATGAGCACCTCTTCTCCATCACGGAAGTTGATGGGACTGCCGTTCAACCTGCATCGTTCCATCGCCTCAACATCCTGCCGGCTCAGCGTTATAGCGTGGTCATTGAAACCAATATTACCACCGCAGACTCTTTCTGGATGCGTGCCAGGATGGTCACACACTGTTTCGCCAAGGAAAACGAGTGGCTCGACCCGGAAGTCAAAGGCATCATCCGCTACGTCGAGTCATCGATGAAGAGCAATGTGTCCGAACCGCAGAGTAAAAGATGGGACGAAGCCCTCGATGTTGATTGTCGCGATATGGACACCGCTACCCTCAAGCCCATCGACGCAATGGCTGCGCCCCAAACTTCAGCATCAATGTATCTTCGCGCCAACTTTGAGATCGGAGCCTGGCGTCTATCGCGCGGGTTTTTCAACAAGTCAACTTGGCATGGGAACGCCACGTCTCCGTCTCTATACCGCATCATCAACGCAGCAACAGTCAACAACCAGACAGCTTTGCCGCTCACGACAGGAGTAAACGAGGTTTTGTTCGATTCGGAGAAGGAGTTCGTGTACCAGACGACGGGCATCGAAACTGTGGATATCGTCATCAGCAACTTCGATGACGGGGCTCATCCCTTCCATCTTCACGGACACAAGTTCTTCGTGCTGAAGCAGTCGCCAACGGGATATCCCCCCGAGGACATCGCGGAACTTGAGAAAGAGCTGACGGCGTCTGGCGTGCTGGAGAACCCCCTCAGAAGAGACACCGTAACCGTTCAGGGTTACGGATGGGCAGTCATCAGAGTCGTGCTGGATAATCCAGGCATGTGGGCATTCCATTGCCATAATGCGTGGCACGCAGAGTCGGGCATGATGATGGTAATTGCCGCAGGAGTTGAGACAGCAAAGGAATGGAAAGTGAGCGAGGAGGAGGTGGCGTTGTGTAGCCTGCCAGGAGTTGAGAAAGGAGTTCGGCCAGACGATAAGATCTGGTTTGGGAACTTTGGCGACTAAGCATACGGATACCACGGGACGGGCTGAAGTGTAGGAGTTCCGCGAATCAGATTAATGAATGAAAGAGATATTAATTGTAAACCCGTAAAGGGGGGGCTACCTAGTATTGGAGGTCTAACCGTCGGATTGATTCCGGTGCCCGTACAACCCGCGCGGGCAGGGCCGGTCAATGTCTGTGAACAATCAACAACTCAGTAATCCTTGCAACTGATTTCTCGCTTTCGGCTCCTCACCTAGGTTGGGATCGTCAACTCGCCGCCCACCTGAACCACAAAACAAGCCTTTACAGTGGGCAACTGACGACGACTTGCGGCTCCTTCATTCCTCCGCACTGCCAAGTTCTCAACAACCGGCACTTCAACTTTCTCCCCAACTAAATCCGCGCGCGCGAATATGATAGATGACTGACGGCACCGCCTCTTTGGTGTCCGGACAGACTAACGCGAATGGCACGTTTTTCTCCGGACGTGAACGGTGCCCGAGAGTCTGGCCACGAGTTGATTGAGCGAGTTGGACCATGCAGGTCTTCAACAAGCTAAGCTGAATATAGATCTTTGAACAGGGAGTATCATCGGGGGCGATGCTAAGAGATTGGGAAACGGGGCCGGTCTAGCTGGATCGAATTCAACTTCCCGGATACCCATGGGGCACGTGTGGCATTGTGGCTCCATTTCAAATTGCTCCGCAACAAGTCGAGAGGTCTAGACCCCTTAATTCCTCGTCTACCGTCTGCCTCTTCATCGGTCCGGTTCTGATTCGAATGCCGTGATCTCGAAGTTCTTCAACTGTTCCGCATGTCGGGCAGAAAAATGAGAAAGGAGTGTGTAGATGCCCCGGTTTTGCGGTGGGTGCTCGCATTGAGGGAAGAGACAACGCGTGCTTCGCATTAACTCGGGAATAGTGGTTTTCAAGTTTGATCCCGTCGGGTGGCCCCAGTTATTCGCACTTTGGCCGTTTTTCGGCGGCGAATGTCACCAGCTCTGTGCCGTTATCCATATTAGCCACGCGGAAGCTGATTCCAAGTTGATAGACCGCACTTTTTGGTGAGGAGGTTCCAACGGTGGACTTCGCATAGGTGGACGTGAGTTGCTCCGCTGCTTCTAAAAGCGTCCGATGTGTTCATGGAAATGTTGGAACCAACACGAAAACGGCAGAGCCAGGCCGAGTCAAGATCCACGATCCTACGTGACATCTGGGACTGCGACTGGGAAGACGGAAAAACATCAGATGGTACGACGTTGAAATTGGATAGATTGGATTTGACTGGTGCGAAATCGTCAGTACTGAGTTGGGCGATCTAGTCGTTTCAGCCGCGGGAACACGAATTTGTCCAAACTCTAATTTTGAATCAGGACCTATTGAGGAGAAATTCTGCTGTTCCAGACAGAGTTGAGCAGAACGCTGCCCATCGGTCGTGGGAATCTTCGAGATGTCACTGTTGGATCGACAACTCTAGGACCGACTTGGAGTGATGTCGAACTCTATTACTTCATGAGGTCACGGGAAACGCGCACTCGTGAGGAACGACTCAGGACTTTGGACGGCTGGAATGTTTCCCGCCAATGGAGTGGAGGGAAACACCTTGATCATGGGTGTCGTCTGAATTGGAGTCTCTCATCCGAAAGTCAATTCTGTTGCCATCCAGAAGCCAACTGGCGTCACCCCACTCCCATAAGTCCCTGAGCTATACGTGTTCGGGCCTTGACCACCAAGCTAACCGACGGGACATCCAATATCAGCAGAACTCTGATCAATTTAAAGCCCAAATTGTCTGACCATAAACTTCCACCAACCACCAGGCCTGTTGTGGATGGAAAAGGCATCCCTGGGCAGCGAGATGGCTGTTACGCGGCGAAGTGGCCAGCACAACCCCTTTTCCGAAGTGTGCCTGTTTTTCTCGTAGCAAGTCGACATTTCCCAATGGCAACCCCAGTTGAGGCTGGAAAGAACGGCACGGAACTCGGCAACTTGTTGCAAGGATTTAGATCAAGGAGGGCTAGTTTCGATCGGGTCAAGTCCCGGCAGGGCATGCTGAACAGGCCTTAGCCTACGGCGTAGCACCATTGCTTGTTTATGTCAATCGCGGAGATGGGCGCTGGTTTCGCAGATGGCCAGCAGACCGTGGTGTAATTCCAGAATTTCAGGAGCTGGTGTGGGGGTGTTGACGAGGGCGATGCAAGGGCCATCCCCGGCACATTGGTCACTCTGGAAGTGGCCATTCTCTCATTCGTGAGATCCATTCATTCCATCTAACTGACTCGACCAGTGTTTCCCAGGACGCGGGCAGACAATATGTCGCGGTAAACAGGAGCCGTTCGATGGCAGGCCTTGGCATGCCACCAATCCAGCCTTGCCAAGAGATCCAGAGACTTGGATATAAACCGCCATGTCGTCCTCCCCCAGAGTGCCAAGAGATTCCCAAGACATCAAACCCGCAGATCCCTTACCATTCTCGAGTCTTGGCTCATCCTTCTTTCATTAACCTGATCCGTTCCTTTCTACCTGCTTTTACATACTTTCTGATACTGTGTATCAAGTCACTCACTTAACCTACAACTCTGCCAAGATGGTTTCTTCTCTTCTCGTCCTCGGCGCTCTGGCCTCCGCCGCCATCGCCTCTCCCGTCCCCGAGGTCCAGGCCCGCGCCGGCTGCACCTTCACCGATGCCGCCGCCGCTATCAAGGGCAAGGCCAGCTGCACCACCATTGTGCTTAACAACATCGCCGTCCCCGCCGGTACCACCCTCGACATGACCGGTCTCAAGTCCGGCACTCACGTACGTCCTCCGCAACCCCACCATCGGCCAAAGACGCCGCTTTTTCGGAGCTGTTGACTAACAAGATGCATAATAGGTCACCTTCCAGGGCAAGACCACCTTCGGCTACAAGGAGTGGGAGGGACCTCTCATCTCCTTCTCCGGCGACAACATCCTCATCGACGGTGCCTCCGGCCACTCCATTGACTGCGACGGTGCCCGCTGGTGGGACGGCAAGGGTGGCAACGGCGGCAAGACCAAGCCCAAGTTCTTCTACGCCCACAGCCTCAAGAACTCCAACATCAAGAACCTCAACGCCCTGAACACCCCCGTCCAGGCCTTCTCCATCAACAGCGCCACCAACCTCGGCGTCTACGGCGTCACCCTCGACAACTCCGCCGGCGACTCCAAGGGTGGCCACAACACCGACGCCTTCGACGTCGGCTCCTCCACCGGTGTCTACATCTCCGGCGCCAACGTCAAGAACCAGGACGACTGCCTCGCCATCAACTCCGGCACCAACATCACCTTCACCGGTGGCACTTGCTCCGGTGGCCACGGTCTCTCCATCGGCTCCGTCGGTGGACGCAAGGACAACGTCGTGAAGACGATTCGCATCACCAACTCCAAGATCTCCAACTCCGACAACGGTGTCCGCATCAAGACCGTCTACGGCGCCACTGGATCCGTCTCCGACGTCGAGTACTCCGGCATTACCCTCTCCAACATCGCGAAGTACGGTATCGTCATTGAGCAGGACTACGAGAACGGCTCCCCCACCGGCAAGCCCACCGCCGGCGTCCCCATCACTGGCCTCACCCTGAGCAAGGTTACCGGTTCCGTTGCCTCTTCCGGCACCAACGTCTACCTCCTCTGCGCCTCCGGTGCCTGCAGCAACTGGAAGTGGTCCGGCGTCAGCGTTACTGGCGGCAAGAAGTTCACCAAGTGCAGCGGTATCCCCAGCGGCAGCGGCGCTGCTTGCTAAACGCCTTTCCGCAAGACGAGTGCAACCCCTTGAAGCGGGCTGCTCGGCTGTGGAACGAGTCGGCCATCGTTCCCCGGGCCTAGCCTCTGGTTGATGTTGCCGCGGTGTTCAGCTGGACTTTCCTTGTAATTATTTGGGCTTTGACGGGATCTTTCGGTCAAGCGCGCAAATTGTTCGTGTACATATTTCTTATTTTCTGTCCTTGAGATGTCTTCGGGCAGTACATAGCCAATCCAAATCTGCTTGGATGCAATTTCGTTGTTTTGTAGATCGTGAGTGACCTTTTCCGTTGAAATATCCGATGCCTCCACTTTGCCTAGACCTGTCAGAGATAAACGACAACCCAACTCCACCGTAATCACAGGGGCCTCGCTGCGGTATCCCTGCGTTTTAACCTGGGTCCCTGGCCCTCAATTTCCACAAAGCCACGATTGAGAGCAAAAATGAAAGACAAAAGATAAACTCCTCGACGGGGAATTGAACCCCGGTCCCCTGCGAATCGTGTTGCCATGACAAGCAGATATCCTCACCACTAGACTATCGGGGATGTGGATCGCCAATTGTTGAAGAGACCGCTAGCGTGGGGTCTTATGTACGGTGATGCGCAGAATACTGCCGTCCTAATCGTCCAGCACCGCCAGTCCTACCTTCCCTCTTCGTCATTTGGCGTCTTGCCATGAGAGACAGTTTTGGGGCAATGTTGTATCTTGAAATGGCATATTATCTATGTATGTGTTGTTGTTTGCAATAGCATATTCTCTTCGAGCAAGTTCTACAAAGCCTCAACGAAACATAGTAAAGACCGACCATTGTCAATATGTGGACACTGGAAGAACAATCAAGTAGCACCTTTTCAGGCTCAAGTATTATCAAAGGCAAAAGTATGTGCAATTGGACGTCAACTATGTACAAGAATGTAAAGATGTCTTGAGTCCTTTGAAACCCAGCAGCCAGTGGATTGGGCGAATAGCCGCTTAGCAGGTAAACACAGCAGGGCCGGGGATGGTGTAAGTCTGGGCTAGTTTGAGTTAGAAAGGGGAACATCAACGGATTGACAGTATTTCACGTACCCTTGTAGGCATCGTAAGTGATACCTGGGTCGGTGGCCTTGTACGCGCCAGGGAAAGCAACAAGCGGGCTGCCAGCCTTGCTTCCCGAGCCGGTAACCTGGAGCTGGTGGCAACCCGGGTAGAACTGTGCACCGGGGTAGGAGTAGGCAGCGTGGAGGGCGATGATCTCGTGGCGGACGAGGTAGTAGCCGGACTTCAAGCACGAAGGGATGGTGTATTGGTAGGCCGAGTTGGCAACCATGAAGGGAGTCTACGGACACAAGTTGTCAGCAACCTTTCAGTCAAAAACTCAGAAACATGACTTGGAACTCACAGCAGCCCAGGTGTTGGAGGTGCCGGTGCGACCGCCCTCCTTGATCTTGAACCACACAGCACTGGAGAATTTGATGTCAGCTGGAAGTTCTGGAAAGTACTGGCATGGCTACGTACGAGGTTCCGGGTTGCCAGTTGTTGCAACCAGCGTCAGGGCATCGAGCCATGTACGTGATGACGGGACCGACGTGAGAGTCGGGCCAGAGAGTCCATTTCAGGGTGACGCTGGATCCGGCAGCGGCGGTGGCGTGCAGCGGAGCGGGCTTGGAGCCGCTGACTCCGCCGGCGGTGTATCCGTTGCATTGGATGTCGATCGAGTTGACGTCTTCAACAGGTCCGTTTCCGGGGATCGCGCGGGAGATTCTCTGGGGCTTGAAGCATGTTAGTTTTGCGTGACTTCGGGACGTGTATGACAGCACATTGGACTTACAGGTGTCGCGTAGTAGGGGTCGGAGTACGGCTAGAATAGTCAGTGGATGATCAACAACTTCCCATGTTGTATTCACCTGGTAGAACTACATGTTTGTTAGCGAGAAGTTCTCAACGTTTCAGTTCGTGATTGACAAACCTGGTAGTAGGTTCCGCCGATCGTACCGTTGTCGACGTATCCGTGGCCGGCGACCAGAGCCGCAGCAAAACCGAGAAGGCAAGCAGTGATCTTCATCTTTGGCTAGATTTGATTCAACTGTGACTATTATCCGAGGATGTTGTCGATCAAGGGCGATCTCCGAGAACCCTGGTGTCAATCAACGATGGAGAGTTGCGAGCGCTGTCAGAGGCTGAGCACTTAAAGGAAAGAAACTTGCTCTTACTCGGGAACTTCAATGATATTTATCGGCAACAAACATTGCTTCTTTTCGTTTCCAAACAACTCGTCTCAATCATTCCAATCACAGTCAACACCCTCAATTCAAGACGCCGGGGAGGGAGACTACACACTTGGCACGGCTACGTTGCCTCCTTACCGACCCACGGCATCCCATCACGGGGACGTTAGTTTAAACATAAAAGGAAATATCGGAACCAAAACTGCGAGTGCCATGGCTGTTGCAATATGGGAGCGGCTTATCCCTGATTTCATTGGCAATCCTCCATAGACGAAACATAGGTGTGGCAGGGATTCCACCAATGACTGGGCGTTTCGGGTTCCATCATGACTCCTACTGCCAACATGTCAAGAACTTTTAATCTAAAAACAAAGACAAGGGAGAAAAGCAAAGTGATTTTGGGTAGAATCAGGCGTTATTTGAGAGTCCACCACCCACACTGCAACATGCCGTGGTGCTGGGTTCAAAAGTGTGGGGGAGGGGCAGTACCGGCATGCATTCCGACGCGAATGTAAGTGCCAGAGGTGCCGAACGCGGGGATTCTAGACCCGGAAAACTGGTCTGGTTGATGTGTCTGGGGGGTTGAACCCAAAATGCAGGAGGACAGTTGGGGAAACAAGTGAGACTTAGCAGGCAGTTGACAAAGTCTTCGCAAGGCCTTGAAGACGAAGCTGATGAATGTAAATCTCTTGCTAATGTCTTAGTCTTTCAAACCAGCGACACTAACATTTCTTTCCAGCGGTGGAGGATTCAAGTACTTACCATCATCATGGTCGGGTAGGGGCATCACATTAGTTGTTGGGTATTGGATACCTCCGTCCTAGTCTTCAATGGCATTCGTGGAATCGCAAACGACATATTAAATGCTGCAAGTAGCGGGCACCTGACAATTTGTAAGTGGCCAATAGAGATATGACTATTACTTAACCAATGAGCAGTCTTCAGTCGCTAGAACAAGCTATTTGCGAGTCTCTTCGTTTATGAGAGCTGACTGGGGACAGAGAAGGGCAGGTCTTCCTTTATACTTGTTGCATCTATTCAGTGAGCTGACACATCCGAAGATAAACTGACCATGAAGCACATTTCCAGGCATCAACCAAAGTGGGATCATCGCAGCATGCGGGCGGGATCATGAAGGGTCCGCGTGTGCTCCATCACACCGGGTTACCGGACTATTTGATATTCCACTGCGCTGATGCAAGACACCAAACTATTTACAACCCTAAAGAGACGTTGCGTAATGTGGGCACTGGTCCGCAGTGCTTATGGCTTGAGGTAGGTTCGGTCGTGCGCGATTAGTGAACATGCAACTTGACCCTCGGCGATGAATGATCAGTAAACTATCCAAGTGATGATTCGAAAGAGAAAACCCTTACAAATCAATCTCGACTGGGGCAGAATAGTTTTAAATTCGTGATCTGTTATTCTATAGCCTGCATGATAACCCTCTTTCGTGCGTGGATGATGGAAAGCCACAAAAATCACAGCTAGCACACAGTGATAGTTGGCTTCCAGAATACCACGATAAGTTAGCGCGGTCCTCCAATTACAGCCATCTATGGCACCTCAACCTATGAGTGATCGGATGAACCCAACAACCTGAGCGATAACATCAAAATCTGGCTCAACCGGAAGCAACTTAGAGGTTATCTGGTCTTGATCAAAAGGCGTACCTAGTTAGAAGAGTCAAGGAAACGGTGATGCCGATTGATGATGTTTTCGAAGAGCTTCGGGTCAGCATAGTTGGAATGATTTCGCCATCTCAAATTCTCAATGAATCAGATCACTCATTATGCCGTTTTGAGGGTAGCAAGAAGGTGTTTTGCACTGTAAATTTTCAGAGACTCGCGTACCAAAATTCACCAGCCCAGCCTGATATCAGTACTAAGGTTGGTTGGGGGCGCCAGATAACAGTCGTACGATATTGGTCTAGTCGTCAATGATCCTTGAGCCAATGTGCATTCGTAGCTTGACGACGACCTTGATTATTAGTAATCGAGCCTTTGTGAACTTTCCGTGAACCGTGAGGTCCTAGTTTCAAGTTGGCCCGCTCCGACGGGACCCCATTATCACGGACTAGTACTGGATTATCAATCTGCCTCGACGCAGGGTACATGTGGCTTCGGCGCCGAGAGAACCTGCACGAATCTCTTCCATGGATGACGGAATATGCAGCCTATACTGTAAACATGTAAGTTGATGGGAGCTACATCTCGAAATCGTTGTGTTTTGAGACATATTTAAGATCTCGGTCACGTCGTGGTGTTGTCTCCTGGAAAGGTTCTCATCAGCTCGTCAACCCGAACCATCTGAACAGTAACTTAACACTGAACCAAAATATTCTCACATATCTTTTTCGTTAACAATTTCAACTTTCTCCAAACCTCACAATGTCATCCAACAAGACCTACCTCATCACAGGTGCCAACCGAGGCATCGGCAAGGGCTTCGTCTCCCTCCTCCTCCAGCGCCCCTCAACCACCATCATCGCCGGCGTCCGCGACCCCTCCAACGACTCTTCCAAGGCTCTTACCTCTCTCCCAAAGGGCGAAGGTTCCAAGCTCATCCTCGTAAAGATCGACTCCTCCGTCGAATCCGACCCCGCCACCGCCATCGAGCAAATCCAACGGGAACACGGCATCACCTCCCTCGACACCGTCATCGCCAACGCAGGCATCTCGCACTCCGCCGTGCACGTCCGAGACCTGACTTTCGACGCGGCGCTGGAGCATTTCAAGGTGAACTCGGTCGCGCCTCTCGTCCTCTTCGGCGCCGCCGCCCCTCTCCTCAAGAACGGCAAGAACCCCACCTTCGTCGCCATATCTTCGGCCGTCGGCAGCATCGCCGCGCAGGGCAACTTGTCTCAGCTGTTCCCGGGTGTGGGCCTGAGTCCCTACGGCGCCAGCAAGACCGCGCTGAACTACTTCATGCAGAGGCTTTTCATTGAAGAGCCGTGGTTGACTAGCTTCGTGTTCCACCCCGGCCTGGTTGAGACGGACATGGGCTCTGGGCTGTCTAAGAAGACTGGCGTTGACATGAAGAGCCTGGGTGCTATTACTACTGAGCAGAGCGTCGATGGGATGGTAGCCGTTCTTGATGGTGTTACGAAGGAGTTGAGTGGCAAGTTCAAGAACCACGATGGAACCGATCTGCCGTGGTAGAGTTGTGTCTGTGGCCCCGTCTGGGATGCATGTCTTTATGTAGAATTTCAGTGTGAATCATCGTAACATGATGTTGACTTATCGAGCTATTGTTATCGACGTCCGTGAGAAGCACCTCTTGTTGCATGAGCTCAACTACCCTGTAATGTGTATCAAACAAAGTGTGCAAGTGCAGCATGTCTGACAAGAACGTGATATGATAATATTAGGCTTGATGTCTAGATGACCAGGGCGTCATATGTACATAGAGATAGATTCGTATGACAGAATATTCTTAGATCCTGCGCCTAGTCTTTCCCGCGTAAAACTCATCAGTCCACGTCTTGAGCTGTTCGATCTCGGCGGTGATGACGGCCTTCATGTCGGCGTTGACGTCGCCGTTTCTGACGAGGAGGTCATTGCAGTGGCGGGAGCCGGGGATCAGGTGAACCGGAGCACCGGGGCGGGACTGCAGCGGGCCACCGGGACGGAGTTCGCTGGAGACGGAGGCGGAGCGCCAGGGGTCGAATTCACTATGAGAGGTCAGCTGTCAAGTCCAATAACTTCATTAAGGCCACTCGGAAGCGATGTAGGGCATGGAGCGGAAACTCACCCGTTCGACCACACAAGTCGCGTGGTGTTGGTGTAGAACCAGCCGCCGGTTGCCTTGTTCAGGTCCGCCGCCGTCTTGCCCCGGTTCGAGGCGTAGGTGAACTCTCCCTGCTTGGGGAAGAAGAGGTCACACTGGCGTTGGTAGTACTCGGGAGTGACAAAGCGGGAGACAATGGAGGGGCGGTCCTTGGGGGCACCACTGGGATTTGATCAGTCTTCAGGTACTTGTCTGGAAAGTCTGAGCCTGGCACTTACGTCTGCCAGAAGAAGAAAGGTTCATTGCAAGTCATCCAGTACCAGGTTCGTCCAAACTGGTTGTCGGCGCTCCAGTCGGTGTACATGGGGCTGGTCTCGTTGTAGGTTTCGAAGCAGGCGACGTTCATGGGGTCTGACCACTCGTCTACACCGTAGGAAGCACACGCTGTCATGCGGTCAACATTGGTTCACCAGCTTTGGACTAAGAAGAACATACTGCCTGGGAGATACTCGGAGCTCCACCACTTGGCATAGTTGTCAAGTGCCTTGGTTACACCAACGCCATCAGCGCTGGGTCTGGAGTAGTTGCCCGTGGCTCCCTCAACCGCATCGCACATGGCGTAGAAGGCGGAGTAGCCGGAGTACAGCTGGATGGACTGCCAGTATCCAAGGGGGCCAACAAGGGCACTGCGACCCGTTAGTATCAGGAGTTTCGTGGATATCTCTCAAGAAACTTACCCGGCGAAGTCATCGTTGTGAGCGAGATCCTGCAGACCGAACTTTTTCTTCAGATCGTAAACCTCATCCTCGGTTCCGGTGACAAGGACGTTGTCAATGTGGTCAACCATGCGCTCAAAGTCGCGACTGCAGTTCTGGGGCATGCCCCTCTGGATCGGGAGGAAGTAGCTCCAGTAATCGTAGACCGCTTCCACGGGACCACTGCTGGAGTGATAGGCCCAGATAGTGCCCGGTGCATACTTGGAGATGGCAGCGGCGAGGATGCCAGAGTACGAGCCACCGGTGTAGATCCAAGGCTGAGAACCAGGATTAGTTGGAGTTCAACGCGGCTAATAGGATTGGCTTACGGCCTGGGGAGCATTGCTGCTGTGGTTCTTGTCGAAAGGCAGCTCGACGTTGCGGGCCAGGTTGACGAAGTCCAGCACAGCGTTCGTCATTGTGTGTTGCTGGAGGTTCTTGGTATCTTGAAGCGTGTACGGCAGAGACGTGCCCCAGTTACGGTCTGTTCAGGTCAGCTATAAAATCTTCTGATAGTAGAAAGATAGCACAATTGGAAAATCATACGCTCGACCATGACCACGGCACCACCGACAGCCTTCGCGATGTTTCCGGTGAGAGCACGCTCAGTCAGGTATCCGCTGTACCCCTCAGCCGCGACTTCACCGGGTGTGAAGAGGATGATCTACGTTGGGTCAGTTGGCAACGCCACCTCTTTGTTGATGGAATTCTCATACCGGCGAGCCAGGTCCCTTCCAGAAGGTGTCGTTGTACCAGTAACGCTGTTGGAAGGTTCCCAATTCAGGGGCATCATGGTCGATGAGTTGCTCGAATTCCAGAGCTTCACGCTTGACCAGAGTGCCATCATCATCTTCAGCTCCCAGAGGAGGTTGAAGAGGCACGAAGGCGAAGTGGGCTTGAACTGCCGTCAGGCAGCTGAGCAAGGCGAGGGAGACCTTCATTGTGACAGCGAACGAACACACACTTCAGGAACGGCTCCGCGACTTCGTCAACACAGAGACAGGCCATCACGCCAACAGCCCGGCGGGGGAAAGGGCCATCTTTAAGAGTCGCACAGCATATGGGTCAACAACAGCCCCATTTCGCCCGAGGGGTCAAGAAGCCCCGGTCGATTGATTTCCGACATGCAACAGCCATGTATCCTGTGGCCAACATCGCTGCGCTCGCGTCCCGTATTGCGACCCTCGACAGGAACAAGCTTTCCAAGCGTTGACGGGAGAGGGTCGCCGCACCGGGGGAGCGCAGCGATGGAATTGGGCGGCATGTTGAGGCCGGGGTGTTCGACCGGGCTCTGATAGGCATTTGGACGGTAATGAGAATTGGCTGGGTGGGCCGATAAGTTAGCCGGAAGCGGAAGGTGAAGAGGCGACGCTGCGGTGTGCCCCAGGTCGCGTGGCACGCATCGGCAGTCCGGCAGGAACCTTTGTCTCCGGTCTGCGATCCGACCTGCGCCAATGGGAAGGTGATCGGGAGAGGCAAGATTGAACGGTCATGGTCTAGAGGTTGGGCCCGGGGACTCGCTATTCTGAGTCGTGAGCCGAAGGAGTTGGTTCGCTGGGGAAGGGCGAATGTCGAACACACAGAAATTACCTGACAAACTAGCCCTAGCAAAATAATGATTGTTCATTTTAGCAAAGTTATCTTCAATACTGCATGGAATATTATGTTGATGCGTAACACAGACGCTGAAGTGCCCTCAGCTGGTTTCGAACCAAGACAAGTGCTTTGGAACCACCAACTAACTACGAGGTCAGCCAGTGATGATACAGTCCTACGTAGGGCCTCGGAAGCAGGAGCTTCTTTAGCAAATCAGGGTGTTTTCGTCCTTCGGCTTCATGCATTTTGAGACGGTTGATTGGGAGCAGTTTGCAGGGTCGATGTCGGCTCATTAAAGTCGGACGCGACGTGGTCTCAGGAGGCGATTATGAGATCTCATGAGATCTCAATGGCAAGTTCCAATCAAAGTGCTCATGAGTAGGCGGGGCAAGTAAGCGCGATGAGAAACCCGAAGTTGACCATTCGATATGATGAGTTTTGGTGAGTGATGCACTTTACCAGAGTATTTTCAGCGAAGACTCGCTGAAGGCCGAAGCATTTCACTGGTCAAAAAATTGGCCAATGATATTGTCGGAAAGGTAAGCACCCGGCTAGGAGCCTAACAATTGAGGCCACCATGGAATTCCGGCGGGAAGCTCCACAGTCCAATCCAAAGCTCCGACGACATTTCCATATCGATTGACTACCGACGACCGAACCATTTGCCCATCACAGACCCCAATTGCCGTCAAAATGGCCGGAGACTCAGCACCAAGGGGTCCGTATCTCCGATTCCATGCTACACTCGTGTCGCGCCGCTAACTCCCCTCCAGAGGCGACCCGCGAGGAGATGCGGGATGCCAAACTCCCCCTCGCCTACCGCGACAGCTGCGCCGGCCTCCTCATCCCCCTCAACCGCTGCCGCGCCGACACCTTCTACCTTCCCTGGAAGTGCAGTGTGCGTTCTGCTCCGTTCTCCCCGAAACCCGGCCATCATGCGCTCCCCCGAAACCTCGATATACCCGATCAACCCGAACCTTTTGAGCTAACCTGCAATTTTGCGACGACTAGGACGAGCGCCACAGCTACGAGAAGTGCCAATACGACGAGTTCAAGAAGCGTGTCGCCAAGATGAACGAGCTCCGCGCGGAGAAGGGAACGAGAAGCAACTAGAGGGCCGGGACGACGACAGCCCGGGGCGGCCGCGTCTGTGTACATAACCTGTTATTTGGAAGGGCCAGGGCAAAAGAAAGGTCGAAAAAGGGATTTGGACTTGCCACGAGGGTCATAGAACGAGCCGAATTCACGTCATTGCGAAAGCTCTCCACGATTTTCCCCGGTGTCCGAACTTGCGCTTGCGATTACCAAAATGATAAGATGCGGGGGAGGGGAGGAAGAAGGGGAAGGGTATCGACGCCATGGGTATCGAGGCTGTGGCTGACAGCCGCTGGTATTCATACAGTCGTTGCGTTCCTGCTGCTGCAAATGCGAATAGACGGGTCTGTGAGATACGTCTGTCCTGGTTGTTATGGGTATGGCATGGAGATTTAAGGTAGTTTTCTGGCACTGTCTTCTAGCATGCGGACTCATTCGAGATCATTCTCTTGGACTCGCCGCATGGGGAGTTCATTCCATATCGGACTTTGATTTCGTCACTGTCTAACTTTCGTACACTTGCGAAGTTGAGTTCTGACCTCACCTGGTTCGACAAAGGGTTTCACCTGCCATAGCCTCGTCCACAGCCAGACCGCAGCCTTCTATCAGCAACGAACCAGCTATCAAATCCCTGCCTCGCTCCAGCAAAAGAATAAAACGTGGTTAGCAATGCTCCTTATTTTGGACAGTCTCGCCGTTGAAACGCGGAGGGCGCTCAAAGAAACGCTTCCAAGCAGTTCAAGCAGTTTGTTTATTTAAGAAGATACCCTGATCCAGCTGTCCAGCCTCCACAACAACACCAATTTGAATCCACCTAGGAATTGACGCAACGCAAACTTCAAACATGGTCATTCTCTGCGGGATTTGGCTGGTGATGTGTGTCTTTGTGTTCTTCTTCACGCTCCTCATCTGCCTCATCGACTTCGTCATCCTAGGTCTCTACGCTGCTGGGGTCTTGGCCCTTTTCGTCGTCCTCCACAACATCGCGACGAGTTGGCCGTGGGATTTCTGTGAGTGTTAGCAGGCACTCTACTGAGCTCAAACACTGTCTCTTGCACTCCAGTTCGGCCCGACGAAGACGAGGAAACAAGATGCCGGTCGGATTCTACAAAATTCTAGTCGGGTCGGGACAAGTCTGAAGTTAAAAGTCGGCATTGACTCGACGAAACTCCCTTGAGCTATGAATATCATAGAGCAAAGGGACCGCAGTGTACTTGGAGGAATACCACAATATGGGAGTAATTAGGAAAGACTTTGAACATCACCAACGTCTCCCTCCACCCCTGAACGTTCGAGATCTACCGGCTACGATCAGGATGCCACTAGTTATTGAAAGGGGAAAGCTCTTTCCTACGCCTTCATCGTCAAAACATCGTGTAGCCTTGGCGGTGGTTCTCATGAGCATAGAAGCATCAAATCGTCCATGAAGATATAATGCTGTGGTGGCCGGTAATTGTTCCGTACATACATTTCTCATTATGAGATACAAGCAATGAAAGATGAACCCGAAACCATTACAGAGTGCCCTAGCATATCATACAATGCCATCAACCCTCCTTGGCGAAAGCCTCTGCCAGACCGGTAGTCCCAACAGAGGCCTAGAAACAAGGAAATCACGGGCGTCGCGTGTAAGCAAGCTTAGACAGCCTACTTCTCACGACTTTCCACAATCAAACGGTGCAGCTTTGTGACAAACATCCATCTGAAAGACAATCTGAGAAAAGTTTTCTCCTTACTCACCACTTCCACAACCTTCTCTCAATCACAAAGCACAACAACCTTCCAGATCCAGCAGCAAGATCTACCACTTCATCGCCAAAAATGATCGTACTCGCCTGGATTCTCAGGTGGATCATCAAATGGATAATCGGCATGATCATAAAGTACACCCTCAAGATAATCCTCAAGGCTATCCTGGGCCCCATTCTCGTGGCCTTCGGCTTCGGCCCTCTCGGTCCCATCGCCGGTAAGTCTATATCCCGAACCTCGAGACCACAAGCTGACTATACCCGTAGGCACAATCGCCGCCTGGTGGCAGGCCTGGTACGGCGGTTTCGTCCCCGCTGGCAGTGTCTTCTCTTTCTTCCAGTGGTTGGCGATGGTTATACTCTGAGCCGCGAAGGCGGCATTGGCGGGGTTTGCTGAGCCTACCTAGGGAGGGCGAGAAGGCTCGGGACAATAACTGCTTCCATAGGGGTCAAATGGAAATTTCAGGGGATAAAGAGTCTCGGCATGATGACGGCTGGATCGTTCGACGGCTTGTTCCTAGGCACCAAGATGAAGGAGATATAGCAGGACTACCTCATTCTCGCTGGTACTTCTCAAGATACCATATCTATTTGGAGAAAGAACATACTGAGTCAAGCCAACTTGTTGTTCTCGTCGCCATTCAACCAATGCATGAGTCTCAGAATGCTCTAAATGGAACTGCACAAGCTTCGATTACATCCAAAGGCTTCAACTTAGAAGATGACGCCAGACCACCACGCATGAAAGCACGCTTTGCTGCGCCTAGCCACTACATGCTCCAGAGTCAGGACATCTTTGTCACATCACATGAATCTTCCGGCTGCTTAATGAAGCTTGGAAGATTCCAGCGGCTAAGCCTCGCAGTTAAATACCCAGGAAGGCTACTTGGCTATGTGCACATCCATCTCTCCCAACAACAGAAACTCTGCCGCTTCATCACCAACACAATGTGGATCTATGATCACGAAAACACCGGCCAATACAGACCCCTCGGAACACTCGACTACTTTTATGTCTTCTTGAAATCAGCCATCACGTTTTGCATTGTTTCCGGAATCGTGCCCCCTACATGGCCCAGGTCCGCCAGATATGCGTTGATAGGTGGACTGCACAAGGCCCTGATCAGCTGGATGAACGGCGATAACCCCTTCACTGGTGAGACTTCTTCCCCCATGTTGCGTAATTCTTTTTAAGTCTCTCGCTCACTTTGCAAAGGTTTCTGTGGTGGCCTGATGGGTGTCGCCTGGCTGGCTGGAGTCATTGATGTCTTTCGAGGCCTGATTCTCATTGCGAGCACTGAGCTCAAGTTGCCTCTTATTCAAGTGGACGCAGAGGAGTGACCCGACTCGCCTTCCCATGGCCTGGTGAGTTTCTCTGCTTTGGTGGGATTCGGCCACTCAGTCGTTTCTGGGGCCATCTGGTAACCTCTGATTTGGTAGATTGCTTCCCTGTCGTCCTGGGCGGTGGAATCGGAGGACTTGCATTGGCCAAGCCGCGAGCTCTGGCCAAAGGCAAAATTCTGTGGAACTTGGCAGACATGGCCAATGGTGTGTGTGGAATCGAGCTGAGCAACATGGAGATGGGAGCATCGGGACTGTCAGTTCAGGAGTACTGCTAGGGGCTCAATGTCAACGAAGGAAATTGCGCCACCGGACAGGCCTCCAGAAATACAGCTCTCGAGACGGAATGCGAATCAAAAATGTGCAGCTGCATGGGAAACTTGAATGTGAAGCACAAAAGACTGCGTTTTCAGCGTCGATCAGTGATGTAACAGTCCTCGCGATGATGTACAGCGTATCATTATCAATTTTTCCCTAGCCTCAAAACGCCCGAACAAGCCATCCCACGGGGGAAAATCATAGATGCAGAGCAGCTATTCCTCCGAAATGCCACCAAACGCCTCCTTCTCCTTCTCCTTCTCCTTGCCCTCGTCGTCCGTCACGGGCGCCGTCGTGTTCCACACGTCCTGCTTCAGCGCCTTCTCCTCCTCATCTTCGACAACGCCAAACTTGGTCACGCTGAACTCGGGCATGCGGCGCCGCTCCTTGCTGAGGATGCCGCCGCTCTTGCCCACCCTGCGCCGGCGCTCCTGCTCGGCGTCGCGCTGGACGGCCGCCGCCTCGCCCGCGGCGTCCAGCATCGTGCCCTCGAGACTGAGGTAGCCGTGGTCGCCGCTGACGCCGACGTCGAACGCCTTGATGCGGAAGCGGACGCGGCCCTTGACCTTGTCCCCGTTGCCGTCGACCCAGAAACCGGTGGTGTGGATCTGGCGGACGGCGCCGTGCTCGTTCTCGGCGGCGTCGGCCTCGGCGTTCTCGTCCTGGGCGAAGGGGTCGGCGGCGTACTCCGCGGCCTCGGCGGAGCCGGCGTGGACCCAGCGCCACTCGGGCGGCAGGCGGGCGGACTCGATGCTGGCGTTGAACTTGCCCCAGCACACGACGCCAATGTGGCCCTCGTTCTCGAGGTTGATGCTGCCCTCCATCCAGGCGCCGCGGCGGGGGATGAAGAGGTCGACGTCGACGGTGACGTAGCCGAAGCCGACGGCGTACTCGTCGACGGAGACGAGGTCGCAGCGCTCGCTGTCGGTGGTGGCGGCGTGTCGGCGGCCGGGCTGCTCCGAGAGGGCGACGTTGCGGAAGGCGAGGAGCACGCCCTTGAGCTCCGGGACGTAGCGGTTGACGAGGGGCTCGAGGTGCTGGGTCGCGGCGGAGGTGCAGGGAGTGTCCCAGCCTATGGGGTAGATCGGGAGGTATAGCGAGACGGTCTGGGAGAAGAAGGGGTACTGGGGCTTGGAGGGGGTGTCTGGCGGTTGGTGGACTCGGGATGTTGATTTCGTCTGCTCGGGCTCGTCGACGTCCATGGCGTTGTCGTCGTCGTCGGCTGCTGCTACTACCGGCTCTGGCGACGCGGCCTTGGACTTCTTGCTCTTCTTCTCCTTCTTCCCGCTCGAAGGCTCTTCGACAACGGCATCCTCGAGTCCTTGGGACTTGCGCTTCTTCTTCTTGTCCTTCTTTTCCTTGCGCTCGGCGTCGGAAGCGTCGTCGGCCTCGCCTATTGACTTCCTGCTCTTGTCCTTCTTGTGTTTTCGCTCGCCGTTGGTCTTTGCGGAGGCCTCGTGGGAGAGGTCCTGTGAGCCGGCCGGGGTATCATCGTCGTCGTCTTGGGCATCTTCGTTGGTCACGCCCACGCTCTTGGATCGCTTGTGCCTGCGCTCCTCGCCGTCGACGTCCTCCTCGCGCGAGCGCTTCTTCTCCTTCTTCTCCTTCTTGCTCTTTTTTTCGGACTTGTGCCCGTTTGTCACGGGGGAGTCAATTGCCGCCATGGCTGCGGTGGGACGTTGGCGAATTGTGTATTGTCGTCGGCGCGGGTCGCGAAGGACGCTGTTTCCCGACTCTCGAAATAAAAAAATAAAAAAAAAAGTCGAGCCGGACCAAAAAAAATTTCGAATGAGAGTTCACCGATCGGTGGTGGGGTCGCCCGTCTCCCGCTCTGGGCCCGTCAGCCTCTCAGACAACACCGTCCGGGCAGGGGTATCATAGGGTACGTACCCGGACCGGTGTCTTTCAGCACCGATGGCCTTACGGCCCGGCCTGCGCGAAGGTGAAGTATGTGGATTCATTTATAAACATGTTTTCCAGTAAGAGAATTTTCAAGATAAAAATGCAATTGCTCTAGCTATATGCGCATGTTCTTGAGGGGACATCAGACGGCGGCCAGCATCGGATAGCAAAACGTGGGGTTGGTTGGTCAATCAACAGCTCTCGCATCCAGGTTCCCCTCTTGTGCTCCTCCACCAACCCAGCACGCCTTGGAATGGCGTCAGTTCCGAGGGGTCGGAGCTTGACTTACAAATGCAAGGTTTCAGCGGGGTGGCTTTGACGTGCCGCTATCGCTGATAACTGAAGCTATAAATCCACATCCTCCTCTGCATTGGATCTTCGTGGTTGCTTGGTGACATCCACGGCCTCAATTCCAACGGAACTGCTGATTGTAACCCCTCTCTTGACAACCCCGCATAATCTGTAGTTCTTTAACCAACCACCATGACCTTCACGCCTTCCAAGATTCTCGTGTTTGGTGCGACGGGCAACATCGGCCTGTTCATTACGGAGGCTTTGCTGGATGCTAGCCCGTCATTCGGTCAAATTACCGTCTTTACGTCGCCGTCAACGGTGGAAAATAAGGCAGAGCTGCTTGACGGCTGGAAGAAGAAGGGAGCAAAGATCATCAGCGGCAGCGTCGACGATAATGAGCAGGTCAAGGCTGCGTACCGGGACCACGACACCGTCGTCTCTGCCCTGGGAAGGAACGTGATCGAGAAGCAGATTGACCTCATCAAGCTGGCCGAGGAAACCGACTCGGTCAAGTGGTTCTTCCCGTCAGAGTACGGCACAGATATCGAGTACAGTCCCAAGAGCGCCAATGAGAAGCCTCACCAGGCCAAGCTCAAGGTCCGCAAGTACATCCGCGAGAACGTCAAGCGGCTCAAGTACACGTACCTGGTTACGGGTCCTTATGTCGACATGTTCCTGTCACTCTCCCCGGTTGCACCGGAGGCCGGGGGTTACGACGTGAAGAGCAAGAAGGCCGTTTTGGTGGAAGACGGCGAGGGCAAGGTCGGCTTGATCACCATGAAGGAGTGAGTTCACCAGACACTGTTCCTAACTGCACGTTACTAACCCGTTGATAGCGTTGGCAAGACCCTCGTGGCCTCGCTGAGACACCCTGACGCGTCATTCGACAAGGCGCTCAAGGTGCAGTCGTTTGTCGCGACACCCAAGGGAATTTTGGCCGAGTTCGAGAAGCAGACTGGTGCCAAGTGGGACACCTCGTATGTGCCGCTCCAGAAGCTGAAGGAGGCCGAGGAGAAGGCGTGGGCTGATGGCGTGCCGTTTGCGACCATTTTCACCCTGCGCCGCATTTGGGCTGAGGGCGGCACGCTGTATGAGAAGACGGACAATGAGAGCATCGGCGTCGGCCCGAACGATGTTGAAACTCTGCAAGTTGCTGTCCAGCGGGCGTTGGCCAAGGCTCAGTGACTATCGACCAAGCTTTAGGTATCAGATACTCTGAGTATTTATGAATCGAAATGAGACTTTGTGAAATATCATGAACTGATGGGCTCTGGACACCTATGAAGCGAGGTGAAAACCAGTTCGGTCGCTCTGACTTTTTAAGAATATGAGGCAAAATATTATTGCGTGTAATTTCCAGATGTAGTATTTGATATATAAATTTGTACGGATAAGAGATGTATGAGCTCCTGTTGTGAAAGAACATCTCATTCAGGCACCTCAAGACCCCTCAACTCAGCTCCTGACGCTACCTAATTCAAGCCGCACGGGCAGCTACAGACGGCCGGGCGTTGATCGTCAGCGGGCCCCCGCTTGGGGAAACCTGGAACATGGGGCGCTACTGCGTAACAGTGATGTGTAGCAGCTGTCGAGTGACATGCGGGCAGCTGTCATAAGGTGACCTGCCGCCGGCACCTTTCTCGCTTGCTCGTCCCGACTCGTCTTCCCCTCCGGACCCCTTCGTTCGTACAACGTAAAAGCTTCCTCACACAACATTTCTGACCCAAGCATACTTTGGACGACACGACAGCAAACTCGCGAGAGAGACGTCCAAAATGGCTCCCTCGGGTCTACGACAGTGCATGCACGATGTCAGCCTTTACCTCCTTGTCTTGATCTGTGTCTCGACACTGGGCCCCCTGCAGTTCGGCTTCCATCTCGTACGTATTGCCTGCCAGCTCCATTTACACTTTCCTCGAGTCCCTTGCGCGCAGAACACGAGCTAACGAATGGCAACGCGATCCAGGCCGAGCTGAACGCGCCCCAAGATGTCCTCACTTGCCGGAAGAAGTCGATCCAGGCCAAGACCACCATGCTGAAGTGGGTTCACGCCAAATCGCCCGATACCGAAAGCTGGATCCCCGACTGTATCCCCATGACCGACGCCGTCTTTGCGACCGTTTCCTCGATTTTCACCGTCGGCGGTCTGGTCGGCGCACTCTGCGCCGGCCCCTTCTCCTCCAAGCGCGGCCGACGCCCTGCCATGCGAGTCACGGCCATCTTCTACATTATTGGTGCTGTCATTGAGACAATCGCCGGCAACGCACCTGTGCTGGCAATCGGCCGCTTCTTCACCGGTGCCGCTGCTGGAGCTTCCACCGTCATTGTCCCTCTGTACATCAGCGAGATCGCCCCGCCCAAGGAGCGTGGCCTGTTCGGCGCCATGACACAGGTTTCTATCAACGTCGGTATCTTGGCCGTCCAGACGCTGGGCTACTTCTTGAGCTACGGAAAGGCATGGCGCTGGATCTTGGCAGTGGGTGTCTTCATTGCCCTCGCCCAGGCCTCCGGCCTGCTTCTCGTACCCGAGAGCCCGGCTTGGCTTGCTGCCAACGGTGACGCCCCCAAGGCCCGCCGCACCCTGCAGCGCATCCGCGGCAAAGACTTTGACATCAAGGAGGAGGTCGAGGCCTGGGATGCCGACAATGCTGTTGCCGAGACAGAGGGCCTTTTGGCTCAGAGCGACGCGACGCCTCCTACGTCGCCTGGACTCCCTAAGAAGAGCTCACCTGTTCACCTCGGCTTCTTCGAAGTCGTCAAGGAACCGCTTTACAGACCTGCGATCGCGGCCGTCGTCGGCATCATGTTCGCACAGCAGCTGTGCGGTATCAACTCGATCATCATGTACTCTGTGTCTCTCCTGACGGATCTGTTACCCGTCAGCTCTGCCCTGCTCACGATTCTGATCTCTGTCGTCAACCTGATTACCACCGCCGCGTGCTCTCCGCTACCTGACAAGCTGGGAAGGAAGAGGTGCATTTTGATTTCCATTATCGGTCAGGGCACAAGCTCCTTGATTCTTGCGCTGTCGATCAAGTTCGGCGTCAAGATCCTCTCGGCCGTGTCTGTTGTGTCCTTCGTCGCGTTCTTTGCCGTCGGACTCGGGCCAGTACCCTTTATTCTTGCGTCAGAGCTGGTCGGCCAGGAGGCCGTCGGTGCGATCCAGTCTTGGTCCTTGGGCGCCAACTACGTCGCGACCTTTTTGGTGGCCCAGTTCTTCCCCATTGTCAACAACTTCCTCAACCAGTTGTTGGGTGGCGCTGGCTGGGTGTACTTCATCTTTGCCGGTTTTGCGCTGCTGTTTGCTCTTTTCGTGTCTGTCAAGGTCCCCGAGACTCTTGGAAAGAAGGACTCGGACGAAGTTTGGGGACGAACTCGTCGCCTCGACTAAACCATAGAAAGCCTCAGGATTCATTTATCTATTTTTAATGGGAAGGGGATAAAAGGCGTCGTGGGTGGTTCATACATTATTGTTTTTTTAAAGTTAACTGTGAAATAATCTTCTGCTCCTGATGGCTTGCTCCAGCTGAAGAATGCCTGCCTTGACGCCATCAACGATAAAGATTCGGCTGCCCTTCTCCTTGCCATAGACCTCGGTTGCCGAGTCACGAATGATTTCCTCAAGACCAGCCATGCCTGCGCATCCCATCACCACACAGCCAACGTCTCCGCTAGCGAGAAGCCTTTTGGTGGCCTGCTCAAGCTTGACCTTGACTTCGGCCGGGCTGACATGATGGAAATCCCCAGCCGTCAGCCCGGTCGTCATGACGCCACCAAACTTGGTGTTGTCCGTCTGGACAGCCTGACCTAGATAGCCGTTCACGCCGTCGCTCAGATGCTTCTCCCAGAAGTCACCCGTGGTTACCACACCCCATTTCGAAGACGCAGAGCCCGAAGAGATCTGAGGCAACAGTGACGTCGCAGTGAGCACACTAGCCTCGAAGATGCCAGTGACGGCGAGAGAGGCGTGATACTGCTGTGAGAGCTTCTCAACGAGTGTGTGAACGCTGTAGCACGCAACGAGAACGCCGTCGAATTTCTCGAGCTCTTCGCTGCTTGCGAGGTCTTTCAAGACAACTTCGGTGCTGAGTTTAATATCGGTGTCATCGTTGATGCTCGCCGGGCTCCCGGACGGTGCCGTGTAAGTGTGAATCTCAAGAGACTGAGCCAGCCGAAAAAGAAAAGAAAGATCAGCCTATGATGTTTTTGTCATGCCGTATTTGGGCACCTTCAACCCCAGCTTACATCGTGCAAGGGCATTCCCTGGATGGCCTTCTCCATGCCCCTCGTCATGTCCTCCGACGAGTTCGGGTTGATCACGAGGATCTTGATGTTTCTGCGTAGGAGTCGGGTCGTCATGGTGACTTCTGCAGGGCGTGATACCGGATGAAAATTTTGGAGTAACTCTCACTGAGAACATTCATGAAATAGGGACCTCCGCGGCCTTAAAGCTGGTGGTGTTCATGCCGAGTCGGCGCTTTTCTGTGGAGAATGTTCCGTCAATGTGGGGTCTGCCGGTCCGGTCACGCTGCGCACGCTTGAACGGCCCTTTGGAGCTGGCTGCGGGGTATCACGTGACGCTCTCACAGGTGCTCAGCCACCGCTGTCTGACGATCCAGTTGCTGGACAGCTGGAAGGCAGCCAACCCAACCAAACCCCACTATCGACGACACAGACGTAACAGCTTCCCTGGGTGCTCTCCCAACTCAACCACACCTCTCCCTATCCCTCGAAAGAAGCTCAATCTCTCTGCCCTGCAGCTTCTGCTTTCACAATGGCAGCCGAGGCCCCCATCGGTAAGTCTCAATGCCGTTCCTTCCTAGGCGTCCAGCAGCTATCGTCGTCACTGCTGCCACCGCCGCCGCTGCTGGATGATAGTCGGGAGGTGGCTGACGCAAGATGCAACCACAGTCCTCGACGGAGGAACCGGTTTCCTCAAGGTCGGATACGCAGCGCAGAACTTCCCCGAATTCCAGTACCCTTCCATCGTCGGCCGACCGATCCTGAGAACCGAAGAGCAAGGCGACACCAATGACTTGGTCATCAAGGACATCATGTGCGGTGACGAGGCCGCCGCCGCCCGCACCATGCTCCAGATCAGCTACCCCATGGAGAACGGCATCGTCAAGAAGTGGGATGACATGCAGCACCTCTGGGACTACACTTTCTTCGAGAAGATGAAGGTCGACCCGACCGGACGCAAGATCCTCCTGACCGAGCCCCCGATGAACCCGCTGCGAAACCGCGAGCAGATGTGCGAGGTCATGTTCGACCGCTACGGATTCGGCGGTGTCTACGTCGCGATCCAGGCCGTGCTGGCGCTCTACGCCCAAGGTACGTCGACAACAGCTTCACAGCCTTGCCGTCGAAGGGCAATTACAAACACGACGAGGCTAACTGGCGGCTCCTAGGTCTCAGCTCCGGTGTCGTCGTCGACTCGGGAGACGGCGTGACCCACATCGTCCCCGTGTACGAGTCGGTCGTGCTGAACCACCTCACCCGCAGACTGGACGTGGCGGGCCGAGACGTGACGCGCAACCTGATTGCGCTCCTGCTGCGCCGCGGCTACCCCCTCAACCGAACGGCCGACTTCGAGACGGTCCGCCAGATCAAGGAGAAGCTCTGCTACGTGTCGTACGACCTGGAGCTGGACAAGCGCCTGAGCGAGGACACGACGGTCCTGGTGGAGAGCTACACGTTACCCGACGGCCGCGTGATCAGGGTGGGAAGCGAACGTTTCGAGGCGCCCGAGTGTCTGTTCCAGCCTCACCTCGTCGACTGCGAACAGCCCGGTGTCGCGGAGCTCATCTTCAACACGATCCAGGCCGCCGACGTGGATGTGAGGGCGTCGCTGTACAAGGCCATCGTGCTGTCGGGAGGTAGCAGCATGTACCCCGGCCTGCCCTCGCGTATGGAGAAGGAGCTCAAGCAGCTGTGGCTGACGAGAGTGCTCGGCGGCAACCCGGAGAGATTAAACAAGTTCAAGGTCCGGATAGAGGACCCACCCCGCCGGAGACACATGGTGTTCCTCGGAGGTGCGGTGCTGGCCAACATCATGGCGGACAAGGAGGGCATGTGGGTGACCAAGCAGGAGTGGGATGAGCAGGGCCCGCGGGTGTTGGAGAAGCTCGGCCCGCGATAAAGCGAAGGCGTGGCCGAGGGAGTCAATCATCCTGGGAGCGCTGGTTCTTGATCTTAGTTGGTAGAGTGGCATGCATGCGACAGGTTTTAGAGCCTCTTTTTGTTTTCTAACGAAAAAGTTGATGAAGTCTTTTTACGCCCCTAGCATCCCTAGGTATCCAACGTTGTCTCGTGAAGTTGTGCAAAGCTGCTAGCTGTATTAGATTAGGCCCATCCGATGTTCTCCAACTCCAACACCGTGCCGTGGTCTCTGTGAATGGCACTGTAGTCGGTAAGGTAGCACGCGCCTCTTGCTCGCGCCACCAAACACACGGTGACGGCCTTACGGAATCGAAGGGAAGCCACGCCGCCTTGCTGTTGCTGCCAGGTTGAAACGTCACTTCAACTCATTCCATTCCTACTCTCGTCACCAACTTCCTCTCGCTCGCTTTCTCACCAAATCGTCGACACCTCTCTCGCTCGCTCTCTTTTTTGGCCCTACCCCTAAACCTGGTTTCCCCATAACCCCAATGTGACTCTCGTCTACTGGACGCTTCTCCGCACATCAAATCGTCATCGTCCGTGAATCGCACACAGTTAACCCCGAAAACACTCGACTCGTGCCGCACGCGCGGACGCCGATCATCGCATACAGCCAGCTGCCAGCAACAACACTCCGCCGCCGTCGCAAACTCCCTCCACGGCTTTGGTTGGGGCATACTTCGCGCATCGCACATACTGCCCCTCCGGCTATCAACAACTGGATACATCACCCGCCCTACTATACCGCCAACCCGGATATCCCGGTCGACGTGCCCGCCAGCCCGCCGCGCGCCTCTGTGGCACGCGCTTTCATATCCTGCCCGATCTCCGAATCTCACTCACTGCTGGGCCCCCCGCGCGCGCAATCAATTCGCCTATCAAGCTCAGCCAGCGACGGCATAGGTAGCCGTTGGCTTTCGGGCAGAGCTCCCGGTTTCTCCTGCGGCACAGGACGCAGAGGAACCAGAACCAGGCAAGAGAACTACGGATCCAGAGCACCAAGCACGAGCACAAGCACAAGCACACTCGCCCGGCCTACGGCGGGATATTGCGACATCCTCTCCTCCACTTTCGCGTCTCGAAGCGCACGCGCACGAGGCTGGTCCCTGGCGTGAACGGAGACCTGTCTGAACCTGACTTGCTTGAACTTCGGCAAAGGAGCCTTGGCCTTTTATTGACGCGGAGCTTCGGCTGTCCTCTCCGGTCTTGACACTGGCCTCTATCCCAGATCCAGGCTTTCTGCCGGACAATATCCACTGGAGAAGTAATTGAGCAGTCTCCATTTCGCCACTTGTCGTCGGACTTTCCTCGCATCGGTGCGATTATCGATAGCAACAGACCAGGTTCCCGGGACCGAGCAGTTCAATTGAGTTTTAGCCTCCATACAGGGGCGAGCTGAAAAGCCACAATTACGGCTGCGGCATCATACCACCTATTGGACCTCTACTTCGAGACTTCGAATCTGAGAGACAGCCTCAGGCAGAATACAGAAGAAAAACGCTCACGCGGATAACGGCGTTGGGGGTCGTTTTGGAACTTTGGAGCAGCGGACTTGTTTGGATACAGGACACATCAAAAATTCCCACAATTGCAGGGACCATCGTACGGATCACCACATTCAGCCACAGCTTCACCGTCATTGCCGTCGGATGATGAGTCTGACGAACCCGCCTTCTGTCGCCTCTGGCCCCAGCTCGGTACGGACGGGCACGTTGAAGCGGAGCGTCCAGGCCGCCTTTGAAGGTGAGTTTTATTCGATGTTTGCTTGTGGTTCGGTTCCAACTCGTCGTACATTATTACACCATACACGATCGGTGAACTCCGTCTGTGGTCGGTTGCCCAGACGCTTTTTGCCTTGCCTTACTCCTTCTTCCCCGATTTTGCCCTCTCACCTGACTCGAGTTGTCGTCAGTGTGTTGTTTGGGGCAAAGGCGGATAAGCGCAAGAGTCAAGCGACGGGCGACATGATAAAAAACAGTTGAGCGAGAATGTCAGCGGTGAAGATACAAGTCCGAATATGACGGGGAAATGCGAGATGATATACATTCGTCTTCGGATACCTCCGTCTAATCACATCCCGTCCATCATCCCGCCGCCGCCGCCGAATTTCCCATTCCGCATTGGTTTCTTTACAATTTCGTTTTATCCACAATTTCACATTCTCCTCTCCACGTCGTCGATCGTCGGTCCACCCCCAGCCGGCGTCCCATCCGTCTTCCATTGTGCATCGAATCGTATCTCGCCGTATGCAACCCTCCCACTCCTGATCCTGCACACTACACTGCACTGCACTGCACACACTCATACACACACCTCTCTCTGCTTTGCCTGCCACTCGCTAGCTCTTGCAACACAGCTGCAGACGTACGCTGGTTACAGAGCATTTGGAGAAACATCTGATCAGCTCTCAGGGATCGGGACCGTCGTTACGTGGGCTCTCAGGCTGCATTCTGACCACCCTTTCCCCATCTCATCCCCCGAGTCTCTAATCGTCAAATAGCTTGACGTGTGAGCTCACATCACCTTCGCCTTACGCACCCATTCATCTACAACCCCAGTTCACATCCTTTCGCATCCCGATCCTAGTATTTTCCCCTCCTATCCCATCCTGCCGGGAATCCCGCCCACGACCCAACTTACCTTTTGCATATCTTTTTCGGGGGCCCTGCGCTTTGCGTTGCGTTCGCGTCTCGTCTCTTCTTGTCACTGTTCTTTTTTTCCATCCTTTCCGTTCTCCACTACACCCTTTTCCTCCCCCTTTAAATACTCCCCCCATCGCATCTCACACGAACGCCCAGGCGGAGCGCGGAAAGGCGAACCACACCCAGGTCTTCCCAGCTGCGTGTTTCGGCAGGTGGCAGGCTGCATTCTTCCGCTGCGCTTCCGCTGGCTGGACCGGACTGGCTGAAGTCATCGGCTTGTTTAAAGCTTAGAGGCGCCCGAACCCCGCGAGCTTCTCCAGCCCGTTGCCTCATTCAGCCCCCAGTCCCGAGGCCTGTACCTAGATCGGCGGTGAGCTTTCTTGCCTGAGCTTGCCTTCGTCCTGTCCTGTGCCTCCTCGTCTCTGTGATTGTCTCTCATATCAGCCCTGCGTCGCTGCGAGAGTCTCACCTCATCTCATCCTCTCGGACAAGGAACAACACGGGAGAGAGACATGTGTCGTGTGTAGAGCGAGTGCATATTGTGTTTTTAAAATC